GCAGAAGACTGATACGCAGTACAGTCACAAATATAAGTTGTGAGGACGTAAATTGAACTAGCACTTCTGATTGCAATGTGGCAATGGTAGAAGCACAGGTGAGAAGACGAGTAACCATATAGATGGTGACGTTACAGTTGAGGATATGAGGTATCTTCCTGGTGATGTGGGTAACACTCGAGTTCGTGATGTCACTGAGGCGGACTACAATGTTCCTGAGACGGACAGTGATGTCGTTCAGACGGACAGCAATGTCATTCAGACGGACAGTAATGTCGTTCAGACGGACAGTTATGTCGCTGATCAGATGAACGGTGGTAGGAGGAGCAGAAACATTTGCCGCGGAGGAGAGGAGGGTAGTCCAGGAATATGCAATGTTGTTGAGGGCCACTACACGAGCATGATGCTCTTCGTTATGCTGACAGGATGATATTGATCATTAGCAATTGTGTCACAGAGATCACCCACCACTCACATCAGTAACTTCGAGAGAGCCCTCCGCTTGTTCATTTGGACACTACGGCACAAGTTAGTTATAGATACCCTTTGACGCATGAGTCTTACCTCCGGGGTGGAAGATATAACACATCGGCTTGAGTGTATAGGCTCTTCGGCCTTCCAGACCACGAGAGGTGGAAACACCGATGTAGAAAGATTGCAACTTGAGTCAAGAGCTCCAGGAGTTGTGCACTAATGACATGGTGTTAGCGGAGGATGTACTTCGAAGACATATAACTCACTTCAACAGAAGCTCCTAGAGGGTCCGTTAATGAAGATGTATCCTGTCCAACTATCTCTTCAATCTGTAACGTTTCGACAGGATATATGTATGAGTTTGATCTCTTCGGAAAAGACTTCAAATTACCGGAGTGTGTACAGAGATGGACAAAGTACTCCTGATAGCCTTTGTCGAAACACACTCTAATTGCCCATTCGCATTTGGTTTCGATTGAGGTCTCTTGGTCAGACAAGGTTCTACAAACTTGACTCCAATTCCTGTCAAAAAGGAAGAATGGAACTCAGAGTCCTCCGAATGAGAGCTGACGACACGATCTTCTTCCTGAATTAGCATTGCAATAGATAAATATTGTCGGCCAACTCACCTAGATGAAGTAATTGGTCGAATACCTTGCTTTGCATTTTTCTTGCATCCTTCGAAGAACGTGAAGTGAGAGCACGAAGCGCAATCGTCCAAAGTTCGCCAAGGTATTCTGTGGTGTGGGCTTGGCCAAACTCGAGGACAACATTATCAGTTGTTTGATCAGGAGGTTGTATCTGTAGAACGTTCAGCTTTTGTTCCGTTCGTTCAATCAAGTTCTCAGCGTAATCATTCAAAACATCCTAAGCATTAATACTATGAAGTTAGCAAGCGCCAGTAAGAGGGCTACCACCCACCAAACGCTCTCTATGGGAGTCTCGGAGAACTTGTAATCTCTCGTTCGCCTTTTCTACTTGTGAAACCAGTTTCTGGCCGTCAATCCTCAAGTACTCCACAGAATTCAAGACCATTCTGAGTTTTTCTTTCTTCATTTCCAGGAACTTCGATGTCAAATCTTCCTGGCGAAATATTGATATAGCATGTCGTATTAGCAATCAATTCGAGCTCACCCCTTCCTTAACGTCAATGTAGGTATGATCACTTGCGTCTTCGGAGTGATCCCAGTCTCGGCTTTCGAGCATGCGTGGCTGGGAGGTTCTCGGCTGGACAATATTCCACTCCATCTGACGTTCGATGGAGCATGCAGATGCGCAAGAAGCTGACACTTCCGGAACTTGATGGCGAACGACCAAAGGTTGCATTGAATATCGAGACGAAGGGTCGATGCCGAGATTGGTGGCCAAGACCTTGAGCACTTCTTGAAAGCGTGCCATAATCAAAACTATTTGTGCTCCGTTTTCCTTCATCTTTGCCTTCGGTGAACTTATTTCTTTGGAGTGCGCAAATTCTGGTGTACTGTGTGAAGCTGAGGTTTGGCTAAATCTGTGCACAAACTCACCGACTTGCTCAGTAAGTGATTTTCTGAGAAACATGTCTTCCAGCAGCTGTAATATGGTCAATGGCGTGGCAAGATGCGAAGCATGGATCACTCAACCTGTTCCTGAAGCTGGTATGATTTAGAGTTCACTTCACGTAGAATACTGGCATTCCGAAGTGTATCTTGTGCAAGGCGAATTCCGGACGACCGACATTTTTGGTGAAGAGAAGCAAAAGTTCCTCTGTAACCCTCTGCGATCGAATCAACGTACGATAAGAAATTATTCTATCGGGAATTAACACGATCCTCTGATCAAAGTGTAACAAGGGCTTACCGCATCAATGGTGAGCTGCGACATAGCTCTTCGTTCTTCCTCAGTCGAGTGGCAAAGTCGAGACATGTAGTCCGTCCTGCGTCCTGTTTCTTCGTGCCATGCCTCCTCAGCATTACAGAGGGTACTGTGTATGTCTTCCAATAAATCCATCTATATCTTCGAAATGAAGTACACTGGGAGCAGCTGTAAGCAACAATGGCATGCGCAAGAGTAAAACGGTCACACGTCACGAGTATGAAGTTATACATCATATTCACTGTGAATCAAACAGCCAATAAAACATCCTTGCAACAATCGTGAAAGCCGAACTAGATAAAATTATGATTTTTACGATTTATTTGAGAACACATAATTGTACATGTATAATTCAAAGCAAATTTTGTAGCCTTTTCATATATCTCCATGTGACCCATGTAGGACGTATGATCCTGTCGCATCTGAAAGAGAGGCAAAGGACATGGCCATCTCCAACGAGGCGCTCTTCGCCGAAAGAAATTGTCTCCCAATGTTGCGAAGTTCCATTCCAGATCCACGTCTGTACGCACTTCAAAAGCTCAGAAAGCTGCATAGCACCATTCAGTTTCGCTCTCCTATCCTCATTGATATGCAGGAAAATGTCGTTGTGCTTCAGTCCCGAATGATTATAAGGAAAGTCGGGGGGGGATGCAAGCGAGCCTAGAGTGCGATATGTGTACCATGAAGTGGTGACGTCTTTGGACCTGACCTTTTCTTGTCGATATCGAGGTATAGCATGGTCATATTCACTGGGAACAAATCCACTGTGCTGGGAACTATGGCTATCGGTTTCAATGGTCAAGCTTTGGCGTTCAGAACTATCCGAGGAACATTGGGGCCGAATGAGATATGGGCTTTGACGACGAGCTTGACGTTGGAAGCTGCGTACGATGAGCAACATTTGCGACCTGAAATATTCGGCATGCTTACCGTAAGGCGGAGGATATAGATTGGGGTTCTGATTTAACTTGATGTTCCTTCGCATGATGATCGTTTTGTTCCAAGTTCTCTAGGGCCGTTGAATTCCTGAAAAGCACCAATGTAATTATAAGTGTATTGGGCAAGATATATAGGTCATTACGTTTCGCGTGCCAAGAGATGGTCATACTGCTCGATATCTAAGTCCATAGCAGGCGCTCTATCACAATTCCGTCAGAAAAAGCTGACGATTTCGCGACTGTTACCGTACTTGTTCATGCCAGGCTCCGCTTGCACCAGCGCCCCTTCTTTATGAGACAATCCTCCGTCCGGTGGTGCCACTGGCATAGGAAACGCAGTGTTCAGAAAGTTTGCAGTCGAGGCTCTGGAAAAACAAACTCAGAATATGAGCTCGAATACTGAACTGCCACTCACCCGTAAATATCCACGAAATCGTTTCCGATGTTTGCTCTGCTGTAGCTATGTTGTTGGTTCGTATGCACAGCGGGACCCGCCATAGGATTACTTTGATCATAGGCTAAAACTGTTGCATTTAAAGTGAGTGTCCTGCAGATGAACAGAGGAGTCAGAATTAGGCAACGAATGAAGGGTGATATCGAATGGTGATACCTGCTAGCTTCATTGCGAGGGACTGCTTCGACGCCTTGCAATTCATCAGATGGTACCAGTGGCCTGAATATAGTTTTATGATATTGCTTGAACCAGAACGTTTGAACTGACTTGGGCAATACAACTGGAATTAAGGACGGAAGTACGAAAGAAGTGGTCAAGTTCGGGTCATCGAACTCGATTAAGGCAGCGAAGTGCTCGACAGAAGGCATTATATAGAAGAAGGAAAGGTAACTCACCCTACTTTGAATATTTATGGACTCTGAGACAAAGGACCTTTCATATATCGGGGATCACGTCTTGAAAATCCTCTTCGAATTCGTGAGGAATTCCTGATCATGACAGAATTCGGACGAGAGCACGGTTCAAGAAGCTTCAAGATGCGAATTATATAACTAGCGGACCCCTGCGGGGTACGAACAACCTTGCTTGCCGTAAGTAAGTACTAGTACTATTTGTTGGTAGGAGTTAGGATCACTTAATAAAGCGGCCATCATCCACAAATCGTATTTACGCGTACGCAAAAACCATCAATTTTCAACGTGTACCCAACCTCGTTTGATAGACATTGATTTTAAAAGTAGTCTAAAGTCTTACAGAATACACATCGCCAACGGGTATGGAGAACACAACATTCAATGGTTCAAAGTTGATACGAACCTCATTCGTTGAAAGCAAATGGTTCACAGCCATCATGCAACAATGTTGTGCGACTTGTGCATCGGAAATAAACAGTTGTACATTCAAATGGGTAAGATTTTCAATGTTGAAGCAAGCCAGCATGGTATCTTCCCACTGTTCCTGGATGGGTACATCAGTAAGTAGTAGGTAGGGCTGGCACAAACCCACACATTTGGCCCAAATTGAGCAATTAAATTTGAAAGTGAGCGATGTTAGGTTTCCGCAGCTTTTCAGTACACGACAAATGTCCGCCGCAGTGTAACCATTATTTTCGGACAGAGTCAGAGTCCGGACGTCGAGATGTGTAGGTAGCACATTTAGGAACTTGTGAAACTTATGTTCAGATGACCGACCACCAATAACGGTGATCACCGACAAATGACTTTGCCAATGCTCCAACATGGTATTCACGTTCGCCAATGAACCACTGAACTGTCGCAGAAACGGAAGTGAACCACCGGTCACCAAATCCGGAATGGGAAACAAATCAAAGTTCGCGTAATAAAGGTGCAATGTCGAAAGGAAGGGGTGTCGGGCCAAAAAGCTACTGAATGCCACATGCAAACATGATTCTTGCAAAGTGCACAAACGAAGTGCAGGCATCACCATCCAACGGCTCTCGAACGCAAAAGCGAGTGTCCGCGGAGCTGATCAGGGAGATAGCGCAGATGGAAAATTTACGAGGTTTGACGTTGCAACAAGTTTGCATCATCGAGACGCATGAAGAAAGTGTCGAAGGAGTCCTCCACCTGGAACATGTTCGACTGCTTGATACTCGTTGGCATGGCCCTAACAACGAAAGCGGATTCATACGTGCATGCAAGGACCTTAAAACACTGGAGTTCACTTGGGATAGAAGTAGAATACGAGCGCTAGAAAGTGGTGAGAAGTGGTGGAACGAAACTTGCCAAAGTGTGAAGGTGTATTCCAGACGTAGCTCATGGTCAAGTGCAGAACATGAGCTTGATGCCGAACGACAGACATTCGTGGATGTGATAGGAACATTCAAGGCGGCGAAGATGTTGGATATTCAAGGATGGATACCTGTATTCAAACATGGAGACGCAAGTAACGAATCGTTATCGAATGCAATCACGCACTTCGCAGGCCCAATACGCTTCTTGAAGTTCAGTCGACGACTTCCGAATCTACGAATACTGAAGTTATCGGATTACGGATTGGTTAGAGGAGAAGTAGATGAATTAGACTTACAGGTGGCGAAGGTGAACGGATTGGAGGTAAATGTGTATGCGAGTGACAAGGAGACACTATGTATGATGTTGGCGGTGATGAACGACGTGCGAGAGTTGAAGGTTAATTTCTGTGACAATGTGAACGAACCGGTGAGGAAGAACAAGTATGCAATTGAAAGAGGGAAAATCTGACGTGTTAGCAAGGATGTACTGTTGCGAAGCATTGCGGACATGTTAGACTTCAACCCACCGATTGAACGACTATGCATAACTGCAGACGACCCTTTCGTAACCACCACCATTTGAGGACGTTCAAGGTACTGTGTACGGAATTGAAAGAAATCGTCATTGGAGACCGACGATGGAAAACCAATCAAGGATTGTGGAGTGAGCAGGTGGATGGACCCAGTTATAGCGGTTATTAGAAAGAACAGATAGATTGCAATAATACGTTGAACGAAAATGCAAAATTAAGGTGGGCGGGGCAAATAGCGATGAGCGGCTAACGTGGGAACATGATGCATGGGCGCTTGGTAAAGACGGGGTGGCAAAGGACCTAGCAAGCAAGGTGATGTAACGTGACGATGTCGACGTCGACTCCTCTCTCGACGATCGTGGGTTGATTATAATAAGGTGCAGAGTGAGTATCACTAATTTTACCATCCCAAAACGTTTTTCTCACTTGTATCTCAGTAATAATTACAGCATGTGCAAGCCCGTTGACTTCCTATTCGTCTTTTCTTTCCCAAGCGGTCCTCTCGACCTTGATCTAGTCCGGAAGCCATCGGTGCACTGGGTGAGGCATGTGGAAATCATGCCATGATCATTCTGTGCGGATTGTCGAGCAACGGTATGTGGTAATATGGTGTTGACTGGCCATTGTCTCTCCGGTCGTGAAGACCTCGCGATCGCTTCAGGCTTTGTATTCGTTCGAAGGAAAAAAATTGATCTCTGAATGTAATCTACAGAGACAAAGGGGTTTGATTATTTCAACTTTACCTCTGTAGCCACTAGGTCAAGCACCTCTTTCGAACACCACCACACGACCCAATTCCCTTATTCCCTTCGCAATCTCTCACAATTCTGCAATAGATCGATAATGAATCATGAAAAAGTGGCACAACACCAGGCTTTCCAAGACTGGGTAGAAGTCCTCGCTGACGACGTAATCGAAGAAGGTCATTCACAGTCTGATGACAAGACAGAAGGGCCAGAGAGTGAATTGCATGATGAAGATGATGATACATCTTTGGTCCGTGGTGGTCTATCTTTCGACATATAGCAGATATTGACATTCTACTGTTGAAATAGGACACACTTACCCTCATCGAAAAGCAGCAGCAATGGATTGACGTCGGTCGTTATATCATCCAGAAATTGCGACGCCGTTTGAGAAGAAATGTCACTGTAAACAAACAACTCATACAAGAAAATCGGCGTCTCCGAAGAGAGCTCGCTGCACTGAAAAGAACAGTGGCCCAGTGAAAGGGTACGTGGTCAGTCTCAATCGACATTTGAGAAAACATATTCATGCTCAGTTTCTGTAGGCCGGTCAATGCTCTCCCGTTATATCCACGGGGTCTGGCATGCGCACAGGCTCTGGCACGATATATATATTGAAGTCCTCCTCGTTCTACATACACATACATGTACATGTCTTCAGTGAGAATATGAGGTTGGTCCATTACGAAATACCACTGTGTATCAACCAGGAGGTACTACCGTCTATCGATACACCATTTTGAGAGTATAGATCCTTTATTTTCGATTTGTAAAATCTTCGTATAGCCATAAAATTGTTTTAGTGACTTCGAGCGCGCGATAAGCAATGAAAGTCCGGACCAGAAGCGATCGTTACTATCACTGAAGTGGGTTGCAGTCAACGTGAAATGTTCAAGGTAAGAAGGAAGTTCACCGCTAGTGGACGGCGAATTCAGTGGTGGTCGTAATTCAGGAAACCTAGATTCCACAAGACGGCACAAGGCCTCTGCTAATTGCTGTTGACATTTGCCAATGTCCCTATCATTCGCGCGTCGGAAATTGTACACCGATAGACAAATGGTCAATGACAAGAGCTTTGGCACAATGGGTGCCTGACCCACAGCAACTGTCATCTCTTTAAACAAGTCCACTCCTCTGAGGTCATCGATGAGGAGACTAAGAGTTGTTACTGATGGGCAACTAGTGAGGATATCAATGGCCATTGGTTCCGCAAGGTGCTTGAGTTCCAACTTTCGCAAGGAAGATGCGGAGACAAGTAATAAGATGAAATCGGAATGATGTGCAATATTTGCGGGAGTACAGGGTGGATGATAGACCTCCAAGGTGGTCAGATTAGGGAGACAGAGGTCTATCCATGCATAAGGGCGAAAGGTGTGGGTCCAAACACTCAACGAAGTAAGCAAAGAGCTATTCGGTATGACTGGTCGCCTGTGATTGCTGGCGTCCACATCGATGTCATCATTAGTCGAGGAGAAACGTTCGATTAGACAGTCCCGTAGCATGGGCATCAGGGAAAGAAAGTGCCCAACAGACGGCCCTCGGAGGCAACCTTCAGACCTAACATGGAACTCCTCGATATGAGATAGATCAGGTAGGAGGAATTCGGGCCTCGACGACACGAAATTAGCGCCGTACCTCTTCAATTTTGGGCAAATTAGGAAGATATTGAGGTAGTCGAACCCGGGACTGTTGTTTTCAATCTGAAGATTTTCGAGCGATGTAAATTCAACAATCGGGAGCTGCATTTCCAAGTCGGTAGATGCAGTGAGAAAACAGGGTCTGCACCACTGATTGAGGTATGAGATATATTTCTCATCCATTATGATGAGTTTTGCACTTTTCCATCTTGTAGCACACTCCATCAGGACATCCAAAATCTGTTGTGTTTCGTTATTGACTGTTGTAAGCATGTTCATGGAGCTGTCCATGTATATGGAGAGAGAGAGAGGTGCCAAGTTCGAGTGGGATATGTAGGTCTTCAACAAAGACACTAGCTGGGGGCTGTCTCTGAAAAGTTCAACATCAAGGTAGAATGATGACCAGAGCAGGTGCTCTGCTAGCATGATCACTCGCCAGCGAGAGCAGATACTTGCAAGTCCTAACGCATGGCAGCGGATAGAGAGACAATCTGACTCTTGTGAACGATAAATCTGTAGGGAATAGCCATTGGCCTTTGACGAATGGAGGACGTGAATCCTGAAAATCTTGAGAAGAAGTTCAACTGGAAGTTTATCAATAAATGACAGAACTGCAGTCCTGTCGTGCAGTGAATTTTTGAATTGTACCTAGTCATATGAATAATGCATATAAAGGTGATTGGGCACGGATTGTGGGATGTGACTATACCTGGACATTAGCATTAGCTTCCATTGCTGAGCACTGTGACTGGTGGTGGATCGGGAATCACGTAGGTTGAGCTAGGTCCTAAAACAGCTTGAAATTACCAAGCGCTCGTGAACTTTTTTCTCACGATTGGCGCCTACACTATGTATAGATATCTCCTCAGAATGGACCAACTGGCTTATGTTAATTAGATACAAGGTTGATATGTGAAGCATGCTCCGATGTGTCCAAGCTCAGTCTGGATGTGTGAAGCCAGAAGGGTGCAAAGCATGCTCAAGTGTGTTGAAGCTTAGTCTGGATGTGATGAAGCATGTCGGAAGGGTGTGAAGCATGCTTAAGTGTGTCGAAGCTCTGGCGGGATGTGTTAAAGCATGTCAGAAGGGTGTGAAGCATGCTCAAGTATGTCGAAGCTTAGTCTGGATGTGTTAAAGGATGTCGGAAGGGTGCGAAGCATGCTCAAGTGTGTTGAAGCTTAGTTGGGATGTGTTAAAGCATGTCAGAAGGGTGTGAAGCATGCTCAAGTATGTCGAAGCTTAGTCTGGATGTGTTAAAGGATGTCGGAAGGGTGCGAAGCATGCTCAAGTGTGTTGAAGCTTAGTTGGGATGTGTTGAAGCATGTCGGAAGGGTGTGAAGCATGCTCAAGTGTGTCGAAGCTCAGTCTGGATGTGTTGAAGGATGTCGGAGGGGTGTGAAGCATGCTCAAGTGTGTCGAAGCTTAGTTTGGATGTGTTGAAGGATGTCGGAGGGGTGTGAAGCATGCTCAAGTGTGTCGAAGCTTAGTTTGGATGTGTTGAAGGATGTCGGAGGGGTGTGAAGCATGCTCAAGTGTGTCGAAGCTCAGTTTGGATGTGTTGAAGCATTGCGGAAGGGTGCGAAGCATGCTCAAGTGTGTCGAAGCTCAGTTTGGATGTGTTGAAGCATTGCGGAAGGGTGCGAAGCATGCTCAAGTGTGTCGGAGCTTAGTTTGAATGTGTTGAAGCATGTCAGAAGGATGCAAAGCATGCTCAAGTTTGTCAAAGCTTAGGACTTGAGCATGAAGCATGCTCAAATGTGTCAAAGCTTAGTTTGGATGTTTCAAAGCATGTCAGATGTGTTGAAGCATGTCGGAGGGGTGCGAAGCATGCTCAAGTGTGTCGGAGCTTAGTTTGAATGTGTTGAAGCATGTCAGAAGGATGCAAAGCATGCTCAAGTTTGTCAAAGCTTAGGACTTGAGCATGAAGCATGCTCAAATGTGTCAAAGCTTAGTTTGGATGTTTCAAAGCATGTCAGATGTGTTGAAGCATGTCGGAGGGGTGCGAAGCATGCTCAAGTGTGTCGAAGCTCAGTCTGGATGTGTTGAAGGATGTCGGAGGGGTGTGAAGCATGCTCAAGTGTGTCGAAGCTCAGTTTGGATGTGTTGAAGCATTGCGGAAGGGTGCGAAGCATGCTCAAGTGTGTCGGAGCTTAGTTTGAATGTGTTGAAGCATGTCAGAAGGATGCAAAGCATGCTCAAGTTTGTCAAAGCTTAGGACTTGAGCATGAAGCATGCTCAAATGTGTCAAAGCTTAGTTTGGATGTTTCAAAGCATGTCAGATGTGTTGAAGCATGTCGGAGGGGTGTGAAGCATGCTCAAGTGTGTCAAAGCTCAGTCTGGATGTGTTGAAGCATGTCGGAAGGGTGCAAAGCATGCTCAAGTGTGTCGAAGCTCAGTCTAGATGTGTTGAAGCATGTCGGAGGGGTGTGAAGCATGCTTAAGTGTGTCGAAGCTCAGTCTGGATGTGTTGAAGCATTACGGAGGGGTGTGAAGCATGCTCAAGTGTGTCGAAGCTTAGTTTGGATGTGTTGAAGGATGTCGGAGGGGTGTGAAGCATGCTCAAGTGTGTCGAAGCTCAGTCTGGATGTGTTGAAGCATGTCGGAAGGGTGCGAAGCATACTCAAGTGTGTCGAAGCTTAGTTTGGATGTGTTGAAGGATGTCGGAGGGGTGTGAAGCATACTCAAGTGTGTCGAAGCTTAGTTTGGATGTGTTGAAGGATGTCGGAGGGGTGTGAAGCATGCTCAAGTGTGTCGAAGCTCAGTCTGGATGTGTTGAAGGATGTCGGAGGGGTGTGAAGCATGCTCAAGTGTGTCGAAGCTTAGTTTGGATGTGTTGAAGGATGTCGGAGGGGTGTGAAGCATGCTCAAGTGTGTCGAAGCTTAGTTTGGATGTGTTGAAGGATGTCGGAGGGGTGTGAAGCATGCTCAAGTGTGTCGAAGCTCAGTTTGGATGTGTTGAAGCATTGCGGAAGGGTGCGAAGCATGCTCAAGTGTGTCGGAGCTTAGTTTGAATGTGTTGAAGCATGTCAGAAGGATGCAAAGCATGCTCAAGTTTGTCAAAGCTTAGGACTTGAGCATGAAGCATGCTCAAATGTGTCAAAGCTTAGTTTGGATGTTTCAAAGCATGTCAGATGTGTTGAAGCATGTCGGAGGGGTGCGAAGCATGCTCAAGTGTGTCGAAGCTCAGTCTGGATGTGTTGAAGGATGTCGGAGGGGTGTGAAGCATGCTCAAGTATGTCAAAGCTTAGTCTGGATGTGTTAAAGGATGTTGGAAGGGTGCAAAGCATGCTCAAGTGTGTCGAAGCTTAGTTGGGATGTGTTGAAGCATGTCGGAAGGGTGTGAAGCATGCTCAACTATGTTGAAGCTTAGTCTGGATGTGATGAAGCATGTCCGAAGGGTGCAAAGCATGCTGAAGTGTGTCGAGGCTTAGTCTGGATGTGTTAAAGGATGTCGGAAGGGTGTGAAGCATGCTCAAGTATGTCAAAGCTTAGTTTGAATGTGTTAAAGGATGTCGGAAGGGTGCGAAGCATGCTCAAGTGTGTCGAAGCTTAGTTGGGATGTGTTGAAGCATGTCAGAAGGGTGCAAAGCTTGGTTTGAATGTGTTGGAGCATGTCGGAAGGGTGTGAAGCATGCTCAAGTGTGTCGAAGCTTAGTTTGGATGTGTTGAAGCATGTCAGAAGGGTGTGAAGCATGCTCAACTATGTTGAAGCTTAGTCTGGATGTGATGAAGCATGTCCGAAGGGTGTGAAGCATGCTCAAGTGTGTCGAAGCTCAGTCTGGATGTGTTGAAGCATGTCAGAAGGGTGTGAAGCATGCTCAACTATGTTGAAGCTTAGTCTGGATGTGATGAAGCATGTCCGAAGGGTGTGAAGCATGCTCAAGTGTGTCGAAGCTCAGTCTAGATGTGTTGAAGCATGTCGGAGGGGTGTGAAGCATGCTCAAGTGTGTCGAAGCTCAGTCTAGATGTGTTGAAGCATGTCGGAAGGGTGCGAAGCATGCTCAAGTGTGTCAAAGCTTAGTTGGAATGTATTGAAGTATGTTGGAAGGGTGCGAAGCATGCTCAAGTGTGTGGAAGCTTAGTTTGGATGTGTTGAAGGATGTCGGAGGGGTGTGAAGCATGCTCAAGTGTGTCGAAGCTTAGTTTGGATGTGTTGAAGGATGTCGGAGGGGTGTGAAGCATGCTCAAGTGTGTCGAAGCTTAGTTTGGATGTGTTGAAGGATGTCGGAGGGGTGTGAAGCATGCTCAAGTGTGTCGAAGCTCAGTCTGGATGTGTTGAAGCATGTCGGAAGGGTGCGAAGCATGCTCAAGTGTGTCGAAGCTTAGTTGGGATGTGTTGAAGCATGTCGGAAGGGTGTGAAGCATGCTCAACTATGTTGAAGCTTAGTCTGGATGTGATGAAGCATGTCCGAAGGGTGCAAAGCATGCTGAAGTGTGTCGGGGCTTAGTCTGGATGTGTTAAAGGATGTCGGAAGGGTGTGAAGCATGCTCAAGTATGTCAAAGCTTAGTTTGAATGTGTTAAAGGATGTCGGAAGGGTGCGAAGCATGCCCAAGTGTGTCGGAGCTTAGTTTGAATGTGTTGAAGCATGTCAGAAGGGTGCGAAGCATGCCCAAGTGTGTCGGAGCTTAGTTTGAATGTTGAAGCATGTCGGAAGGGTACAAAGCATGCTCAAGTCGATTGAGCTTCGACACACTTGAGCATGCTTCACACCCCTCCGACATCCTTCAACACATCCAAACTAAGCTTCGACACACTTGAGCATGCTTCACACCCCTCCGACATCCTTCAACACATCCAAACTAAGCTTCCACACACTTGAGCATGCTTCGCACCCTTCCAACATACTTCAATACATTCCAACTAAGCTTTGACACACTTGAGCATGCTTCGCACCCTTCCGACATGCTTCAACACATCTAGACTGAGCTTCGACACACTTAAGCATGCATCACACCCCTCCGACATGCTTCAACACATCCAGACTGAGCTTCGACACACTTGAGCATGCTTCACACCCTTCCGACATGCTTCAACACATTCAAACTAAGCTCCGACACACTTGGGCATGCTTCGCACCCTTCTGACATACTTTGACACATCCCAACTGAGCTTCGACACACTTGAGCATGCTTCGCACCCCTCCGACATGCTTCAACACATCTAGACTGAGCTTCGACACACTTGAGCATGCTTTGCACCCTTCCGACATGCTTCAACACATCCAGACTGAGCTTCGACACACTTGAGCATGCTTCACACCCCTCCGACATGCTTCAACACATCTGACATGCTTTGAAACATCCAAACTAAGCTTTGACACATTTGAGCATGCTTCATGCTCAAGTCCTAAGCTTTGACAAACTTGAGCATGCTTTGCATCCTTCTGACATGCTTCAACACATTCAAACTAAGCTCCGACACACTTGAGCATGCTTCGCACCCTTCCGCAATGCTTCAACACATCCAAACTGAGCTTCGACACACTTGAGCATGCTTCACACCCCTCCGACATCCTTCAACACATCCAGACTGAGCTTCGACACACTTGAGCATGCTTCGCACCCCTCCGACATGCTTCAACACATCTGACATGCTTTGAAACATCCAAACTAAGCTTTGACACATTTGAGCATGCTTCATGCTCAAGTCCTAAGCTTTGACAAACTTGAGCATGCTTTGCATCCTTCTGACATGCTTCAACACATTCAAACTAAGCTCCGACACACTTGAGCATGCTTCGCACCCTTCCGCAATGCTTCAACACATCCAAACTGAGCTTCGACACACTTGAGCATGCTTCACACCTCTTTGGACATTCTCCAACATGTGATGCTTTCATCACTCTCCTCATGTCATATAATTATTCTATAAGTTTTTAACTAAATCATTTTATTTTGAGAGCCTTATTTGTTACCCTGTCACATAAGTTCCCAATATGTATTCCATAAGTTCCTCTTCTGTACTACATCAGTATCCTGCAAGTTTCAGATATAAAACCCTACCTATCAAATACTTATCTAGTACTTCATCAGATAATTTTTCCTATAAGTCTTGTGCTATTGTTCTAAAAGTATGTGACCTTATTGAATACTTATAGTTTCCGACAATTCCATTTAAATCCCATAAGTTCCACATTTGTTATTGTTTCTTATGTAAAACTTATGTGACAGGGTTGTCACATTTATCTTCAATAAGTTCTTTCATAAGTCCGCAATCTTATCGGGCTTTCATTTTTCGACAGTATCTTATAAGTTTTCGCTAAGCTGCGCAAACTTATTAGTCATTGCATGCAGTGCCGCAACGTTTCTCCAAACTTTCATTTTTAGTCGGGTTTTCGGACCGCACGGGTTTTTTCTGCATGATTTTATAACTATAAATACTAGGAATGTGACCTATCTCGCCCAATAACTCTCTTGGTTTCACGACTCCACGATTCTTTATCAATGCCTGCTCTGCCCACCTCCACCGCTGCTGTTCTTCACGGTCCCAAAGACCTGCGCCTTGAACCTCGCCCACTCTGGGCACCAGAACCAGGTCAATGCCAGCTTGAAGTCAAGTCTACTGGACTGTGCGGTAGTGACCGTAAGATTCTCTCCTTTTGTATTCTTTATCCTTCTAATCCCCTACTTAGTACATTATTACCTCGCCGGCCGAAATGGGGACTTCGCCATACGTTCTCCCCTTGTTCTTGGCCACGAATCCTCGGGTGTAATAACCGCACTTGGGGCAGGCGTCGCGTCGCAATACCCTCATTTACGGGTCGGCGTGAGAGTCGCAATCGAATGTGGTATTCCTTGTCGATCTCTCAATTCCGACGGTTCAGCTCGAACTGGTAAGGATGTTTGCAAACATTGCTCCAACTCTAGATACAATCTATGCAAGAATCTGCGGTTCTGCTCAAGCGCAAAAACTTTTCCGCATCGCGATGGAATGCTTCAGCAAAAAATAAATCACGAAGCTTGGTGCTTACATCCGTACGTTGATTTTCCTTTTACCCTATGCCTTGATTCTGCATGAGGACTCACCCTCGTGAATGTAGAATTCCAGATTCTGTATCCTACTCTCAAGCTGCCCTCGCCGAACCTCTTTCTGTACTGCTCCATGCCTCCCGCAGAGCCGGTATATGCCCCGCATCATCATATCCGTCACTCGGCTCGTCGACGTCGTTCTCCACGACTTCCACTACTTCCACTTCATCTTCAGCAGCCGGAAAGAAGGTTCTAGTCTTCGGTGTTGGCGCCATTGGCCTTATTGCATGTGCGCTTGCTCAAGAACTAGGGGCTGAACGTGTTTGTGCTGTTGATATTAACAACGATCGCCTGGCGTTTGCAGCTCGAGAAAGATTCACCACGAGTGAGGGTAATAGTACCTATTGCCTGCCTTTACCTCCCAAAATTACTTCGATGGAACCTAATCCGAAAGAACCGGAGAATATTCGTCGCGCGAAAGAGAATGCTGCCAACGCTTTAGCTGTTTTCGACGAACCTGACGGATTTGACGTCATTTTCGAGTGCACAGGCGCTGAAAGTTGTGTTCTCATGAGTGTCTTTGTAAGTTTTTTTTTCTGTGCATCGTTCACTGTTCGTCCTGACGTCGAACGCTTCTCTTTATTGTAGTGCACAACTCTTGGAGCACGTATCGCTTTAGTAGGGATGGGGAGCCCGATATTATCTTCCTTCCCGATTTCCGCTGCAGCCACACGAGAAGTCGATCTCATCGGTAGCTTCCGCTACGCTGATACATACAACGAAGCCGTCGAACTCCTATCTGGATCCAATCTTCTTACATCAAGCTGCAAAGGCGGCCATACAAACGGCGTTCAAGCTGTCCAAAATGCAGGTTTCTCACAAAAACTCTCCAAATTGGTGACCCATCGATATCCGCTCAGTCAGGCCAAAGAAGCTTTCGAGCTTCTGGCACGGGGAAGGGATGACCACGGAGGAATGGTGCTCAAGGTTATGATTGAGTCCTAACTATAGTCGCGCATACTTCATTACATTTCGTTGCGGTCCTAGATTTATTTTTTTCTCTTGGTTTTAGTTTGCCGCTTTGGATATTTTGGTCACCCATCATCTACCTATGCACGAACATTGTATGTATGTACTTATACTATTGCATTGTTGATTGAGATACATTCAATCCCCCGCGAAAAAGTTCAACGATCGATTAGAGGATGACTATTTGACTCTACAAGTTCGTAATGTTATCTCGGTCTGGTAATCATTCAACTCAGAACGATTACTGATACAATGGTGGTACTTAATCTTGGTTACAGAAAAACATAATTGATCGAGGACAGTACCCCCCAGATCTCGCTATCACTACCTTAACTTTCAGTTCGTCCCTCTATGAAAAAAAGTGATTATCGGCGACGGCCAAAATGGGCCAAGATAGGCCCGTTCTACGCTGTTCTACGTTCACCTCATCCCGTGTTATCAGGCTAAGTATAAGTGAGACGAGACTTACGCGTCAAGAGGACTTTAGATTCGGCTGTGCCTGTGACACGTGCACGGATGTGACAGCTCCCTCGGCGCAAGTCTCTGCAGCGGCAATATATTGGGTCTTGAAAAGCAGTCATTTGAAGTCAAACAAAATAGAGGGAAAGGTACTTTACATGCTAGACTATCTACATAGAAAATCCGATGGACATCTGAAAATGTTGAAGGCAGTTCCGAGGCCGTTTCCAAAAAGTTTGGCAAGGCGATAGTATATCCCGTGGCGAGCTACTGGCTGTTACTTGTACCTTTCGCTAGTTATAAAATAGCTTTTGACGTAAATCCATCGTTCTTAGAACATTCAGTATGTCTTCAACATCCGAGGGTTGGGAACACAACAACGGTACCTTCAATTGCAAGAATTCTCGGATCCGGGACCGGAAGCGCTTTCTAGAGCAAAAGACAGAACTCAGGAAGGAAAATAGAAGGACAGGTGATAACAATGAACAAATGCATTGACATGTACTTATATTTCGAAATCTCGAATGTGCGGAATTTGGGTGCTTACCAGAGTACTAAGTTGAGGATCACTGCGAACTGTTTTCCTGTAAAGCCCGTTACCCTACTGAGCATACATACATAAGTAATCTCGAAAGTTGCTGTATATGGATTTCGAAGCTACACCTTTGTCAGTGCTTGAGAAAGCGTCCACCGTAAGTGAATTTGGAAATAAATTTCCCGCCAACTTTTGAAAGCAGCTTCTCTTAGTTTGGAATGTTCAAGTATTTATTTATTTGTGACAGTATACTAATTTGCCCTATTAGTGAAGGGCAGAGACGTGGAAGTGCATGCGTAATGAATGGCGTCCGAAATCATCTACTCAGGTATAACTCAAACAGCAAATCTGGGAAAGCATGAAAGCGTGAAGATGTTGTTGAAACTTTGGAAGAATACAATGGAAAGGTCTACGTACTCATGAAGGATCACGGTCAGGCAGATGGGTGATAACATGCGGGAAATGTGTAATGGCACAGATAAAAGAGATCATGAGCTACCATGACAGATCATGCGGGAAGCCGAGCGAAAGAAATAACCAAGTCACATCAGTTTTGACTGTTTGAGATGCTGACGAATGACCATATCTCGAACTAAAAAAACGGAACACATCTATTAGGCAGGCATGTAGCAGACAAATACCGAGCATTTACTTACCGCTGGCGATTATCCCTGCGGTAGTAGCAGTGTCCTAGGAAAACGTGAACGACAGAAGAAGAGGAATAAAGACCGCGAACACACAGTCACTGAGGTGCAAAACGCATAAAACTTTCGCGGGTTCGGAGAATATTCTCGATGGATAGCACTAAATTTGCTTCGAAAATCTGTGAATTATAGCGCTGAGTGTTAATTACGCCCAAGAATCCTAGACTTTTATCGATGGGCAGAAGATAAAGGGTCTGGAGAAACTCTAAATGTGACAGCGGAGGAGACTAGTGGAGAAAGATAGGTAAAATTGCGAAGATAGGACACTCACATTTGCTCACAGTCTCGAGGTTATTCGCTCGATCCCCAAAACTTTTTACATATTTTGCCAGCCTATTTAACCACGAGATCCACCAGATGGCATGAGTTCGATAACCGCTGACAAGGCTTAAGAGACCGAAAGCATACCTAACACCAGCTTTAAGCTTCGTCTCCAGGATGTCACACTTATTGAGAAACAGCACCAAGTCAACGTTTGCGAGAAGCTTGTTGGAGCATACTGTTTTCCAAAGAAGGACGGAGTCTTCCTGTAAATCCGAAATGAACAAGAATGGCATGGCGAAAAGTAAAATTGCACGTACAAGCCGATTAACCGTGCGGTCCTCACTTAAAACTTGATCAAAGCCGCTGATTGGCGCCAGAAAGATAACTTCGAAAATAGTTAGTAGAGAGTAGCTGCATTTCAGTTTGCACTGCGCTTACTTGCGTCAACTGTAGATCACATTAATAAAATCAAAGGAAAAGTCGTTGGGACGTACTGACCATTATCAAAAAAAGGAATCCACGTTTCTGATTTTGGTCAGGTTTTAGGCTTTCCTGGTGGGTGATAGCAGGACTTACGACGCTGAAAAATAGGCTTCGATGATAGGCCAGGTTTAGATAATGAGCGCCGAGACGTACCTGACTTCTACTACCGCCGACATCAACTATTCGCCAATCTGTGCCAGTTTCTCGACCAGTCGACACTTCCATCTGGAAACGATACTCAGACACACCGACAGTTTTGAGCCGTGCTTTCAGGACATCATCTGAATCGAATATAGAAATGCAAGATCCCATACAATTATTGATCCAAACTGACCGTCAGTCGGAATATACTTCAGGGAGGTAACACGTTCGAGGTCATTTAGAAAACTGTAAGACCAATAGATGAGTGAATAAGCTCTGGTGACCCTGTCATAGTACATACAATCCTGGATATTCTTCCAGTCTTATCTTTCGTCTATGGAGCAATTGTTTGACCCCTCTATCAGCCCATAATCGCATGATGTCCGTACGGCATGCATTCAGCACCTCTTGTGGTTCATCAGATGTCTCTAAGCCTATGTTTCCAGCACTGTTTGGTCGACCGGCGTTCGTGGACCCACTCTCTTCGCCATTAGGACTACCTGTAAAGCTCGGGTATGACACACGGGCACGAGCCAAACCCCCTTTCCACCCGGGTCCTGGACGAACAAATATTTCCTGCGTCTTGTACGAAGTCCTAGCTGGATGGGATGGTGGATAGGTGTTCGTTGATTCAGGAGAGGCAATTAATCGAGTGGCTTCCTCTTCATTTGGAGGAACGAGTTTGGCTATCAGCAGAGCTTCAATATGGTGAAGGGGGAAAAGGCGCAATTTCAAAGATTCTATTTCGGTTGAATCAAGACAAGGCCTCGTTTTGTGGATTTCTGAATCAGTTTCTACATCGGAGAGGTCATTACTATAGCCATTAGAACCAGGACCGCTTAAATAATGGTCTGGATGAGAAGTTTCAGACGAAGACCCGAACAGAGAGGTTCGAGGTTTATGGTGTTTTGAGAGACTTCTTGTTTGTGACTTTGGGGATACAGAAGGAGATGCGACTGGAGATGAAGGCCGATTGAGGGCATCAAGTATTATGCGTACAGACCGGACGATATTCAGTTGAATCACTCCACGCCAAAGAATACGTTCTTCTCGAAACGCAGTTGGAGTATACAATCGTTGAAATTCTGACCAAATTCTAATGAATATAGTTCGCAGAACAAGAAACAACGCTTGCGTCTCAATGTCACAGATTTCCCTATTAAGTATAGGTCAAGTTTACTCAAGCCTAGCTACTAAACCAAAACTCACCCGATTCACTCTGACCAAGAAGCAGAAGCCTCACTATTCGCATTTTCTTCCTAAGCTGACGTTCCGCTTTGATACTGGCATCGATAGCCATACTAATCTTCGAGGCCTCCTCTTCCCTTGTTAATCGTGTTATCCGTTGCTCGTGCGTTTCTCCAGGCGGAGGCTTCAGGAATTCATCGAAGGGGTCATCAGGTAGCGTCGCCACTGAAGCTGGCGACGAACCAGTCATGATGGAAGAGGGTGAACGAGCAACAGTTGTGAGAATACACTATACACTTACAGGCACCAGCGCTTATTTATGTTCAACTCGTCCTATGATGCGAGTGCCTCTTGAGTGCGTCTACAAAAAATGAACTCACACTTCTTCATTCTACAATTTGAATTCCGGCGTCAGGAACCAAGGAACAATCATTCTGTCATGTAACTAACGTCCCAGAACATTCCCTTACTATTCCTCTACTACGACTAAAAACTGCTGAAGGGCTCCTTTCAGGCTTTTTCTTACAGATACTTATGTTCTGGCGCGCAGATCCTACCAACAGCAATACTACGGAGCTATGAGAGATTGTTTGTGCCATGAAGCTAGGCTCTCCACGGCTTCATGACGCCCGTCGTCATCTGAATTACATGATTACCTGGGTACAATGAAAGTTGCGTTTGTTCCTGAGGGTGGAAGATTATTCACTTCACTCACTGAACTACTTAGGCTGCACTCAAGTCCGATCTATTCTGATCAGGAATGTGATTTTGAAGTCGTTCCCGCAGGTCCATTACGAAGTATCCCTGCATTTGGAAATATTCTACACTTACAATTTCTTTAGAAGACAGATGACCCAAATATGTATACCTCTATCGACCATCATGCATCAGAACCAGATATCTTCATCCCACTACTAGTGGTCCAACTTCCAAATTGTATCGACGTTCTTGCTTAAGCCGCCAATCATAGAGTGTACTGTCTTAATCAATTGCAAGTGGACTGCTTCGCGAATAACTATACTTTTCCATAGGTTAGGACCTATGTAGATCACAAAATCTTGGTTCACACAGGGAAGATAGGTCATTTATACCAGGACCCCGGAAGCTCCTACCAGACCCCATCCGAATTAGCGTACTTTAGGACCCAATTTTGCCATTTTCCTTGGCCGAAATTAGCGTACTTTAGGCCTCAGAAGGCTCAATCCCTGTCCGAGATAGCGTACTTTGGGTATCTATTGGCTGACTTGGTGGCCCAATGGACGTAGGTGGAGCTCTGGCACCGGAGTTTGGGCAAAGAAGCTCAGAAGAGCTCCGGATGCAGCGATAATAGTCAAAAAAACGTACAGAAAGATGATTCCAGGCTTGGGGAAGAAAATTCGGTATTTTCAGAGCAATTTTTACGATTTCACGTGACATTCCTTATCCGAATTAGCGTACTTGAGGCCTGCTTGAGGCCAAAATCGTAGCGTACTTGAGGCCGCCTGGGCGGGTGGGGTTTGGCAGGAGCTTCCGGGGTCCTTTTATACCCTATGCTTGCTTATGTTTCCGACAAGTTTGAGCTTCATATTTTTTCTCGGTACAAACAATAAAAAGTTAAGTTGATTTTCTCCCTCGCTTTCGCACAAATCTCCTCAGCTAGCCAGAGTGAGAATTTTAAGTCTCCAAAGACGTAGACTCATAAGCCTTCGGATTCGTCCTACATAGTTGACGCCGGTAGAGTTCAGAACTCAATCCGGCGTCACATCTGGAGTCCACCGCGAGGGGGGGTTTCTGGTTAGGGTTCTCGGTGCATTCGACCTCATCTCCAGTACTTGCATCTGGCATCAGAGTCTCAGGAGGTTTACCCAATAACCTTTGATACACATGAGCATGTTATGATGGATGACTTCGAAATTGAAAGGAATGTCAACACTAGGTAAAGTCGTTATAAGTAAATGAATGGCATCCGAACGGCAGAAGACCTACGATTGGATCATCCACATGAGTATACGCAAGACACAATGTCGGAAGCCTCCTACGGAGGCGAAGATACAGTTGTCGTAGATGTTGACGGAAGCTCCTGTTTCGTCAAGAGATATCAAGATATGAATTTGAGAAATATGAGGTTTTCAAGAATGAACGAGACTGACCGGTAATGAGAATCCTATCCAGATTCCACCTCGCAGGGAGCTCCAGATGTGACACCGGAAAGAACTTTGAACTCTGCCGGAGTCAAGTACGTAGGGAAATGAGTCGTTAAAAGCCAAGTCCTGACGTCGGGGAACCCAATACAAGCTCTGACTTGCAGAGGAGAAGGTTGAGGAAGGGGGGGGAAAAAGCCAATCTGATGAACTAAACAAGCTACAAGGTAGTTATACAACAAAAATGTAGTGAGACTCTATGGGATCGGACTCCGGATCCCAAACAAGTCCGTAGGCCGCAGGACTTGTATACGTCTGGTTTCATCGATCATCCCGCAAACACGGACGAAGCTCGATCCGCGATGAGCATACGAAGGCGCTCATCTTAGGATAAGATAAGGCCGGCGAATGAGAGACGCCTAGCGCGCATTAAGCGCTTAAGCTTTTCTACTTCCGTCTCTCATCGCCTCGCGTATAATAAGCTACATCCTCGAAAATTCACCACGATGAAAGGATTCCAAAGCTACCCTTCCCTAGCTCGCGAAAACAGAGCTCGGAAAACGCATAAAACCGACGAAATCTCCTCCCTTTTCAAAAAAATGGACATCGGCTTAAAACTGAAACTGAACTTCAAAATTGACAAAGAAAATCGGAAGCGACGGGAAAAGAGCCTCGAATTCCAACTAGGAAACTCCGTGGACGATGCCTCAGATATAGCCTCCTTCGTAACCATCGACACAATATCCCTCGATAATGTCAGAAAGGACCCGACAACTTTTGAAAGGCTGAAGGACTTTCTCACTACAGACACACTAGACTTCTTCAGGCAGAGAAACGAAGAGGAAGGAGTCAGACAAAGCAGGACGAGAGGCAGAGAAGAACAGGCCGAAGAAGGTGCGAGAAAACGAAAGCCCGGAAAGGTCACCCTAGTACCTCGATCCGCTGGTCCACGCATTACAACCTTTGACACACTCCTTTTTGACACCATCGACGCGTTCCCCATATTCCCTCTCTTCCTCTTCACCAACAAAAACCTTGACCTCATCAACACGCATATGCCCGAGTTGAAACGCACTAAAATCTCGCACATCGAGGGTAAACCTCATGTCCTCGACCTTAAAGAGATCGCGAAATGGGTAAAGGAAACAGGTGGGATATTCCGCGATGAAGACCTCGACTTCATTCAATGGAGTCAAGCGGCGAAGAACTTCTACCAGTTCGAATGCCTGAGAGATGAAGACCTGGGAAAGGAGGCCCCTCGAGCCCTCTTTTACGTCGAACACTTCGCATTCTTCCTGAACCAACAGGACTCAGAGGATTTCTTCGCATACTGGCTCAAGGTCGAAGTCAAGCTCCGAAAGGAGCACCAATCCAAGCTATATGCTTTCGACAGCGATACGTATGAACGGGAATGGACACTCATCCGAGCAGAACGAATCTCAGACTCCAAATACGCTACGTCCTCCCCATCCTCCTCATCTTCGAAATCATCCTTGCACAAACCGGGAGCCCCACCTGCAACAAGCTAAAAGCCCTTTCAACCAGGCAACAAGGATAGAACTGCGGCCCCTTGTTGCCTCGGATGCGCCGCCCGTGGTCACAAACTTGATGGGCACAATGACACGAAGAACGGACCGTTTCGCTGGGCCCGTAACATTGAAGGCCTCATCAGCACGCCCTGGGGAAAGAACATCTGCTGGTACTGGAACCTGCAAGGACAATGCAGAGGTTGCGAGAAAGAACATTGCTGCACGTTCTGTGGCAGCACCTCCCACTACGCATTCAAATGGGAATGCACTGCCCAGCCCCCCATTGTCTAAAGAAGACCTCAGGGACTCCCTCGCCTCAACTCCTCTCAGATTCCATGACTTCGCAGACTCTATCATCACACGCCAAGCATCGCCGGATGCCTCAACAGAACATGTCAAACTTTACGAACGAATCGTCACGCTATACAACGCCAACGCCTTTGAACACGAACTCAGAACAAACAATCTTCTTGACCGACACCCACTCCTCGTTAACATCCTTCGAAACGGCGCTCCACTCGCCAAATTCCCTCAGGTGGTCAAGGACTACCTCGCCGAAGAAAAATCCAAAGGCCGAATGTCCGGCCCTTTCTCACTCGGGGAAATTTTTATCGCAAAAGACTTATTCCCAACCTCATTTGATACTGCATCTAAAGTTGCAGAACTGGTAAGCCTGATTCTCTCCTCTAACCTTGCCTAACAATTCCCAATCTCATTCACAACATCATATTCAAATATTCACATTTTCATTCCATATATTCCACAAAAAACTCATTCCTCGTTCCTCATTCCTCATTCCTGATAACAAAATATTGATTTCCAATTCCCACCGAATGTCACAGATCTCATCGGCACCTACGGGAACACAAGCATGCACAATCGACATTGCAAAATTCCATAGGACTGCTATCGAACTACTGGTATATATTCTCGAAGCTAAAGAAATTCACGGCTCATATATCTTAATCCACTCGAACAACCAAGGGACCATCGGCGCTATGAGAAAAGCACGCAGCCCCAACTACTGGATCAACATGTCAGTTCGTCGAACGTGCGGCATTCTAGGCCCCCTCTTCATTCAACCAGAACTCAAATACATCAAATCTGCTTCAAACCCGGCCAACCCAATTTCGCGCGGAATACTGGGACCGGAGGAGAACAAACTGCCTTTCTTATTCCAGCTCCCAGATGAGCTCAGTCACATCATCGTCTATGTTTAGCCCTTTTGATAGAATACCAACGCCAGCCAGATCCGGCGTGGGAACCGTTGCACCGCGCGCTTCGAGTTCCCGAACTGCTTCCTTCTCACCTCTCTCGGACCCTTTCGCTACTACCAAAACCATGACCACATTGTCAGTTAAACCTATGTATTCCATGCCCTCATTACCCCAATTGTTACCAATTCCAAGTATTATACACACTCCCAATAAATTATCTGCTCATAACCCATTCTCGGACCCATTTGCGACGAGCCCACCTCAACCGCCTCAACAACTGGAGTACAAACTCACTACCCGAAAGCCAAAGAAAGGATGCGAAATCACTCCGAACCCACTATGACCGAACGTACGAGCCGCAGATCGGATTCACGCCTGGAACACCCCATACTCAATACAGAAAAGATTGGAAGAGTCCAACTCCCTGCCAGCAAAAGTCATCGAACTCGACGACCAGGTCATGGCTAAAGGTACAGTTAAGCCCACCAAAGAAGTATACGCAGCTGGACTACTCCGTTATAACCAATTCGGAGACTTGATGGGTATTAGCGAGGACGACCACATGCCAGCATCAGACAGGCTCATTATCGGTTTCATCGGACACTACGCAGGGAAAGTATCGGGAAAATCCATCTCAAATTGGTTATCTGGCCTCAGACTCTGGCATGAGACGATGGGAGCTCCTTGGCCAGCAGACTCACGTAGAATTCGACAAGCTCGACGTGGAGCAAACATCGAAGGATCACTCCACAAACGACCTCCACGACACCCCATCACCATCGAACATATGAAAGCCTTGTACAAAGCACTCAATTTCTCCACCCACTTCCACTGCGCTGTCTGGGCTCTTGCCTGCACTGCATTCCTTGCATGCCGACGATTGGGGGAACTAACCATCCCATCGCAGAATGCTTTTGATCCAAAATTCCACGTCACTCGAAATGCCAATAATATTACTTTCAATTCCAACCCCACTTCGATCCACTTCCGCATCCCATGGACAAAGACTACAAAAGAAGAAGGCGCCTCCGTGGTTGCCACCAGCCCCCTGGATGACAACATGGATTTCATGTGCCCATCGAAAGCCCTCCAAAGACACTTAGCAAAGAACGCAGACGTTCCAGAAGATTCCTCGCTATTTGGCTACATTGATGAGAACGGAAAACCACAGCACATGGTGAAGAAAGTATTCCTCGAATTTTGCTTCGACATATGGAATCGTGCTGCACTCCAAATTGTTTTTGGCCATAGCTTCAGAATCGGAGGCGCTGTCTGGCTACTTCTGGCAGGAGTTCCCCCAGAAATTGTAGCAGCCACTGGAGGATGGACCTCACTGGCATTCCTACTATACTGGAGAAGACTAGAAAGCATAATCCCACAGCACATAACAAAAGCCTACGAAAAATCGCAATGGAATACCCTTCGTGATAAAGTCGACTCATTCCGCAAAACAAATAAATGTCAAACAAATTCATTGAAGCATGTGTAACTGGTAATGACATAGAAATAGAATTTTAATACATTACGAGCCTCCGCTCTATTTGGGTGATCCAGCTCCCGTCCATAAATGTCGAGACCTGAGAAGGAGCTATGGCTCTGTCTGGGATGTGCAGGCCTCTCCATCTACGGGTGGGAGCGCGGGGCCAAGCCCCAGCCAAACCTCAACTCAGAACAGAACAGGTGACTTACTTCATATTACCAGAAGTAAGTCTGACATAGTACAGTCTCGCAGCTACTTATCTTATCAACATACCAAGGTGTAGCAGGTCAAAGAAGAAAATGCCAACGCGAAAGAAAGGTCAACGCGCGACCTTCCGGGAGTGAATACGGAATTAAGATAGCAGTCTCAATGCTATTGCCAATGACACTTCAGTACTCAGTGTTTCTACTTACTTATTCGCCACCAAGCCGGCGACTTCGTCGATATTTAACTCGGCCAACGCTGCACGCCCTTTGTTTGCCCACCAATTCACGATATGAACTGTGTCAAACCAACGATCTCCAATGATTCCCCCTCCACCACCTGTCATGCCTTCAGCGCCGCACAATACAATGCCACCACTTTTAAGCCATCCAGATACATTATCCTGGTATTTGACTGCATCGAGGATGCCAATTACCGCCAGTAGAATCGAGTCAAAGGCGTCAGAAGAAGGTGGGGGGGCGAGGCTGGTCTTGAGCATGGAGGGAGATAAAGTCAGGTTGTCAAATAGATCAGACACGCCTGGGACAACGTCGTCTTGCTTCTTCTTGTCTGGGTGGGAGGAACCCCATAGGTGGCTGAGATCGCTCTGGCGTTCGGAGTGTCCGTATTCTTTGACAAAGATATGGTTCCAAGGTTGAAGCCGCGCTTTTTGTGTAGAATCATCAACGAGAAGCGTAGTTTTGGCGGAATGTGAAGAGAACGCCTTCCATAGCTTGTTGAGGTCCTTGATTGTAATAGATTTCTTGTCTGGAATCGTAATCTCTTGAGTGAGATGAAAGGACTCAAAGATACACCATACGCACGGTAAGCAATGGGATCCAAATCCAGGGTATCTCTGGCCCAAACAGCTTTCAACTCTCCGGGACGGTCGCCAAAGCAACGTTGAACCATGTCTTTCACACTGGGCGGTTGCGCGGAGCTCCAGACCATAGTATCGAGCCAAATCTTCGTTTGAGGATGGAACAGATATTCACGAAAAGAAGTTATGTATGGTCTCGGGTGTATGACTCTAAGTCTGACAGAGCCGTGTGCATCATGAGCAGGTTTCGTGTATCTCTTTGGGCGGAATAAGAGGGTACCGTTGAGGTCCAGGACTAGCAGTTTTCGATGTGAGGCGGGGTGAGAGATGAGAGATGACGGTGCTGAAGAAATGGCGGTATAGATAGGGTCTAAGGACTGTGAATTTCGTTTATCTGTTCTAGCGGAGAGCTTGAGCCTTGAATTAGAGGACATGCTGGGCGCGAAATTTGGTAAAGGACCGCGTATGATCAAGGGCTTCTTCATGAGTTTAGCTTTTGCCAATTAGCTTTTGAAAGACAGAATGAATAGAAACTCACCAGCCCAACTAAGAGCTGATTATATAGGGACGAAAGAGATGAACCATGATTTCGCGTGACATGTCAAGAGCCTTTGTCTTTTCAAAAGTTCTTTTTCGGTTTTTGCGTTCGACTATCTCTCTCTCTAGCAGGTTGGTTCTGAATCAATTATAAGCTCTATGTACTATACAAATAATAATATCATCTCTCAGAGAGTGAACTGACCAGGAACTGACTGTGCTAAACAATGTGCTTTCGGCGCCTAAATGCTTGTTCATGTGACAGAACGGGCGCTTATCTAACCCTTCACCTGCACTAACTCCAATTGATGCAGAATTCAAGACAAACCTCCAGAAGCCCGTAGGTCTTCAATTTGCGCAGGCCCTCGCATGCATTTGTCCGAGAGGACGCTGCTTCGATTCACAGCAATGGCCGATATGTAGGATCGATCAACCTTAGATTTATCGCGGATATGGATGCAATGGTAGGCAAGTGGATCGCTTCCCCGCTGCGGAGGGGCTGCGGATGTTTCTTAGCGAATTTCTGAACTGAAAAGCAGTGAATGACCTCGAGAGGCTATTATGGATATAAAGGAAGTTTACAACGAAATAAATTTTTATTGCACCAGATCGAATTCTCCTAAACATGCACTTCCTCTCACATCTCGCAGTTCTCAATTTAGCCATGCTGGCGTTCGCTCACCCTGGCGAGGAGGAGCATCGCCACGACCGGAGAGCGGAGCTCAATATTCGCGAGTTCAAAGTGGCAGCCAAGCGGGGGCTCTCCGCCTGCTCCGAGAAGCTTCAGCGGCGGGACTTCCATAACCGCGCCGCCGAACGTCGTGCAGCCAAGGTTGACTCTTACCGCAGACACAACGGGCTCCGCGCCCGTGACACAAACACCACTGCTGACACTTCGCACCTCTCGTCCGCTAACTACACCAGCGGTACACCAGAGTCGACCATTTTCGCTAGTAATGGGACGTGTATCCTGAACCCCGAAGGCGAAACTGGTCCATATTGGGTCAAAGGAGAGCTCATCCGATCTGACCTTCGTGAGGAGCAGCCCGGTGTACCTATCACCATTGAGGGCCAGTTTGTGGACGTCGAGACCTGCGAGCCTATCGTTGGCCTGTACTGGGACATTTGGAATTGCAATTCCACTGGAGTCTACTCTGGTCTCGTAGCTATGGGAAATGGGAATTCCGACGACGAGTCAAACATGAACAGCACTTTTTTGCGTGGTATCCAGCAGACTGATGATGAGGGTGTCGTTACTTTCGACACCGTCTTTCCAGGTCACTACAGCGGTCGTGCTACGCATATTCACATGATTGCTCACCTGAACGCTACCCTTCTCTCAAACAACACTCTTTCTGGAGGAACTGTCCCGCATGTCGGTCAGGTTTTCTGGGACCAGGATTTGATTAACGATGTCGAGGCTACATACCCTTACAATACCAACACTATTGCTATTACCGAAAATGTCGATGACCGTGTCTTTTCTACAGAGACCGAGGACACCACTTCAGACCCTGTCCTCGAGTACGTCTACCTCGGGAGCAATTTGAGCGATGGTCTTTTTGCCTGGGTCACTATCGCTGTCAACACTTCTGCCACCTATGACCCTAATTACTCCTTTGTCTGGACTTCAGATGGTTCCATTGCAGAATCTGGTGGAGAATTGACTGTTAATTAAAGCCATCAACGGTACATATATAGGTACTGACCGCTACCGACTGTTACATGCTCGATGGACGCATGCTCGATGGTAATGCTCTTCCTTCAACCAAGTACTATAATCTCTCTACTCATGGACTTGAATCTGGATCAACTATGCATGTACAGTATACAAATATAAAATATTTGTTTCCACAGAATGAAGTTAGCGCCTTGAGCTTAGCGCCATCTCGGCTGGCTTTTCTCACACATACGTTTCATTCCTCCTCCCTCCTTCGTTCATTGCTTCTGTACATAGACTGAGAAGAATTTCATGCCGGAAGTCATTGAGCGTAACTCTGGGTGAACTTTAGTGTGCGGAAAGTAGTGACCAAGGAGGACCAAGGATGGAACCCATTTCAATCGCGTGCGTTGTTCCAGCTTCCTTTTTCGATAATGCTAACTCAGTAATTTCTAGTATGATCGCAGACTTTTTTCATCCGGACGTCGGCGGAGTCGAGAACCATATCTATATGCTCAGTGCTAATCTTATTCGTCGAGGGCATAAAGTGAATCATTCCTCCTCTCGCTCTCGTCTTTACTATTGACGGCTGGTGTCCTCCAGGTCATCGTCATAACACACAGTCGTCCTCCAGATCGCGTCGGAATTCGATGGCTTCTTCCCGCTTTGAAAGTATACTATCTTCCGATAGTTCCTATCGCATCTGGCGCCACTCTACCCAATTTTTTCACGTTCCTTCCTTACCTCCGTACCATCTTAATTCGGGAGCATATCAATCTTATTCACGCCCATGCTAGTCTTTCGTCGCTAGGTCATGAAGGAATATTACATTCACATTTATTGGGTGTTCGCACCGTTTTCACGGATCATAGCTTGTTTGGATTCGAAGATGCTGCGAGTATCTTGACAAATAAGCTCTTAGCTGGAACATTGAGGAATGTTGATGCAGTCATTTGCGTGTCGCATACTGGGTAACTTTTATTCGAGATCCCATAATTGCTCAGTACTAACGTCTCGATTATAGACGAGAGAACACTGTACTTCGAGGAGAATTATTCAGCCAATCCGATGACCACCCTCCACGATTGGTCGTGAGTTCGAATGTCTATGTCATCCCAAATGCTATCGTTGCAGAGCGCTTTCAGCCTGGCCCGCTGACATTAAGCGATACGAGTGCGTAATCTATCGTCTGTGTCTAGGCTTCTCGCGTTCACATTACTTCCTAGTCACTATCGTAGTGCTCTCGCGTCTTGCGTATCGTAAAGGAATAGATCTGTTGGTTGCTACCGCGCCACGCATATGTGCTGCCTTTCCAAATATCAAGTTCCTCGTCGGTCAGTAACCTTTGTGTTATCCAATTTTTCATAATTCTTACGTGCTGAACAGGCGGTGATGGGCCCAAACTGATAGATCTTCTGCAAATGCGCGAAAAATTCCTTCTACAAGATCGCATTGAACTTTTGGGACCAGTCAAGCATAATGACGTTCGGTCGGTGAGCCTCATATCATCAGGCCAGCCAAATTCGTTCATTTATCTTGGAAATACACGCAGGTCCTCATTAGAGGCTCTATCTTCATTAATACCTCACTAACCGAGTCATTCGGCATCTCCATCCTAGAAGCAGCCTGTGCCGGACTCTACGTCGTAAGCACCAAGGTAGGAGGTGTCCCAGAAATTTTACCCGAGGACATGATCAGCTTTGCTGAACCAGATGAAGATGGTAAGTAAATACTCCTTCCGTTGTGGTTGTGTCTCAATAATCTTTGACGCAGACGTATTCCGAGCCATCTCTGAAGCGATCAGCATTGTTTCTGCGCGGAAACACGATCCTTTCAAAGCTCACGAGCGTATCAAGACGTTTTACAACTGGGCTCAGATAGCTGAACGTACAGAGAATGTGTATGATACTGTGATGAAGTCTGAACAGCGGGAATTATGGGACCGAATTTTACGGTATGTCATTCCAATATACCAAGACTTTTGACGTCAACTGCTCCTAGAACTATGCAACTTGGGCGTTATGCGGGACCTATATACACCATCATCCTACTTGTCGACTGTCTGTTTTTCCTCTTTTTGGAGTGGTGGATGCCTAGGGAAAATATGGATTTTGTGACGCATCATTGGGACCATAGGCGATTTGCTGCTGTGAGTTTCTTTCTACACTTCATCTCAGTATCAATGGCTAATTGACGTCCTGCATAGATTACTCGGCAGCAGGACCAATAACTAATAAGCTCAATGACTGTAGAGGATATACCCTTCCGATGTGATACCCTATCAATAATACTTATGCGGAGGACATAGATCGGCTTTGGTTATGGTCAGGTGGTGAATTTTTAGTGTTTTTTTTTCATCAAGAATTCAGTAACCGGATTTCAACCGAAGTCCGGGAGAATAGATATAGAGTGTGGCGCTTGAACTTCGAGAATCTTTATAAAATGAACAAGATGACCTCAGATTCACCGAAATCATTCCTTCTCCCTCTGCACCGTCACAGCTATGCGTGTCTCCTCTTCCCTCCGTAATATAGGTAGAGTCGCCCCGTCAGCCGCTGTGGTCGAACGTGTGCGGAGGCCTGCATACTTGTCAAAGATTGCGAATGCTGAAGACTTGGTACCATTGTTCAAGGTTGATATCGGTTTTTTCACTTCTTCTAGTTTGAATGCTGACTGTTAGCATTTAGAATGATGACTATGTAGGTTATCGTGTACATTGACCGAAATCGTCGTTCTAACGATATTCAGATTGGCTGGTCTGGATTTACCGGAGTCGGCTACCCCAAGACTCTTCCAACTGTTTGTACCTTTCTCCATCACCGGAGGATGCACTGATTCCCACGTGCATAGGCCATTGCTGATCATATCGAGTCTAACAACCTTCAGAGTGATCCCGCGACAAAAAAGAAATTCAACCTTTTCGTTGGTGCCTCTGTTGGGCCTGAAGTAGAAGACCGATGGGCCGCGCTTGATATGTGTGCATTATTGAGACTAGGATTGCTCCTACGCTAACGACTTGGACAGGATTGCTCGCCGCTATCCTCATCAGGTCGGGAAAGAGACTTCCAAAGGAATCAATGCTGGCCGCATCGAGTTTGCAGACAAGCATCTTTCTAGTACGTCAGATACCTCAATCTCATCCTTCATACACAGTTCTCATCGTAGGTCTACAGTGTTCCCGCAAGATTTGACATACGGTTTCTACTCCCTTCGTAAAAAGCACGGAGACCCAACCAAACCACTTGACTGGGCCATCGTCGAGGCTACTGCTATCACAGAAGAAGGTTACATCGTACCCGGTGCTTCCGTTGGTGCCAGTCCCGAAATCCTACAATCCGCAGAAAAAATAATCATCGAAGTCAACACACGTATCCCCAGTTTAGAAGGCCTACACGACATCAACCATTCCTGGATTCCTCCACACCGACAGCCATACCTCATTACACATCCCTCGGATCGTATCGGTCTTACTGCTATACCCATAGATCCTGACCGCGTTGTTGCGGTGATAGAGGGCAATAAGCCTGATAACACCGGAGAGAATGCACCTGAGACTGCGGAAAGCCGCGCTATCGCCAAGCATTTGATAGAGTTCCTTTCTGGGGAGGTTGACGCTGGAAGATTACCTCGGTCACTACTGCCGTTACAATCTGGTATAGGAAATGTCGCCAATTCAATTATCGGTGGCCTTGCGGAAGGGCCGTTTGACAATGTTCAAGTGTGGACGGAGGTATTGCAAGGTGAGATTTCCTGCCCTAACAAGGATGTGCCATTCTGTCTCATCATGGGCCTCAGATACGTTCCTCCAGTTCTTTGATTCCGGAAAACTTGATTTTGCCACCGCGACCTCCATTAAATTCAGTCCTAATGGGTGAGTGTCTTTTCCAGTATTATGTTCGCATTCAATCAAGACTTTTCAAGCTTCGACCATTTCTACAAAAGTACGTTTCTTTCAAAGGATTGAGAGCTCTAGCGCTCAAGCGCTCATACCGCACCTCCTTAAACAGATTGGGTCAACTACAAAGATCGTCTGCTACTTCGTTCTCAGCAGGTCGCCAATTCACCAGAGCTGATCAGACGACTGGGTGTCATTGCAATGAATACACCGCTTGAGGTCGACATAGTACGCTTCGATTCTTTGTGCCTCCGCATTTGTACTTATGGGGCTTTTCAATGCAGTACGCGCATGCCAACTCTACCAATGCTCTTGGTTCTCGGTGAGCTTATTTCACTAATACGCGTACACTTGCTAAAGGTTCTTCTGCCAATAAAGGATGTTAAACGGACTCGGCGGTTCTGCAGACTTTCTCAGGAATGCGAAGATATCTATAATGCACACCCCGTCTACGTATGTTCCTCTTTTCGTATATAACTCTTTTGCGCTTTCACTCAATACACGCAACTGTTGTAGCCGACCAACGAAGACCGACCCTACAGGAATAAGCTGTATCGTACCTTTCGCTTCACATATAGACCAAACTGGTGCGTATATTCCTAGGGTGTTCATTCATGAGAATAGCTTTGACGTAGTCCGCTCGCGGTCGACTTAGAGCATGATCTGGACGTCATCGTAACAGAACAAGGGCTTGCTGATGTCCGTGGACTATCACCAAGAGAACGTGCACCGATTATCATCGAAAAATGTGCGCATCCAGATTACAAAGAGTTATTGCATGAGGTGGGGAAGAGGATCCTTCTGATTCTGATGCTTTAATGAAAACTCATGGCCATATTCCCTTTTCCAGTATTATGACCGCTCGTTGCACGAATGTTTGAAACGAGGCGCAGGACACGAACCGCATATGCTGAGGGTGCGTTTCCTTTTTATTGCATGCACCGTTTCCAAAGATCTATTTCCTCCTCACAGAATGCCTTTAAGTTCCATACAAACTTCATGGAACACGGTACGATGAAACTCAAAAGCTGGGATTGAATCCATACTCCGGCTAATGTTTCTTTCTCGAGAATTCAAATGTTTGGTTGCATGTATGTATGTACATATAATTTATGAATTTCGTGCGTGAAGAACGTTCAATGCAAAGAAACAAAAACATCATAGATTCATGACAAAATAGAGCTTCAACGACCAACCAGATAGGACTCGACGTCTGAATAGTAAGAGATATATAGTACATAAGAAAGGGGGGTAACGAGCAAAAAGAGAGGTCGATGGTACGTCTATTAATGAATGCAGGCATAGCAATGTGAAAATTTCTCTACGCTCGCGGAGTCTTCGCTTCAGCTTCCCCTTGTTCCTCGTCAATCTCTTGTAGCTCTTCCGCAATAGCTTTGCGCCCCTCTTCGGTAAGAGTCGGGACACCAGATGAAATATCTTCTTCAAAATACTGTGGCACAAATCTGTGAAATTCCGCAAATGAGTGAAAACTAAATAAGTATGAGAAAGTATGATACTTACGAAACACCTTTCTTCTTCCTCTCAGCAGCTTCATCCCGCTGTTTCTGCTCTATAACAACTTTCTCCTTCGTGGCCTCAGAAAAGTCTTTCTTCAAAAGCCGACTCGTCACACCCTCCCAGAGCTTTCTGCTCTCCGTCGGCAATTGTTTCTCCAACGGACGCACCTGCTTAGGAACGACCCATAATGTTGATAAATCAATCAAGGTGTTAAATTCGGCACTCGGTCCTGTGAGATCAGCTTTGGAAGCTGCACCGTAGGATCGATTTGATGCAGATGGTAGTGCAATATGTGACGGGTTCGGAGAGGAGGAGGCAGATGGTGTGGCTGCAGGGTATGATCCAAAACCAACTCGCTTCCAGCGAATAAGTCCCCTCCAAGATCCATCAAGGACCGCGGCAACTCGAGAGTGTGGTACATGTTTAACCTTTGTCCATTCTTCATGCTGGGTATCGCCCTCGAATACCGTGTGGATGACCCCTTCTAGTAGAAAATGGGGTTTGCCCAACCATGACTAGAACAAAATGAGTGATTAGCACCCGCGAATACTTAAGCAAGGTTGACGCACCTGTTCCTTGTACTCTATGATAGTGCGAAACTTTTGGCCGTGACGGCCGCCAGTACAGGTGATTATAGTTGTATCAGACACAGTGATATAGAAACTTCCGCGCAAGATACCATTGACTGATGCGACGGGATGGGTGACCTGGTACCTTTCCCCTTCTCCGTGCCCTCCAGTGATGTTGATAAACATGCCTTGGTTGTAGCTTCCCGGTGCAACCTTGAGCGTCGTACCAGAAACCTTGGCGGATATCTGATCAACGCCAAGCATTTCTACCGAACGAGAAGGGCAAACGCCGTAGTAGGCGGATATAGGGGGATGATGCGAAATCTGTTCTGTGAGGTACACAACGCGCAAGTTATCATCAACAGGCTCTCCTAAATTGAGTTGGGAGATCTGGGCACTGACATCGCCGTCAGCAAGCTGCTGCGGAGAGGTGGCGGCGGTGGAGGGACTCTTGGGAGTAAGACCGCTCATGAAACTCTTGGAACTCCTGGAGCTCTTGATACTAGCGGCATCCGAAGGATTCTTGTATGTTGTTTCAGGCGGTGTAAGCCCAGATGCCGTAGGAGCCGTCACCAACACCTGGGCGACGGGCGGTTCATCAGGATCAGTAGGATGTAAAACGGGCGGGACGTCCCAGTGGGAGCGAAAGTGTTCTCCAAGGACTGAGTTGTATGGTTTGCAGACTTTGCCCCTCTACATAGAATGACTTCAAGACAAGTTATTCACGATAATGTTTTGACATACAATGTACTTGAGATCTTTAGTAGCAGCGAAGCGTATAACTGCAAGCATTCGGTCGAAAGCGTCATCATAATCATTAATCCTGGGAGGAAAATGAGTGCAGTGGAAGGATGACTGAGAGTTTCTACGCACGCAGCAAAAATGTCAGGACGATCCAGATAATGAGAAAACTCGAGGTTCGGTATTGGCTCCAGTAAAGAAGCAGGTAGTGAGAGCCGCCTATATACCGCTATTCAGCTTCATTACATCGTTCATTGACTGAAACAAACATGGAAGCAATATCTTTCACTCCAAGGCACTTCTTCACTAGCTGAACAATCATCTTGAGCTTTCCTCCTTCGCCAGCATCTCCGGAGTCAGGTACAGAAATGGCCGATTGAGCATCGTCTTCGTGCAGGTTTTGCACGGTTTCATCCTGGGAAGACATTATGGCGGTCGACAAGAGAAAGAAAGAAGAAGAAGTAAGAAAAAGTCAATGTTGGAAAATGAAAAGTTGTGGTCGTTAACAAAGAATTGGTGCACGGACCAAAAGACTATATCAGACAATTTCATATGCGAGTTAGTTACATCATGCACGTTGGTCAAGCTTAATTCGAAGTCGGGCACTTGCCCCTTCATCGGCATCATTCAACAAGTGGATCCACAGTAAACAGTATTAAAATTAAGATATAACTAATAATCCGAAGAATGACAAGGAATGAAATGAGGTTAAATCCTTACGAGAGAAAGGAGGTAATGATGTACTATCGTCGCCTCTGAAAACAGTTTACTGGCTCAAAGCAGTGGAGGGGAGGAATCTCTGTAATACGCTTGAGGTGGTCATGCAGAAGGCGAAAAAGATTCCAGGACCGCCAATGTAGCGACTATGTAGTGTTGCATGTTCAAACCTTGCTCGGCAATGTATATAGGGTATGATTCGTCCTGCGACTACGGTTAGGTGGGAAGTGATCCGATAAGATATACGTTACATACCTGCGGTAAGCCATCTCTAGACGTGAGACGTGCAGTTGTTGCTATTGGATGCTTTGAATGTCGAGCATAGAGCGTACGGAACGTCGCTTCTGGAAATGCTGGATCATTGCCAACCCAGATGATCTTCCATTTGTATTCCACGCCGTCAGGTCCTACAAACATTCTGCTGGTTGATCTAACAGTGAAAAGACCTATGTCAGGCGCAGTCGATTTTGCCAAAGGCAGATTGATTCACAGCGTATTGCTCTTCTTCAAAATATCCTTAAGAACTCCAGTTTTATTGCCGAGGGTGACACTAGATGGTGATTGTAAGAGTGATATAAGATCAAGGAGAGGGGGTGGGGCCTACATGCTCTTGTCCGTTGGTTTTCCACTGCCTGGGACCCATTGAACTTTGGCAAACGGCTCTCCTGAATTTTTGTATCCCCCGACTCGAAACACCAGCAATTCTTTCGTCTCAGTCGCCGAGTATGCGATAGAACGATCACTGGAATCAAGACTTTTGTTGATGTATTGGACCTAACATTCAAGCAATGAGTGTTATAAAAGTAGATACAGACCACTTTCATTCACCGTTCTTGTACCATTACCAGCAAGAAGTCCTGGCTTTCTCCAAATTCGTTTCACGTAGTGATCAGGAATCATTGACGAAGTAGAGCCGATATCGTACTCCGACCCATCGCCATACTCTTTTGAACGTATAATCAAGGTAGCGTCTGGAGTGAAAACCATCTTCTGGGTATCAAAAAAGACCTGCAAAGACGTGAGTTGAGGAAAGAAATTCGGTGCTAAATCGACGTGTGCTTTTTATTTTATCAAGGGTTGGATTGATCTGGGAACATTAAGATAGGGGCAGGGACCGCCTCGGCCAGCTTCGTTCCCAATTTCATTTCAAATGGAAGGCGGCAAGTTGTACTTTATGATTATACACTATTGACGCTTTCGTACCACTGCAAGATGCTGCCAATGAGAAAAGCCCATCCACCCCAGAATGTGGAAAGGGAACTCTGATATGCAGCCTTGGTGCTGACTTGCGCAGCGTATCCAAGGGCGCCACAAAGCGTAAACCCAATGGCACCAATGAAATTCCAAACTGTCAAACGTTGGAAACAGGTTTGAAATTGAAAACGCGAAACGACATACTTGCAACCTGCCACCCAAGAGATAACGGATTTGGTAAATACCATCTCTTCTGCGTTTCGAGCAGGAGTAGTGATCTATGGATCAACAGTAATTAGCTATCAATGAATGAACTTGATGAAACCGGGGCGCACGAGCTGATAACAAATCCCATTCCGCCTACAACTTGTGGGGTCCAGAAGACACCATCTAAAACACCTGTTCTCGTCTCGATGGCAATTTGGATCGAAGGAAGTGCAGTAAATCTTTGTGTTCAAAAGTGAGAAAAGGTCTGTGGATCGCTTTAACGGCTGATACGTACCCGCTAATCCAAAATATCGTAGCTGCCCAAAATTGAGAAAATGCTGCGAGGAAACCCAATTCATGCCAATACTTGGGATCAGACGAAAACCAACGCCACTTCTGCTGGCCCTTCATATTTCCTTCTTTGCCTTCGGAGCTCGGTAAACTTGAGTCAGCGATGCCTCCGCTGGTTTCCAAAATATTCTCATATCCAAGGACTTGACGAACTCCCCATCCGAAATTGGCCGTCTCTCCACGATTCCAAGCCTCCAAAACGCCAAGAACTGCGCCTACCTCGAAGACAGTCGCTCCAACCCACGCTGTCCATCCAATGCCCGAAGTTGACATCGAGAACGATGTATCGACGAAGGGAAGGAAACTGTAGAAGCCATTTACCACCCAAATGATGCTTCCGACAGTGAAAGCCTAGAATTACAATCATAAGATGCATTTCAGACGTTGACTCTATTCTGGGCTTACCATAGCTACCCACCAGCTCACATTCCAATATTCCAATCGGGCCATATGCTCTATTCCTACAAGAAGGTTTTTGCCATGTCGACTTCTGTCCTTGTTGGGAGTATATTTGACATGTCTGTTCTTTCGATGATCTCGCGACTTCCAAAGGAATTCCTCATCCCTGTCTGGATCCTTTGAAGCCAACGTCGCGCGGGTCGGGTGCAAGAATCGGCCAATGCCATTTGGGAAAGCGTTGTTAGGGGAATGTGTGAAGAGAGTGGGTTCTAATCTGTAGTGCCATCTACCATTTTTCGTATCAACCATAGGACACCACGGTACTCTTCCGCCTATATCAAACGTAGTCAATGATGATTGTAGCCATGACTGAAGTACACTGATTGAATTTGGTAATGTATTGGAAGGTTCCCACGAGGATTGCGCAAACCCTTCACACAAAAAAAAACAGCCACCATCTATCTATCCACATGAAAACACAAGAATTTCGGGTACTTATACGGAGAAGTTGTATGTATTTCTTGGTAGGCCTCGGATGATCGCTGATGACTTCGAATCGGCGCTCGCTTATACAATCCTACTTGTGTCCGCGAACTGGTGGGGACTTTAGATATTTGAAAAAAAGATTCACAGGAATACTCATTTACCTGAATATCTGTCTGTCGTACCGCAATTCCTAAATCACCTTGGATTTGAGGGCCCTAAATAGGGGCATAAACCCGGAAGATAAAATAGATTCAGCTGCGACGTACCTTTGAGTCCCTCGAAATTGGGAGGTCAGACAATTCGGCATCTTCAGGGGAATCAATGAAGGAAGGCATCACATAGTTTGTGCCCGTTTCGGTAAGAACATTCCTGCTTCGAAGACTGGTGAAAATTTGAGAGTAAACAGAAATCCTCACACGCACCCTCTTTTGATGAAGTCTCTAGAGTTCAGCGAGACCAACAAAGAGTTAGTGTAGACTAACGGAATCGAAAGTCTTTAATTGGCGAGAAAAGACCTTATTGGAAATTTACTAACGTCTACCTTCTGTATATCCGCTCAGTCCACTGTTCACTGGACTAGCAGGAACTAAACTCACGCAGGAGGAAAAAGAACATGTAAATGAATGTTGTGGGCCAAACATTAATCGAAATGCATGCCCAAAGCGCGCAGAAGCTAACCGGAAGCCCAGTATTGAAGGTGAAGATGATCTGAAAGGGCGTGGTGAGCTGAATGTAGGAATTTTGCATCAAAAGCATGTACCAGGCGATTTAGCATACTGTTGGTCTTCTTGTGCGAATTCTTGGCTCTCTGCAACAGAAATACCATTGCAGTAGATATTAAGATATCGGATGCAGCTACATCCGCCTTTATCATCGAACTTCGAGCAAACAGTCGTGTTTATGACACTTACCGGCCAGAATATTGCATGACATCGACAGATTCTGGAAGAAAAGATCATTAATAGAGATCGACGATAAATTGGAATTTACCTTGAGAGTGGTCAATTCTGCGTAGGTGGAGAATCGCAGCGATAGGCAACAATACACTTGAAAAATGTGCAAATGGAAACAGAAGAATCAGCCCGGACCCGTAGCTCACACCCGACAAAGCTTGCTTACCGAACAAACTTGCTAGAATACCATGGATCCTTGAGTACAAGCAGAAATTGTGAGCACATATGCCTCACTGAACGCAGCCCAACTAAGAAGGACCTAAGAATAGTGAGTTTACAATTGTTCAGGTGCCTCGACGGTCACCAGACAATACTCACAAGAGGTATGACGACTATGTAACTTCCTTGACTCACTACGAACATGGTAGGCTAATTCAGTCAAAAGTAATATACTCTTACTTACGACGCCAAATTCGCCAGCAATAGAATCTAAAAAGGAATAAAAAACAAAACAAAACTACGGTGAAAGCACGCATACATCTGCACTGCTAGCGCAATGGCATCGCTGAAAAAGATCTCAATGATAAGGGTGCTACAAATATGTCGACATGAGCTCATGCATTTGGAGAATCAGGAAAAAACACCTACTTCAGCATGACCGCTAGTACATCTTCATTTGCGAAGTTCTGTATAGTCAAGGTTGGAGGTTTAAAATGCCAAATTGACAAGTTTACTGACCAAGATGACATATTGATAGACTGAACAAGAGCGCAAGTTCTAACAAGGTATGCATGCGAGAAGGCAGCTTACCACAGGCTGCGAAGTGAAATTATTTCATGTTTGAGTAATACTGTACAAAGGAGATTCACCGGTGAGGATTCCCACTTGTAAGGTGTCGCAAATAAGGATAAACCAAACCTAAACTCCCACAAAACATCAGTCACGCACAAGCATCACAAGTTGAATCCGAAATTTTACCAAGAACTTGAGGTACCAAGGGTCGCTCTGCTGATATTTCCGAAAATACATGTATGCTTGAACGCAGCCCGCTGTACGTTTAGTATGAGTTCATGCGCGCCTCAAGAAGGTATGACAATGACATACCTCCGTATAACCTTAAGCAGATATAATGTCGTGTTAGACAAAATCTATAGATCAATAGACAGAGAAGAGCTCACGCTGCCCCGATGACCACAGCTGAATGATATCCCCGGTCAATCGACTCGTGTTTCTGTTATACCTGTCTTGACACCCACCATCGAACAACATCCCAAAACTGCTATGGCGGCAATGATGATGAGGGATGAATGCTGATAGATGCAAGCAGAGCAAGGCAGGACGTACGTAGTATTCATGCTCGACGCCATCCTTTACAGAAGACACGTAAAGAGCGAGGAAAAGACACAGACGAAGTATCCAGTACAAGTATAAGTAAAACTCTTGTGGGAGTCAATGTCACTGTCATAACGTACGACATAATGTAGAAGACAAAATTAATGGTTAATTCGAAGAAGCTTCAGGGAAAGAATCTTTGTTGGAGGGTTTAATGAAATTCAGCCATTTAAGCGCTAGGCAAGCCATGCAATTGTGATTCTCGAAAGGGAGTGAATCTACGAGGTGCAGTACAGTCCTGTACGGCTCCTGTGACAGAGCTATTATCGTAGGTCATGGAACACCAAATGGTACAACAAAAGTTACAACGCACAGAGACTGGAAAGACGGCACAAAATCCCTGAGCGTGTTGGGGAGAAAGTTCCGGGTCTTTTTCGCCCTTCACAGAAGCGAAAGAGAAGCTGATTGAAAGGAACCATGATAAGATATGGAGACTGCCAGTTACAGTAAGTTCTTTGCATTATGCGCAGAAGACAATAAAGCGGTGGCTGTTGACGGTAGCGGGGACTTTATGATTCTGAAATTCGAGCACAATGCGTGTCTGAACCGGATCTAACAATTCCGAAGCGAGAGACACAAACGTCGGGAAACGAAGAAAAGACAGCCGACTTTGACGGTATCAGTGATTCGTTGACTTATCTAGTGCCGCCGGCAAACCTCGGCATACCCTTCATGCCCAGCAACTTCAAATTTCTTCAATGGACGAAAAATGCTCTTTAGGCGAAAAACAATTCGATGTCTGTAATCAGAAGATTTCTGGAGGTTTTTGAACTTCTTTCTGCAATCATGAACCAATGCAATGGTAGACTAAAATGGAGGGAGAAAGTACATAGTGGTTCAGCCTAAGGACATCCTACGCCATTCTTTTCCCCAGTTTGAGTCACCATGACATTCGCCGTTGGAGACCTCGTACTGCTCGCGCTGCTTGCTTGCTTCACCTCGTCCAGACTTTTTTTTAGTCGGAAGTATCCTCATTCTCTTCCACCAGGGCCGAAAGGTTGGCCTCTTATTGGAAATGCTTTCGACATGCCCAAAACGCACTCATGGAGGACATTCGCACAATGGGGAAAGAAATGGGGTTGGTCTAAGTGTTCTATCTACTGCTACAATGTATGATCTAGAATATTCACTTTTTTGTTAGGCCCAATAATGTCGGTCAAGGTGTTGGGGACACCATTCATAATCATCAGCAATCCTGACATCGCCGATGAGATGCTCGGGAAAACAGGCTCACTCTATGCTGATCGACCCACAGTGCAAATGGCTTTATTAACGGGCTGGGTGAATAATCTATATCGTGAAACTGCTGGAATGCCTTCTCATTTCAATATTTTCACTTTTCAAGGATCGAGCGCTGAGCGGGGCACGATACAACGCCCGTTTCCGAGAGGTATCGCGATTCCTCGCCTGCCACTCGACTCTCTTACTAACACTATGTCAGTACCGCAAACTTATTGGGAAGGTCATTGGAACGAAAGGAAGCATGGCGAAATTCTACCCCGTGGAAGACTTCCAAGCTAACATGCTGCTGAAGCGGATTTTCCAGAATCCAGAAGACCCTGCTGCTGCTATCAGGAAGTAAGTACGCAATGATTTCAATAAATTCTTCCCGTTCAAACACCTCTTCGCAGAACGGCTGGTGCAATGGCAAGTTGTTATCCAAGGGAAAGATTTGAATAACCTTACATATATGGCAAAAGGTCCTGCATCTTACTTACGGTTACAAGATATCTGAGGACCGACCTGATCATTTCATTACAAAGGCCGAATTCGTAAGTCATTCTTTTGTGACTTTTCTAGTAGTTCCGCTGTGCTCAAGTCAATTCAAGGCCATGGAACAGTTCTCTGACATTCACCGCACCGGGGCCTATCTTGTCGAATTTTTTCCAATATGTATGGGATTTTTCTGAATCAGGACGTGACATTAACTCTAGCATTGAAAGTGAAATACATCCCTGCTTGGTTCCCATTCACAGAATTCAAACGGAAGGTAAGTTCGGAAGACTCTTTTCGCTCACTAATGCTCACGTAGGCTCAAGGCAGCTGAATGCATCGGTCCTTGTAACGAAATGGCTGATGTGCCTTTCGCCTATGTTGAAGAGCAATTGGTTTGTCGAGCTACAGCTCTGTAAATCTTCACAGCTGAATTTTGTGTCGGAAGGGTAAAGGGGAGGAGAATAATTCTTTTGCTGCCGATCTTCTCAAGGACAAAGGTATCTCTTCGGAGAAGCTTACCGATTTGAAATGGTCAGCGGCTTCGTTTTACGCAGCTGGAAGCGACACTGTAAGTCTTGACAGCAACTTCAAGCTGGCTCTGAAATCCGACGTCATTACTTTGCAGACCGTATCGGTTGTATATAGCTATCTGATGGCAGCCATTCTCTATCCTCGAGTACAACGCATGGCGCAGGCAGAAGTCGATTCAGTTGTCGGCAAAGACCGACTGCCTTCTTTCCAAGACAGAGATTCTCTGCCTTACATTGAGGCCCTCGTCAAGGAGCTGTACCGATGGCTTCCTATCGTACCGTTAGGTATACTCTTTACTGCCTTTACTGTTTTTGCACTTGTCTAAACTTTACTTTCGTAGCTGTTCCTCATAGGGCGATGAAAGACAATGTGTTCCAGGGCTATTATATTCCAAAGGACTCTTTGGTTTGTGTGACAATCGCACTTTATTCACATACCCACACACATACCATTGCAGGTTTTTGTCAATGTCTGGCACTTCCTCCACGATCCCGCAGTGTACAAAGATCCTTCCTCCTTTAACCCCGAGAGATTCTTAGGTCCAGATGCCGAACCAGATCCTATTGACAGAGGATTGTTTGGTTACGGACGTCGGTGAGGAGCAATCTCTCAGTTGTGTAAAACTCGAAAAAAAAAATCTGATTGCGACCGAAATTAGTGTCTGCCCTGGAGCCCATCTGGCACGTTCTCAAAATAGCGTGAATAAAGATGTTACTGTCGTGCTGATCTAGTGCTTTTCAGGCCGACGTTAGTGTTTGGATCAACATAGTGAAAGCTGTAGCCGGCATCGAAGTCAGTCCAGCCGTCGACGAGAAAGGACAAGCCAAGATGCCCGTGCCCGAGACCACGGACGGAATCATAGTGTTAGTCTTCCTTTCTCTTGAGTGAAAATACGCCACAACCTCTGTAACGTTTTGGAATTTCAGTCGCCCCATACCCTTTGAATGTCTTGTCAAACCACGCTCGGAGCACTTGCTTCATGTGCTGGAGGAGGCATTGAAGGACGGAGAAAATGTGAACTAATTGCGGAGAGACTATAGCCAATGATTCCCATAGTACGTTACACTTTTGACAGTATCTAGTCATGGATGATACATACAGGTATATGTATCAAATGCAATCAACAGAGGCGGTTGGGTATACATTGCAGAATGAATTCGTACTTTGTTTTCGAAATGGCCAGTGTCAGTCAGTTTAGGATAAATGTTAAGCGTAGGGCTGAAAGACGCCTCGATGGCAAGGGTGCGGGTGAGAATATGGCTGGGTCTTCGCTGTTGTCTCTGACAGCGATTCTGCAAGGGTCCTCCCGCGAGTGAGCTGCAGACGAAGTTGAGCTCTGAGTAATACCAAGGTTGTGGAAGGGGTGGACTGGAGTAAGCGAATTTTCCTCGGTGTTGAGCTCATCCGTCATGGGGCCAGAAGGCGGATTCATTGAAGATAAAAAGCCGGAATAGTCAAACGAGTTTGGTAGTTCTGACAAAGGCACCAATGACGACACGGGGATTGTAGCACCCGCTGGAGCATCAGTTATTGAGGAAGTCGATTCATACTGTCGCTCTGGATCAAATCTCATGTCCACGATGAAGGTATATTATTCCGCGTACTCGGTGTATGGATGCGTTTGAGAACCGTCGTGATATCGAGCGCATTCCTCGCTCGCGAGGATATTCACTTTGTGTTGATTTTGCTGTTGAAAGACAACCTTATGGGACGATGAGCCTTTCGAAAAGGTCAAAATAATTGACATACCCAAACGCGACTCGTGCTTGCCCGTATTTCTTTCTTTTGTATCGAGGTCTTTCTGCATTTCAGCGTCTCGTCGACACAATTGTTGGTGGTTGAAAAGGACGAGAAAGTAGATATATTTACTTAGTTGGAGTCATGATGTCAGGTGATATAATAAACAAAAAACGATGATACTAGTATGATGAATGATTGGAGACAACATTCTCTCTACAGTAACTCATACCAGTCATAAATGACGCGTTTTAGTAACGACAGGTCAAAGCTGGTTATATCAGGACGGAAATGGTAAGTATTATGGTATATGACGTAAGCTTTAATAACGAGTGATTGAATCATAGTCAGACGATTTCAGGTTAGTAAATCGGGATGTCGAGGCAAGGTCTGTGCGGTCCTTGGCCTTTGTCCAGAAGGAAGACGACGTATACGTTCACCCCCATCCATTTCCCACTCATCTTCCTCTCTGAAACCATGAAGAGGGACTCGTCCGTCATTCCTATTACTAGCCGCCTGACGGGAGTCGAGATCAAACAGGTTGGTTGAAGAAGTCCTCCTGTGGTGACTGAGGCTTGAACGTGTAGCTGCCGCATTTTGTCCATCCCACCGGTCCAAGGAAGTTCGATCACCCAAGCTCTGCCTAGGAATGAAGAAGCCACTTTCACCTGGGACAGAGGAGCGTAAGGGTTGAACCAGAGAATCTTCAAGGGCATCGTTTTCCCTTCTGGAAACATCAAGGACATGTACACCAAGGAAAGTGACAGCAAAACCACAAAGTAGAGATACCGCACCAGCAGCATTGTCAGTGTTGAATCCCTGGAACAAAATCAAGGAAGCCACGATTGTTGCAGAAGTAAATCCGACGTAGTACATGGGATTAACACTAAGCGTAAACGTTGAACGGCATCTGCGGCAGAAAATACACAAATACCCACATGTTGACAGAGAAGGTATCCAAGGATTTGTTGTAATAATTGAGTTGAACGACAGCACTCAGGATAAGAGCAACCCCAAATACGTATGTGCTAGGTCGAAAAAACTGGTTGTTTCCTCCAACAGTCAACTTGATGGCGATACCGAATGCTTTGATCGACATGACCGAAACAGAACCAACGAGAGAACAGATCGAAATATATACCCACGGCAAAGTCCGGCCATAACGTGGAACGATAACAGTAATGGCGACCACAGAGTAGATGAGAACAGCCATTACATAGAGCATAAACGCTGCAAATATATAATGTAAGAAATACGCGATGGCATCAATCAGTTTGACCACGTACCCGGCTGAGCAGCATATTCCAAAATCTGGTCCACGGTGTCTACCTGCTTATCCTCTGGGGCATTTATGACAATCATAAGAGAGCCTATGAGCGATAGGGTACAGCCCACCCGTCCTAGATGTCCTAGAAATTCCCCTAGCATAAGTGACGCAGCGATAGCGCTGTCAAGGAAGAGTTAGATAGATTGAGGGTCAACAAAAAAGAACGCACCCAACAAGCACACTGAGAGCACCTAAAGGCGTCACCAGTATCGGAGGGGCAAAGGTATAGGCGGTAAAATTGGCAACTGGAAGCGTCATCTTTAATAGATTCAAGGTGAATGTAATTTGAAAGACAGTTCACTTTCGCCCAGTATTTCTGTAGAATGATGTTGAGATAGGTATAAAGCCCTGAAGTAGAAACCACGTACGTGTACTGATGCCTAGCCACTACTCAGAAATGACATTCAGCTCACGCTAACTTGTACAGCGTAGGAAACTAACCCATATCGAATTCTTGAGATAGGCATGATTGTCAGAAGCCGATGCGCCCTCTATTGCAGCAGCGTTCAAGCCCTATTGAGGATAACTTGCTGTCAGTGAGACTTGAGAAAGGAAGGTTGATGAGTAAAGCATAACCTTTTTCGTGATGATGGAACTCATTCCAATGGCCACCGAGCTAGATATGGCCAAAGTCAATCCTATCCATTTATCTTCAGCGGAAGATGACATGGTGGCTTGGAGAAAGTGAAGGCCCTCAAATGCGCGCAGTGGGCGTTGCAACTTACAGCACGAAGATGAAATGCTAAGGCCCTGACAGATAAATAGACGCGGTGCGGACCGCGCCGTTGAATTAACTACTGTAATCAAAACGTTTCTCACCGGCACCAATCTGTGAGAGAAGCAGCTTGTACATTACCACGATTTTAGCCATACATATACATTCTGCAATGAAGCAAAATCATATTTGCGTACAAGTAACGACAATGCGACTACTGAATGCGCACTGGTCACTAGTCATACCAGTCCATATACTTGATATCCAATACATCAACGAAGAATCCCAGAGCAAACCCATTCCGCATCTCAGATGTAACTTGATGAGCCCATCATATATCCTTTGAGAACGAGCGGAAAATTGACGGGGAATCCGTTTGGAGGGTCATCTACAAGTACGAGAGGGCACATCGATTTCAGCTTAATCAATGTTGGGTATTGATCTTCAGTTGGAGGATACCACCTTCGTTACACAAAGGAAGTTTCTTCTCGATTTTGTCCAAAACCAAAGGGATCATATCGGGATCCGGACTGAAATCGAAGCAGATGCGAAGTTGCAAATGTTTGAAGCAAGGAAGCATCATCATTCTTTGGTTGAAGAATTGGTCCATTTCCGACCAACAGAAGTGAAAATAGGAATTTGACAGGTGGCTATGAGGGAGATAAATCGAGAAACAGATCGTCGTAAGTGCCGTTGAACGTATTGAGGAGATAATCCTCGAGATCCATGGCCAAGGATTGGTCAATCGGTATTCGGCAAAGTAGAGGAGTCGGTCAAAATGTATAGATTCCAATTGGGTGTTTAGACTCAAGTTACAGTTCAAATAGAAATCATCTGTTTGAAGGGGGCGTTAGAGAAACTCAGCCACATCGAGTGGATGACTTACCTGCATCACCACCCGCATCTAGAGAAGAGAATCCAAGAGACAGAGAAGCAAGATCTTTCCCCAGACGACCAATGTACTCCCCAATAGCTTCGGTATCTGACGGGGAGATCAAGCCCAAATCAAGCTCTCGGATGATAGGAAGAGCTTTCTGGGATAGAAAGCACTTCATGACATCTCTTTTGTAGCATCCCCAGAGACAAAGCTTGCGAAGACTCGGAGGTATCTCATAGTCGTATACATTGTCGGGGGTATCGTTGGTAGGAGATCCCCAGCCAATGTTGTTGAGAGAGGCACCTTCTAGCGAATGAAAGCTGCCCAACATACACAAGACCTGAGAGACAGAGGCGAAAGACACGCTGGCGAGTTCGATAGAAAGTAGATTGGGAAATCCAGACAGAAACTGTTGATACACGCGCGGATGGAAAGACACTAAATCAATGCAGTCTAAGAACATTGATGTTGCAGTTGGGCCAATCGACGACGCGACGAAGATGAGGATGTCTTCTCGTTCAAATAATCCTCTAGGTGGGGGTCCATCGTCGTTGAATGGAGCATCTATTAGATGAAGTTCTCGAATCCTTCCCGAAATCGTCTGATAAGGATTGGTCAGTAAATCAGCCAATTTCGTGACGTTTTCTGCGGTTATGATGATAGACCGAAAGTAATATGGGCGGCTACATTGCAAAAACAAGGATGAAGTCAGAGCGAGATTAGCCAGAGAGTGTTGGTCGTCTATGAGCGAAAAGATGATATTGAATATTTCTGCAGGAAGTACAACCATTGAACATGAGCGTATGGGAATATCTCGTCATATCTTATCTAAGCAATGTTCTACTAATCTCTTTGTGTCGAGATGTTGAGAACCTCGCAATTAGTACAACAGCGTTCGAGGCCTGGTACTGGTATACACATGACTCTCTCTCATCCTTCTCTTGCCATTTATGTCGAGCAGAAGGGAGTTGATTCGATGTCTCGGATTACCATTATCAGCAGTGATGTTTTCCTGAACAAAGATGAATGACATTGCCGAAATAGATGATAAACAGCAAGCGAACCTTATTACTATTAGCTACAGGACTCCCAGAACCGACTGTTGATCTCCGGGGGTTGGGTGAGGCTGGAACAGAAGGATTGACTCGAGCACAAGAAGAACCAATAGTTGATCTCCTTGTACCCGAGGTACCACTAGCCCAGCTCGAAGACACCTGTAGGTAAATGAGCAGATTGCGAGATGGGAAAGGAAACATAGCTCACCTTGACACTCCGAAGGCTAACTTGAGATCGATATGAGTTCCCAGAGCTTGGTGCGCTCTGTTGTTGCTGGACCAAGCCAAGACGCCGCCGTCTGACAGTTCTTGCATTTAGTCTGGAGAAGGATAGATTCGAATAACGCAGGATCAGCGTAAGACATGACCGTCATTTATAATGTGGAACTGTCAACCCACGAAGCGAGGAGAGAATTCGAGTAAACTGGAAAGTGGAGAGTCAGAGATACAGTTGACATGAATATTTGTTTCTTACGCGTGGCCAAGGGTAGATAGACAGCAAACCATATATCTAGAAATGGAATATCAACATGTCCAGTATATAGCCATACAACTTAAACTAAGCCAACGGACAATTGAATTCCATGAGATGGAACTAAGAAGATCGTGTCAGTAATATTGAACAAAGGTGGTCAAAAAATTGGCATACACAGACAAGAGCAGCAATTGATGCGACACTGGTGGTTCAAGGTATGTTTCAGAAATGCGATTGGACAATCATCGAGCACAACGATTCTCACCTGGACAATAAACCTGTTTCTAGAAAAATCGTCAAAAACAGGTAGATGAGTCTTGGAAATCGCCACACACCGATTGTCCATAGTAGTAACTCGTTCAACATTTTTGCAGAACTAACGACAAATGATATTATTATTTAACTTCATGAACAGAGCAAACTTCCTATACTTTTTCATTGGAGAGGCATGTACCGGCATAGCAAGTTGCCTCAATTGATAGACCAAAGCTGCTGCAATAAACACATCCGCCAACGCATCTAAGCCCAAGTTCAGGGTGATGAGCCAACCCCATTCTCTCTGGAGTTCGAAATTGTTTGGCTCTCGAGGAACGTCTCGGAACGTTTCGTAGGTGACCATCAACGAAGCACCGAAGTTGATGACGGTTAAAAGCCACCCGATGATGGCCAGCCACCATTTGGAACTAAGTCGTCGAACGCGGTCGATATAGTAGGCCTTGACAGCCAATGTTGTCAGAAACGCATCCTGAAGTTATACGGAAACATCTGGTATACCTTAACAAGGAAGGTAGTGACCGTTGAGCATAGCGTGCATGCGGCAATGGAATACCCATTACCTGGTTTGATGACCATATCAGCGATTGTGATAGTGGCCCACCAAACAGAGCGAGCGGTTGCGATTGCATGGCCGAGTTCAAGAAGCCTAAACGATGAGATTTGAGTTGTAGAACCACATTAACAAATATCAAGGAAAGACCGACAAGATTGAGGTAATCTAGATGTCAATGCAAACGATTAATTGAGCGCGCACAAGGAAAAATTAATAGCTTTACGAAGAAAATAAACCACTTAGAATCATCCTTGCAATTCTGGTAGTAGACGTGGCCCTGCATCGTCACAGCACCGAACATGAATATGCTGAGAAAAGCACCAATCTCCAAAGCACCTAATAACTTGGATGAATCAAAATCAGGAAGAGGAGGCATTGTGAAAAAGCGTTCAGGAACAAGCGATAGAAGTGAAAGATTAAAGTAGGGCACCAGTGCACAAAGCAGACCAAGCAGTTTCTGAGAACTCTTATAACACACGGACATCAAGAGAAGTCGAGTCGAACAACCCATGATCATCATCACATCTAAGGATCATCACAAAGATGGTGATGTTTTGTGTATTCGCCACAACAGTTAGAAACTGATTTTGACCTACTTTGTTTTGTTTCGACGTTTTGTCTTGACGTTGATTCGCAGCATATGTAGTAACCAAAAATATCCGGGGTCCTGAGAATGAAAATAAGTCACGCTAAGTACATAGTTCATGGGTATTCTACCGGTATTCCATCTCATCCACATCATTGACATTGTGATTGTTCGTAGGCTCACAGAGCACTCCGAATGAATCTAAGAAAAGGTTAACAGAAAAACCGAAGAAGCCGCAGGTTTCTTTCCTGTTGAGGGGGGAACCACGGACTCCAGCGTTAAAGCTGACATCAACGAAGCACAACCTGAGTGCACGCCAGGCGACGAAAGAGAATCCACTTGAGCAACAAGCAAGGAGACGACAAGAAGAGTTATTTGATAAACGGGTATCCATACTGAGGGCCTCTTACGGAAACGAAACTGAGATTATCATCATCACAAAAGCAGCGTAACACTCACCCAAGAAGTATGAAGCAGAAAGGCAACATTCAACACGGAGCGGTAAACTAAAATTGCACTGCTTAATAATAAAACTTTAGGAGCAATTTATATGACAAACGCCACGGACGGGAGTGTTCTGGTGTGTTACGGGCTGAAGTTACGGGTATGCGCGTCTCGCGCCTTAGAGATTCGAGCTCAGTTCCCGTTAATCTCTTTCAAGTCTAATCCCCAGAGATTCGACGAAAACAAGTTCGAGAATTGAACGAGTAGGGGAGACAAGAACCGGATAATCGACGAAGGCCTGTTTTGAAGAGGAGCATTAACGGGTACGAGTAAAGCTGAGTAAAGAGACCTGCTACTCGGAATGCATTTTATAGGACAAAACGACAAAACTGAGCTGAAACTCCAGTTTCACCCCAGCAAAATTTCGTTGGATGATCCATAACCCCCCTCTGAGACTGAGTCAGAGCCGAATTTCAAAAGGAAAGACGAAGCCAAAAGACTCCGAGTCAAGACTCAGAGCACAGTGACCCGTGGAGTACGTAATCATCGAACGGTGACTCGAGTCCCTGCTTCTCGAGCTGCTTGTACTCTTTCAATCTTAATGCCTATTCACGGTCTACCTCCCTCAGAACGGCCCATTAAACCTGTTCACTTTGATATCGAGCAAGTCATCAGACCCAATATCCTTGCGCTTCATCCATACCGCTGTGCGCGAGATGATTACAAGGAAGGAATCCTTTTAGATGCGAACGAGAACGCCCTTGGACATTCAATAGCTAATAAAGCATCTCAGAACAATGGTGATTCATATGATTCTACACTGGACATGGACCTCCATCGATATCCTGATCCTTCCCATGACCCCATTAAAGAACGAATCGCCGCTCTTCGTTCTCTACCCAGTGTCGATCATGTATTTCTCGGAGTAGGCTCCGATGAGGTGATAGATCTCCTCATGAGAGTCTGTGTTTCTCCAGGGAAAGAAAAAATATTGATCACACCGCCGACTTATGGAATGTATTCCGTTTGCGCACAGGTAAACGACGTCGGAGTAGTGAAATGTCCTCTGGAGCTGACTGGACAGGTCGGAGAAGGTGGAACAAAAGGCAGGTTCAGTCTTAGAGTTGAAGAGGTACGTGTAATATTAATTGACTTTATCGAATGCCAATTATGAGTTTTGCAGGTCAAGAAGGCTATTGACGTCGATGCGAGTATCAAGCTGGTGTTCTTATGCTCACCAGGAAACCCGACAGGAACTAAGATATCCCTCGAATCGATAAAAGCTATCTTAGATTATGAGAAATTCAAGGGAATCGTTGTGGTTGACGAAGCTTACATTGATTTCGCTGGAGAAGGATCCAGCGCTGTGGAATTAGTCAAGGACTACGCTAATATCTGCGTTTTGCAAACTCTAAGCAAGAGCTTCGGCCTTGCAGCCATTCGGTTTGTTTTTCGTTTGTGAAATACATCAAACTCTCATTTTCCTCTCCAGGTTAGGTATTGCAATCGCACAACCACCTTTGATCCAGGTCCTCACCAACACCAAAGCCCCCTACAACATCTCAACACCCACTGCTCACCTTGCATTATCCGCATTATCTCCTTCATCACTTGCAAACATGCAGTCTAAGATCGAAACCCTCATCGCCTCACGGGTAGCTCTACTCAAAAGTCTTTCTAACATTGCACACCTTGGACTTGGTTCATGGATCGGGTCCAATGATGCCAACTTTGTTGTCATCCCTGTCCTTTCAAAAGACGGAAGTCGGCCTGACAATGTTCGTGCACAAAAAGTGTATAAAGCACTAGCGGAGGAGAACGGTGTTGTAGTGCGGTTCAGGGGAAATGAGCCTGGGTGCGAAGGCTGCCTTCGTATAACGATTGGCAGTGAAGAGGAGAATGCGACAGTCGTCCAAAAATTAGAGCTTGTACTGAACCAATTTTAAAAGGGGAAATAGATACATACATAAACCAACAGACTATTCTACTTAAATATCCTGCATAAAATATATACTGTTTACTCCCCAGTGGAACCGGACTGTGCACCAGCGATTGGGGCCATACAACTCGATACCAACAAAGTATCCGTCCAGGTCGTCCCACTTTGTGTGGGAGCCTCGCCCTAGTCAGAACTGTTATTGAGTGTACCCCCATTCTATGATAGGACACTTACCAAAACATACGTTGGGGCGAAATTACCTGCAGCCCATCCGACATAACCAAGGAAGACTGCGATAAATTTACTCAATCGTGATGTTCTCAGTTGAACATACCGAGGAGCTCACCATCAGAATTCTGAGCCTGATAGGCAATCTGTTGACACATGTATTCAACACATGATGCCACATTTCCTCCTCCGGTCTCTGTATTGAAAGCCTGACGGCCGTTTTCCCGCAACCATGTAGCTAGAGGTGCCCAGCTAGAGTCGATGTTGTTGGTAACACATTCTCTGAGAAATCGAACATTGATAGTTAGAAAAGCCGTAAGTAATCTTTAGGTGTTTAACTTACTCGTTTGTTCCGGAGTTATCGAAATCAAGATATTTGTGGACGTCGAAGATAAGACCAGTGGTGCTACCATCAGGATTTGTAACAGTGAGGAGGGCAGGACCAGAGCCATTTGAAACAAAGGTTTCTGCCGAAGTCCAGTTGTTGCCCGGAAGAAGAATCAACTGTTTGGTAGCACTGAAAAACAGCGGTTAGTAGAGGCAACAGTCGTCAAGTGGACATTGCTTACCCAGCATTTCGAATGGCGGTAACTGCAGCTTGAACAGAACCAGCCCAAAGGTTGATATCGGGGATATCGTGAGGCTCATTCATACTGTGGGTTGATGTATCAACAATTGATTGGGGTTACAGAAAGACGGGATAGCGTACACTCCAAATATGATCTTTTCCTCATCCGCGTACTTGGTAGCAATAGATGTCCATACTGCGGCGAACTGGTCGTTTGTTGGTCCACCTTGCCCGATGATCTGAAATAGGCAGAGTGTCTAATTGAATCTTGCCAACAAGTATCGCTAGACGTACCAGCCCGTTCCACCTTGCATAGTTGTGGATATCAATGATGCACGAAGCGCCGGTAGCCAAGCACGTCTAACCAGAACGATTCAAACTTGGTACAGTACGCCTCAAAAAAAGACCAAACCTGCACGAGAGCGTCGTATTCAGCGAGGTTATCGGCGTCAAGATCTCCACCAAGGACGCCATTCGTAAGGAACTGCCATCCAACAGGAAGACGAAAAACGTTGTAGCCGTCGGTCGAAGTATAGTGCTGCATCTGGCCAGCACCATCCATACCTATGAACAATAAATAAAGCAGCTGCGACAGACAAGGGCAAGCATCAGTAGCGTACCATAGTACTGCGTCAAAGGTGGCCATGCACCAGTCGGGTTGCACGTTCCATCCGACCCACAGCCAAAGTCGAATCCAGCGATATTCACACCAGTAAATGTCAGTGTGTTACCAGAGATCGGGGAGATGCTAGGAGTCGAAACTGGAGCGGTGCTGGTCGGGGTCACTGTCGATGTAGAGGGGACACATTGCGAGTAGCCTATGGGAAAAAAAGATATTCATAATCACGATCTCTCTTGAAGAATCAGCTGAACCTACTGGAACTGTAATCCGTGCAGACAGTACCAGCCACACAGGTTGTAGGACCTGTCCAGCCCTAACATTCTCACATCAGTACAAGGTCTTGATAGTACGATGTTGAAAGTGACTTACTGTTCCACCACATTGTCCCCATTCTGGAGACTGGCCATGAACAGACACAGCAGCAGATAGAGCGAAAGCTAGGGCAGAAAGTCTTTTGGAGGGCATTGTTGTCTGACCACGAAGTTACTAGGTCATGTTCTTATGGTCTCGAAGCTATCGGATCAGGTATATAATGTAGGGGTTGGAGAAGATACACCGCTAGCACAAGGTGCACCGAGGAAGCTCCGAAAGGATCCTGCGAGTAAAGTGTGGTTGATTTTCGCGTCATCGTCGGGAATCATTGTTCAAAGGTTGTCGACGCCGCAAAGATACATGATGCGCACTTGACAGAAGTTAGGAAAAAGTCTAAACAGGAAGATAATCGTCAACGTACGCATTTTAGATCCTTGAGCTTAGTGCTTAGTAGAAGGACCCTTTATGACGGAAAAATATCTCGAAATTGTCGGTCCTTCACAGTATATCCTACATACATGTTCCTGAGCAAAGATTCTGCTCTTCTAGTCACGCGTCAAATCCTGTCAAATCTCGCGATAGCAAGAGTACATATCAGCATGGAGAGTTGGTTGCAGTTGAGTGGAAAGTATTCATTGTCATTTGGTGACCACGTATTCGTGGTCGTCGACATTAATGAGCGAATGTGGAGGCGCTTATTATTTATTCAGATTAGACGCTTACTGCTTTTTTTAATACCATACTACGATCACTGGTGACTGATCGCTATGGATGAAGACCTTCCTTACACATTGTCCAACGTTGCTCAACTGGGTGGTGAGCAACATTGATCCGTCAAGTGTCTCCAATGCCAAACACACCTTGCACAGGTCACGAAGACCGAGCTTGGCACATAGCTTGGAATCCCGCGAAATCACTACTGGCTTCCTGCTCCGCCGACAAATCCGTCAAATTGTTCACTTATAGCCATGATGGCGAGGGGACCTTAAACTTTACACTAGCTGCAAGCATACCTACTGGACATCTCAAAACGGTCAGATCTGTAGCATGGTCCCCTTCCGGTCGTACTTTGGCTACAGCTTCATTCGACTCCAACATCGGGATATGGGAGCAAGAGTTAGACGATAATGGTAACCCAGGCGAATGGGAATGTGCAAGCTTATTAGAAGGCCATGAAACCGAATGTAAGAGCGTGGCGTACTCGAGTACAGGTACTTTGCTTGCTAGCTGTAGTCGAGATAAAACGGTTTGGATATGGGAAGGTGTGTGTTCATAATACGAATATCGAATACCAACTATACTTACATCGCCACTCAAAGTACAACCGGATTCGGATTTTGAATGTATGGGAGTGCTCATGGAGCACACTCAAGACGTCAAATGCGTAGCATGGCATCCAACAGAAGAGGTCGACGTGCCCTAGCCAAACATCTTTCGGTCTTTTTATCTCATTACTACATCGTCCGTGCAGATTCTTGCTTCTGGATCTTATGACGATACGATCAAACTATACGTTGATGATCCGCAGGATGACTGGTTTTGCTGCGCCACCCTTACTGGGCACCAGTCAACCGTATGGTCTTTGTCGTGGTCTCCGAATGGCAAGTATCTCGCCTCTGCTTCTGATGACAAAACAGTGCGTCTCTGGAGGCGTAACGGCGAATATGATTTCAAGTGTGTGCTAGTGCTGGAAGGCCAGGAGAGAAGTGTGTATTCTGTCAGTTGGGGTGTAGGAAAGTCAAGCCAAGAAAATGACTCTTCCCTCGGTTGGATTGCTAGTGCTGGCGGAGATGGTGTTGTCCGTGTGTGGGATCTCTCTGTAAGATCTGTTTCAACTTGCTCGAAATTCTTATCAAACCCACCTGCCTTCAGGAAAATCCTTCCTCTACGGCAGACGTTCCATTGGTCAAACTCATTGCTCGTCTGCCTGCAGCGCATGGAGTTTTTGATATCAACTCAGTGGTGTGGTGTCCGCGGAAGGGTTATGAAGATCTTCTAGCTACTTCTGGGGACGATGGTATGGTGAAGGTTTGGAGAATACAAAGAACATGACAATACAATACGACCCAAACTGTATCTCACCTCGTAAAACTGGCAGTAGTCACACAAACACTCCAAACAACATATGTAAGTCTCACTTATCCGGCATTTTACAACGATCTGCATCCCGACCTTGTCAAATTGCAGCAGCGGTGCGTACGCTGTTGTATCGTGGATTTCCGATTAAAAAACAACATAACCCTCCTCAAGCAGACTGCGCCAGTAACGAGAAACGGTTTCGATGGTTGCTGCAGAATTGACTTCCTGTGTCAGTGCGCAGAACAACAAGAGTTTCATTGCCAATTATGCAGGCTTTCAAGGAATAAAGTAGAGATGGGTTGGCAGCATATGTTTGCAACCTTTGGGTCTTGGAAAGACAGCTCTGGCAGTGATGGGAGATAAAGCAGAATCGTTACCGTCTCTTTGTGAGTGAGACTTGCATGGCACTGGTCAGTAAAGTTGTGAGACTATATTTCGAAGGCGGAAACTGACCAGGACGGCGAATGGTTCTGGTAGAGATACTTTGGTCAGCACGAGGCTGGTCAACTTGGGAATAATCAGCGAAAGATGCAATGGAGTAGTACATCCATTGGTCGTTGTTCAATGAATACAATCGAAATGCGCGGGGGGAGGTGACTGGTTTTCTAAGAACGAGGCCGTCTATCGTAAGACGACGGACATTAGACATTGGAACATCCATCGACGCGATGCCCCAAACGAGCACCATATGTATGTGTAGACATCTATAGACCTCCATAAAATCCGGCGAATTTCTTCGCGCCTGTAATATTCTCACGCATCTGTCGATGCGCCCATGTCGTTGGCTGCGAACGCTTGTTTTGAGTTTCCTGATTGGAGACTCAGAGGTTGAGTGAGGCCCTCCCGTAGATTGTTTGATAGATAGCTTTTATCCCGAAGGCTAAGTGACTTATTCGAATTCTGTTCATCCTCATGTCAGTACCCACTCACGGAAATTACTATGGGTAAACTTTCTCGAGTCTCCTTTCTTTATCAACACTATAGGATCTGACAAGTCTTCTCACAGCTACTACCTGAAACGGCCGTCTGTTACTGATCCTCGACTGGCACTGCTGCCAGAAAACACGTTCAGTGGTAAACGAGTTCTGGATATAGGGTGTAACGCAGGATGGGTCACTTGTGAGATAGGTGAAGTTCCGCTTCTTTATTCCAATCAGGTTTTTAGGACTGATGCGATGTGTATTCTTATTTCAAGCCCAATCTAGGGGCGCACATAAAGTAGTGGGAGTCGACATTGACAATACCCTCATTCGTGCTGCGTGGAAAAGACGACAAGTGGTTTGGTCTCTACAAAAACCTCAATCATCACAATCAAATAAAGGCAATGACTTGATGGATTTTGAGGACCTAACGCGAAACGCCTCGATGGAAGTTACTTATCTTCAGGCCGATTACTTCCCTGCTTCCTTGCAGCATTCCTTCGGTCCCCTGCCTATTCCACCTTCAAAGATCCGTGGAAAACATGCGTTTCCCCATAATGTCTCTTTTAGAACAGCGGATTGGGTTACGGAAGAGATCGTGGAGGATGCAAATGGATATGATGTGGTCATTGCGCAAGTCTTCCAAATATCTTGATTGTTCAAACTTCGTTGACGCTAACTCTTGAGTAGGTTTTCGATATCAAAGTGGATTCATATCAATGGTGGAGATGAAGGGTTGCGCGCTTTCTTTCGTCGTGTGTATTCAGTCCTAGAGCCAGGAGGTGTGTTCATTCTGGAGCCTCAAGAATGGGACACGTACAAAAAAGCCAAAAGATTGAACGATGTGAGTGGCTGTTAGTCTGGACGTCTTGATTCCGTGAACTGACACTTCCATGTATTGGAAAAAACCTAGTCGCTCCGAAACTCTGCCCAAACGCTTGAACTGCGTCCTAGTGACTTTGACTCCATTCTCGGAGATATAGGATTCAGTCCCGCCTGCCATCTTGGTACCACCGGAGATGGAGGTGAGTGATTTTGTTTGACTCTGAAGCTACAGAATGTTGTTAAGCGGCCGGTCCTAATTTGTTATTTACTGTTTAAGGGTTCCGTCGAACTGTTGCTCTATATGTTAAACAGCATGTGACTTGATACAATGTCAATCGGTATGGATGCATTCCATCGCAGATTTTTGAAGGTGTTTTTTTAAGAACTCCGGCTCTAAGCTTTCTATATGATTTTGTCGGCAAGAGAACCTTAAAGAACCTTAGAGAACCGATAGATAATGGTTTACATTCCTCGGTGCCTGAAAATGATTCGTGAGATGAGAGCAAATCTGATCTCAAACTGTTATTGCACCGCATCCTCTAGCCCGTGTAATCTTCTCTTCCCTCTCACAAATTACATACTCACAAATTCTGCTCACTGCGAGCGGCTGCGAGCGGTCCCAATTTAGATCCGAGGACTTGTCATCCGCGTTTACCGGCGGGCCGAACCAGTTCCATAGTTTGTCCATAGACCTTACTCTCCCGCAGCTCATTCATTCCTTTCTGCTTATATTATTTATCTCCGGGGGAAAAATCACCACAGAATCCTTCATCTCTTGATCTATATCTTTCGGCGCGGCCTGGGACGATGGCGAAATCGAAGGCTCCGACCCCTCAAGAAATTTACCGCGCCAAAAAGCAGCAGGAAGAGCAGGAACGACTGTCGTTGCTGCCTCCCGGTCTAATCAACCATGGAAATACTTGCTTCATGAATTCTGTGCTACAAGGAGTGAGTTTGTGCTGTTCTCTTGGAGTACAAATTGAACCCAGCTCTATTCCATCTAGCTCATCGCAACCCGTCTCCTATCGCAATTAGTACACTTCGAACCAATTCCATCACAGGTTCAAGAGCACTCTAACACGTTGCTTGCCTCACAAAGATCGCCGCAGCTCACGAATGGACATGAATTAGGAGGTATATATGAACAAAAGTGGGATAATTCGATGCCCATCGGAGACGTGTTCATCAGTATCATGTACCGTGCTTGGGAAGCACAGCGGCTACGGAAGCGGGAGAGTATGAGTCCTCAGTGAGTCATTGTTGCGTTTCATTCTACCCGACTCACTTACTTATCGGTTTCCAGACAATTACTCGCCACATTAGGACGTAAATACGATCAATACATGGACTTCGCGCAGCAGGATGCTCATGAATTCTTGCGCATATTGTTAGATGCTATGAGGATGGAAGAGTTCGATGTACGTGTCCTATTGCTAGCCCATCACTACGGCTACCAATCCGATTAATTGCAGGTAATTAAGAAACGCCAACCACCTCCTTCTCCAGGCAACAAACGTCAACCTCAGCGCCGCTCCACAATCATGCCTACCAATGTTCATTCTGTCCTCGATGAATCTGATCACGACCAGGAAGCCGAATCCACCCAGCTTACATCTCTGTCTGACATGCTTTTTGGCGGACAACTTACCAGCATTCTTGTTTGCCAGAAGTGCAAGAACGTCTCACAAACCTACGAGGATTTTAACGATTTAAGCTTAAGCATCAAGGCAGAGGATTACGCAAAGGAGAAAAGGCGCGAAAAGTTGAAGAAATTCGCTCGGAAAATGGGCATGGTTGGCGGGAAGAGCAAACGACACACTCCTACCCCTAGTAATGAACCTCGGAGTCAATCACCTTCGAATCTTGCGATTTCAATTTCACCTCCCCTACCTAGCGAGACTTCGCCTCCGTCTCACACCTCTCTCGACGCACATATCCCATCCGAACCAAATACCTCTGGGACCCGGGCTTCTTCTGTCCCTGCTTTTCCGAACGCGAATGGCGTCGTACATCATGAGCCGATCTTTTCTCCAGATGAAAGTCGGCGGAGGAGTTTGGATGGTTTGACGGGCAACAATACAGCTGCCACTGTCACTGACGACGAAGATGACGCTGTGATCATCGATGTATCCACGGATAATGAGTCCACCGAGAGGCCTTTGCCTCATCCGCCTGGTCTTGTCCCGCCCACTTCAGACGAGAAGCATCTAGAATTCGTAGACCCGCCCAAGTTAGTACGATCTGACAAATCGAAGGACAAGGATGGCTGGGCCCGTATTGGACGGAGGATCAGTATGTCTGTGGGAATAGGTAGGAAAGGAAAGGAACATGCAAAAGAAAGGAGTTCTCGCTCTAGGAATCGTCGTAGCATTGATCTTAGTACAGAACGTGCAAGATCACCGCCGAATACTACTGCTGAAACAGTTCGACAACCCGAAATTCGTCTTTCTCGTCCTTCACTATCACCAGAAAGACCTCAGTCAACCCCGCCGATATTTCTCAAACGGGCGATAACATCCCAGGACCAAGTGCCACTTCAGAAGTTGAAACCTCGTCCACAATCCCTGACTCCAAGTTCTTCCGAAAGTGCCATCCCTACCTTGAACGGTGTACACAACGAAATTCATCGACATCATCATCGGTCAAAATCACCCAATCTGCCTAAACCTTCGAAGGACGAAGAAGACTATCTTCGTGCAATATTAGCTGATATCCATACTACACCTGTCTCAGGCGCAAAACCCTTTGACTTTTTGGCCCACTGGACTCATGGGGACGATCCACAAGGGTCTGTACCATCCAGTACATCGTCAGGTTCCTTGCCATCTTCCAGTCCCGCAACTGCGTGGCTTGCAAAATTAGCACAGCTGCCACTGGCTGGAATAGAAGAATGTCTGCGAATGTTCACTGCCGTCGAGGTACTGGACGGAGAAAACATGGTCGGATGTAGACGGTGTTGGAAGTTAGCAAATGGGTGGTACGAGGAGAGGGAAAAGAAGCGGGAAGGAAAACGGGGTCGCGAACGAATTAGAGAGGAGGACGAAGAGGACGAATATGGCAATGATGATAGCGAGGACGAAAACAGTACCGAGGAGGATAGCGGGGACGAAGATGATGAGGATGATCATGAGCGCGGAAGTGAAAGCGAGGATACATCGCCAACAACTTCCGGTTCTATTGAAGAGGTACCTGGCAGTGCCGCGAATCTACGGACGACATCGTCTGCTCCAGCCTCGCCAACTTTAACTCATAAACCGCTTTCCTCGTTTTCCTCGCCGCATCTGGGCTTGTATGCTCATGGAAACAAGAGTGATGCGTTTTCGGTCATATCTTCACCACCAGACGTTGCGGGGAACTCTAATCTCCAAACATCATCCAGTACCACCCCCCAAAGTCTTGTTGATACAAATAACCAACAAACGCAGTCATTCAGAAGGCCCAGCGATTTGATTTCGGAAGGTCCCCGCCTACCTTCGATACGTACCACGACAGAAGAAGAAGGAAGATGTAGTCCTTCGCTACCTACAGCTAAGCCTGACGATAAATCCTTGTTTCGGAGATCTGAAGTATTCACGGATGCTACTCCCTCAACAGACTCTTCCGAACTCTTACATCTTGTGTCATCCAGCACGAATAGTCATATTGGGACCGGAATCAGTGCTTCCACTTCAACGAATTATAGTTCCGATGTGGATGGCGGGGAAAGCGACACAACGTCGATAAGCACTACGGCTTCTGCAGCTGCTTCAGGTCAATCCGTCGAATCGCTAGCTGACACATCAATGACCAATCCTTCTACTACGCCAAGCGCCGTGTTGTTTGAGACGAATGGTAACAACGGTCAGCAGCATCATCGACCATCATCATCCAAATCTCGATCTTCATTGACGAAGAAGAATCCCAAGAAGTCTAAAGGCCCAAAACCTGTAATCATGCGTCCGGCGTATAAACGCTACTTGATCGCTACTCCGCCTCCTATCCTCGTCATCCACCTGAAAAGGTTCCAGCAGATCAATAAGAGCGCGATCATATCATTTTCCAGCGGGTTCAAGAAGCTCGAAGATTATGTTGCTTTTCCGGAATATTTCGATCTGACACCATTTCTCGCGCCCAAGAAAGAAGATTTTGGGCTGGGGAAGCAGAGACATATGGGTGCCAGCGGTGTCAAAAGGAAGAGCGAAAGTCATAAAGAACGGTGTATGTACCGATTGTATGCTGTGGTAGTACACATTGGCAATATGGTAAGCTTTTCTCGATTGACCGGTGTTCAGTGTCAATATCTTACTGATTTTTCTTTTTCTTAGCTCGGAGGTCATTATATCTCTTATACAGCCCTTCCCAGACAGTCGGACATGCCTGCAGCAGCTACACAAGTTGATTCGATACCTCCCCCACCCGCTGCTGGACCTAGGCAATGGGCTTATATCAGCGACACTGTAGTGCGGCTCACCACGCTGGAGGAAGTCCTCAAAGCCAAAGCATACATATGCATGTATGAACGAGTATGAATCGAGCAAGCCTCGTGAATTATCGATTCTGTTGCAACTTGATTCCAAAGGCATCCCGAATATATTTGTATCAATCGACTGTAACGATTTCATTTGCGGACTGTGTAGTCAATGTAAGTAAGTAATTCACCATTATACCTAGATCAGCAAAGCAAATTGTATGTATTACAAGCATTTTACACAAATAAGTATACAAATGATTGGAAACTACGATCCGGAAATGCGGGCTTTGCATTCTTTCTTATGGTTCGACCAATGTGCTTTCTGACATTGACTATCGCAATACCTACAAAAACCCAATTTAGGTCGGTAACCTTCGCAAACCAACAGTCAAGCTCTAGCATATGTACTCACCTGGCGGATTCACATCCTGAACATTTCCTTAGTACCGCACTCGGGTTCCGACACCATGAGCATTGCTTATACCAAAGGTCCTTGACGTTGACTTTGGGAGTAGCGCTAGAACAAGTAAACTTCTTTAAACTCATGTCGTTCAACCAAGCTGTGAGTTCATCTTCAGCTTTCTTGGGGAAATCCGGAGGTGGTATCTGTTCATCGAGGCGTTCGTCCATTAATTTGATTCCTGCTGCCCAGTCCTTCTCGGCTTCTGCGTACAAGTCTACGACAAGCATCTGTGTTGCATATGTTTGCGTGTAAAGGATTGGAGATCTGAGATGTTCGCTGATTTCTTCTGAGATCTTAAGCTTCTTTCGTGCGCCCTATGGGTCATCGTTGGTTAGTATAGGGCTTCTGTACTAGGGATCATAATCCCACCTCGACCATCTTCAAATCGGCATTCGGGCCCTCCATTGTGATCGTCAAAACGATGTTCCAGTGCAGAATAGCCATCATATAAGGATTATCAGGGGGTGCCTGCTCGATGAACGTCTTGGAATCTTCCAACGCACTCATTAAGAACGCGATAGCCTCTTCCCACATCATCCTACCATGCTGATCATACTCTTGAAAGTAGCACACGCCCAAGTCTGCTGCAAGTTCGATTGCACGACGAAGAAGCTGGAAATAGAGATATGGTGTGGTATTATTCTCCTTACACTTCAAACCCTTTTTCGCCGCACGAAGACCATCTTCGCTACCTGGTCGAAGGGTGAGTGCATAAAACGTGTAAGCGGAATCAGGGTTGCGCGCTAGGAATTGCTGAGCCTTGGACTTTATTCCATCCCAGTCTTGTAATCTGATCAAGTACTTCATTTCGAGAATGTCGGCTTTGTCTGTATCAGCAGCAGTTCCTCTGGCGCGCAGCGCTTCCACGCAGCGGGGTATGATTTCACTAAGAGGAAACATAGGCGTTGCTGGCAAAGAGAACTCTGTGAGAAGAGTAAGATCGGCCAGCTTCCCACCGAGGATGTAGTGGTCACGACTGTGAGCCCCGGTTATCGCATCTGAAAGTGCCATCGCATGCCCGCGTTGCTGAGTGGTTTGGCACCGAGAAAGTCCATATTGGTTCATCACCTCGAGAAGATGGGGAGGCCACGCAGAGCCAAAAATCTGGATCAACTGAGCCGGTCCCAATGCTGGTCGGTCTGGAACAGTAGAGAGAATGTAGGAACGTATCATGGCGCCCAAGCAAGACCCACGAAGGCCCCAGTTTTTGCTCTTGAGTCCAGCGACCAGGAATTTGTCCAGATCTGGTTCGGATCTGAAAGCAGCGGAACAATGCATTGCGGAGGCGAAAACAAGTTGATTTCCGTGGTCGATCAAAGTCTTTGAGGCATAGAGCTGTCGCATATGATGAATCGTCGTCTTCAGAATGATTCTCATATCCAAAGAACGGTGAATCTCAGGCATTTCAGGTGCTTGGGAGTCGCCATTGACAGCAGCGCCAACTGAATGCGATAGGATGACGATGATGTGTTCAACTGTTTGATGCTCCTCGGGATGGTCCAAGAGAGTTTGCACGAGAATAGGAGCCTGTCGAGCAATCTCTGCGTGTACATTGGTCCCACCATGATGACCAATGTTGACTAGCGTATGAAGAGCCATTTGTCTGCAAACATCTCTTTTGAGCAAGGGAAATAATCGCGAGAGAAGACCTGGACTATGATCAATATTCACGAAGACAGCTCTTCACATTATATAACTCACCATTCTCGCATAATTTGGTTCGAAGAACAGCATCCTCACACATCTGGGTGTATATGCCAACTACGCCCCCAACGATCTCGTCATTATCTTCATACTTCTGGAAAGTAGAATCCAGTTGTTGAAACATTTGATCAAAGTTCAGATAGACTCTCTTCAGCCCGGCCTTAGTGAAAAGGTCTGAAACAGGTTAGATTGCGAGTTGAGAAGCCCAAGCTGCAAAACACACCGGGTATCTGATGCTGATCGCGTATGATTTGGACAATTTCTGCCCAACCGCGAGCATTTTCTACATCTCGAGCTAGATCTGATTGTAATGATCGTTTGACATTGGAACTTTTTTTCTTTCTTCCTCGATTTGCAGGCATGGCAACCTAAACTTGGGCGAACAAAAGTTGCGCGTGGCGTCATGATTAGGGCATTCAGCGCCCTCGTGACAGTGACAGACAAACTATTGTCAGTACAGGTCACGTGAAGTTCCACAACGCGACATGTTTTAGTTTACGTTGTTTACCAAAGCACTACACTTTGCAATCTACATTCTACTCTATTTCACAGTACTTCTGCAGTCAACATGTCGCTTAAGCGGAGAGCACAAGGTTCTAGTCCCTTGCACACATCGAAGCGGAGGCAGATTTTGTTTCCGTCTGTTAGTAACCCAGTTACGCCAGCAAAGGCGTCTAGTTCCGTTCATCTGTTCCCTTCTTCGTCCTCGACACCTTTTCCGCTTTATCCATCCGACTCACCTTCGAACCCATTCGGAAGAACACGTACTCTGAGCGCGTCTCTGCCTTCCAAGTCATCATATGGACGGCATCTACCACTCCGTTTCCAATTCTTTCGGCATGGAACGAATCGCGACAAGGAAGGGGTTTATCGCGTTGTGCAGGTTCCTCTATCCTACAACTTTAAGCATCTCCGAACCTTAATCGCCTTTCTCTTTGGAGGTCAGCCCGGAAAATCCACCGACGAAGAGGACGAGAGGACGGGCCACTTGTTCGAGATACGAAAGAAAGTCGTGATGTACTCAAATCTGTACAAGCCTGGCACCATCAGGAGCTCAGAGACGTCTGTTAGACTGTCGAGCTCCAGGGATCCATATCGCTACAAGCAGGAATGGGATTATGGTGTACATTGGCGAGAAGATGACGAGTTTGATAATGAAGACGAAGACGAAGAAGACGAGCTGTCGGAGGAGATTGAGAACGGGCAGGCACAGGCTCGGTGGGAGGCAGAAGAGGACTATACTTTGGGACACGTCTGGAAGCCAGCCATCAATGGCGAGGTTCCAGATGATAAAAGTGCTATTGTATACGTGCGTCGTGCCGCATTTTTTTGTTTGCGTACTCCAACGTTTTCTTCAGTTTCATTCCTCACTTTCCGACTCTGAGTGTCCAGTGCAAGTTCAAATCACTTTGTTCAAAGGCCCTATTGCATCTCGTGCAGGTGCTGGAAACACCCCCTATGTTTTCCAAGCCCGTGGACATGTGTATCTTTCCCCTTTAGAAGACGACGAACTAGATCCTGAAGAAGATTACGCTGAAGACTTGAAGATGGACATCGATATAGATACTTGGAACGAACCAAAGAATGCATTTGCCAAGTTCCTTCTTGATTCAGTGGGTATATCGCCTCCGAATTTTCATCAGGTATGTCGTGTGCTGTGACCGGTAAATCCGTATTGAATTCCTGCGCAGTCGCAACAAGATTCGAGTTTATCCTCTACGCCTAGTTTGACGCACGACTCTTCCTCGCCGACTCGGATATCAGACTTTCTTCCTTCATCGCCTTACACCTCTTCATCCCCTATGCGACACTCCAAGATCTCTACATTGGCGTTCCCTACTTCGTTCACAGGATATACCCCTGCACCACCGCCTGCTCAGAGAAAACGTGTTGCTTATATTCAAAGACGGATCGAGCGGTCAAAGCACAAGAAGCCTCCCAAACCAGTTCATGGTTCGGATGAAGACCACGATTCGGACTCCAGCGAGGCTCCCGTCGCTGGACATCAAGTGAAAAAGTTCACAGGTCCTCAGGTTATAGGTGAACGCTACATAACTCGGGAGCAGGTCATGGCGATAATAGGTGCAGACGACAATGTGGCAGAAGTTTAATGGACCATTGTGGTCATTTTAAGTATATGTTTTCTACTCACATTGATCTGTATCTCGCGATTAACAATGTACACGTTTTATCTGCCCAGAATCGAGTCGATAACCCAACAAAATAACCCGAAATAATCTAACAAGATAACCGTTTAGAAGTGTGACTTGTATAATCTAAATGCTACAACTTGACTTGCTGATACAGTATATACGTTGCAAGGTTCCTCAAATCACAAGATGAGCTCCTTCAATGGTATCAGCTCTTAATGACCGTAGCTGAGCCATTTCGAAGTCTGTCAAAGTATCCGATAGTGGTTCTGGATCATCCAGAGAATCCAGCTTATCAGTCCCGTCATTGGTTGTGGTCTCACTAGATCCCTTCATCTCTTGATTCACTTTTCGAACGTTGAAGATGACCCTGTTCCCAAGAACGCAGGAGAAGGCAATCGAAAATCCAATAGGGACTTCGAGAAGGTCAATCTAGCTTGTAAATGGAATCAGTACAATTCAGGTTGATCATTACGATTCCGACCGTACATTGACAACCCACACCAACAAACACGTTAAGTAGGTGGCAAACATGCTAATGAGCAAGTTAAACGTAAGTAAAAAGGCAGCAATGTTAGTCGAAAATGCTTACACCACGTAATAACAAACAGAGTCTCTAATCAAGAGACTCACAAGGCGCTTTCCCGAATCTGAACGAACTGGGTACCCACTTTCGGTATGAGCCCGGAATCCACGAATGAGCGCAAGGATACACAGTAGCGTTTCAAAAGCTAGGATCGGAATCCAGAAACTATAAAAATATGAAGGGACGTGAAGTGCTACACAGGGTAGTCCGGGTAATAGATGGGTTTCAGCTGGGAGTTTTGAACTCAGCAGCGGTAATAGGAAGTAGAAAGAGGGCTCGGAAGAAACCTACCTTGGAATTGATTTATGGCAATGCTCATGATGGTAGCGGCACTCGCTGAAGTAAGGATGAAGCTCCCAACCATCAAGTACAGAATCCGCTTGTTAAGAAAGTACAAGGCGTATAACCGCATTTGTAGAATTGCTGTAAAATTGAGGTTCAATGATAATCCGTTCAGCGGGAGTTGAAGCGCACTTTCTGCTATCATACAAGCAATGAGGCCGGTCCAGCCTTGCCAATGATAGTACCGAAGACCTATAACATTTGATCTAGTGTTAATGAAATGCCGTAGGTCTGAGCATGGGAAAGATGGACGAACAGCTGCCAATGCGAAATGAATCATGAATTTGTTAGCACGGCAGGATGAGCTCGAGATCCAGTCCACCGAAATGGTTGAGAACTCACCCCTATGCGGCAAGAACCATTAGGAACAAATTGAAACATACACATTAACGTGCACCTACTGAATTAGTGAGAGCTGTTCCAAAGAGAGCTGTAGTTGCGACGGACTCGTATCAACTATGGGCGTATGTGGAATTCCGAGGAAGCAATCACCGTAGTTGTTGGCACTTTGATACGAGATCAACGCGTTGGATAAAACACTTGTCTACGCAAGGTCATGACTCACACGACAGAGGCCAGCGAATAGTAACGATTCTTGAAAGCAACCATTGTGAACCTTCAATGGGAAAAATGGAGATCACCAAAAGGATGCTCACAATAATGAATAAACCTTTTCCGATTGACCATGAGCTTTTCTGCGCAGCATTAGGCGAGCAGGAAATCTGCGCGAACGCAATTCACCCACCCATATCAAGTCGAACTGCAATACAGAGAAAAAGGATCGAAACTGCCCATGAAATAGAAGAAAAAATGTACTCACCTCGTTATCCAGAGTGATCACTACAATAAATAAAGTCAAACGGGAGTGTTCAGATTGAAGAGAAAACAAGCGAACGATGGTCATAGACGATGATTACACTCGCAGCCACTATCAAAGATTCCGTCAGTAAATGGAGTAGATAAAAACAGCATCCATCTACTCACAGCTAGCGTATCTAGAGGCGTAGACGTCCTTAACAGCATCCTGGATGATGTCAGAGAGGAGCGACATGCCGCGAAGAGCCTTTCAGACGCTCCTAAGGTCGGTAACCGCGTTAAAGGGACCTACTGACAGAAGCTAAGGAAAGAAACGCGCGATGTGAAAATTTCATGAGCCCTCTTTTGTTAGGATCACGCCAGATGATATTCATTTCCCGTAGACGTATCAACGCTCGCACCCACACAAAAACTTCCTCGTAAAAGCTCCCGTGGATCATGATCAGAATAACGGAATCATTCTGAATGGTGCTTCTAAAGCGGAGGTTCCTCGACGAATTCGGCAGCGTCTTTTTTTGAACTTCTCCCAGTATAATAATGATCATCGTGCAAGCCGTCTCTATGTACAGTATGTACCTCGCTCGGACTTTGACTTCTTGCCACTAAGTTCAACTTATAAGGTCGGTACTAACCGGTACCGTGTCAACGAGCATGTGAAGAAACGACTCCCAGTCCGGAGTCGTCGGGTTCCAGAATTCTCGATGTCACCAGGATTCCACAGTGGCCATTAGATAGTAGCAAATCTGGCTTCAAATCATTCTTTCCCTGTACCCAAGAGGACGTGGGCTTCCATTTCAGCCTAACATCCTGCTTGCGATGCTCACAAGGCCTGTTTGATAGGAGGTAATTAATGCTGAAAGGCAAAAAAAGTTAAGTATAATGGTTTGAGGAGGCCAGCGGTCCGCGTTACGTTCGGAATGCATAGGCTTAATAGCTTATCTGCAGGTCGAGCTTTTTTCGCACCTGTTTGCTGAACTGTTTTTCTCAATTCGTTTCGCCCCGATAACAACTTCAGGACCTGCACCTGTTACGCAGCAGGTAATATCATATTATCTGCGGTTAAGCTCGGGCAACAGAGATGTTTCGCTCGTACGCGCGCGAGAAGAAGCAACGCAAAAGACACATGAGATACTGCTCGTGTTCTCGGCATAATCACGTTGAATGACATGCTCAACAGTGATGCATCATCCAGTCTGCCAGTCTGCGTCGACGGCATCAATGTGTAGAAGAGTTAGCTTCAGGCGCTTCTCAATGACTTCCGCACCATAAAAGCCATGAGTTCCAGTTTGCAATATACCTGGTGTCCAGCTAATTTACGCTTTATAGAGATAGCAAAGAAGAGGATCACATACAAAATGAACAGTCCATCGATGTATCCTTGATTTCAACCGCAGTTGTATAAGGGAGCTGAGGATGAAGTCGAAGGAGCAGTTCCGGTACATTGGGTGAGCTCGTTAAACCAATATCTCAAGTCTTGAGGCGATCATAAGTTGAACGATGAAGATGGGTTGCAATGTAGATTGCTGCAAATGTATTCTTTATTGATCAACACGTCCTGTTCAACGGTTTGAGAGCCTGACAATAGAGATATGTCAGTACTAGGCAGTGTAGAGTCGGAGAAAGCGTACTCTGTCCACATCTAAGTGAACATACCTGATGCAACGAATCAACCAATCGTATATTCGGCTAAAACAGGTATATGAGTTATCCTTGGAAACTAAACTGCAGAAGTAGGCTGCTTTGTGCGTTTCAATCGAACCCACGGCATCATATTCAACGGAGAGTTGGGATCTAACCATCTAGTTCTATCCTGATGACCAGAGTCTTGAAAGCCAAACGTCCATCGTCATGCGTAGACAATGAAGAGTTATTTGTCAGTTTTCAATCTCCTGGAAAATAAATAAAGTGTCCAATGCCCACCGCACGACACACAATTCTGCGGAAATATCGGGGTCGCATACGGAGTGGACGAGGGAGCGGACTAGAAGACCATTGGCATTATCGGACCGATTTTCGTCAGTGCTGGTGAGCACAGCCACCCTGCGTACGAAGGCTGGGCGCTCACTGAAGAATATCCATCTTTTCCGCCACGTTACAGCATTCGCTATGATAGAACGTATAATATTCACCCTTATTTTCCTTCTCCGCCTATCTATACTTGCTCATGGCTCAGCATTGACTACAGCAATAGCCGCCAACGAACGATTATGCTTTTATGCTGATGTAGATAAAGCCGGAGAGAAAATTGGTGTACGTCCACGCCGAACGTCCCAAGCCTACTCACATCTGATATTTCTTCAAGTTCTATTTCGCAGTAAGAACGTTCAAATCAGGCCCTAGTTACCCGCCTCATACTTAGCTGTAACCCAGGTTCAATCTGGTGGCTCCTTCGATATCGACTTTGATGTGAAAGACCCTAATGAAAAGGTACTCTTGGACGGTGAACGCGAGCGTCAGGGGGACTACGTCTTTACTGCTAACACAGTAGGAGAGTACTCCTTCTGCTTCGAGAACGACATGTCAACGCTTACCGAGAAACTCATCGACTTTGATATCATGGTGGAAAGCGAACCAAGGCGTGAAGCTCCGGCAAAGGCAGGCCAAATATCGGAGCACACAAGTGCGTTGGAGGAGAGCATATTCCGTCTGAACGGGATGTTGATGAATATTAAGAGGACTCAGAAACAGTGCGTCCAGATCTATTCTTTCCGTAGCACTTATTTTAATACATCTTTTGTACAGTTTCCACACCCGCGATAACCGAGGCTTCTCGATCGTTCAGTCCACCCAAAAGTACATTTTCATTTGACATAACCATCTTGTCACGGTTTTTGACCGCCGGCTTACTTTTCTAGTCGTCTATTCTGGTATGCTATCTTCGAGAGCTTGGCAATGGTTGGAATGGCTATGTGAGTATACTGATGCTTTTAGGTTGTCATTATTTATCCTGACTGTGATAAACTTGAAGATTCCAGGTCTACGTTCTGCAAACCTTTTTTACAAAGACTGGCCGTCGATACAAAGTCTAATTCAGAAATGACATTGTATATATCCAATAAATTTACTAGGTGGAACCATATGGGTGTCGAGGAACTCGATCAAATACATTAACCATAGTCTTCGCTTCTTCGTCATCATCAATGCTAGCCTTGTGCGCAAGACATCCATTTCAAGCAGCTTCAACCTGCTTGGCATATGCAAATGCTCCGCCTTTCCTTAACCCCTGTGTTTATTACTTTTCGGTAAGTAGCCACATTCCTTATTCTCAAAAAACTCACTGATTGGTATGCAGATCTGAGAACATTATATCGGGTAAGCTAGTCCACCACTGAATATCATGGCAGAGCACCCACCGAGCATGAACCTTGTCTATATATCTGACTATCGCTTGATGCTTCTCTAATACGATTGCCCTCCCTGCCCTCAATCCTTCCAATCCTATTATCATCGCATAATCTGCAGCAGTGGGCCCATCAGACCCGCGAGCGAACCATGAGTTTTCGCTGAGATGTTTCTCGATCTAGACGAAGTTAAGACGTTACGCAGAAGTTTCCTCAATACACTATTTACCATATCAATATTTCTTGGAAGTTCCGGGTCAACATACATCTCCCTGTAGGCTCCAAGAACATAACGGAATATTGGCTGGAGGTACCAAGGGGCACGATTAGCGAAACGGGATAACCTTTGCCAGATTACTACCAAAGGCATGAGAGTTGATTCTGCGTAGTGCGTATCTATGCGTATCGTGTAGCACAGAAGAGAAAGTATTGAACAATCAAAAGGTCAGAATGTCTTCCGATCTCACGTAGAAGTAATACTCACAATAGAGATCATCCAGCGCTCCTTCTACACTCAAAGTTTGCTTTCCTCCGTACTTCTGAATCAGATATGCTTCGGGAGGAGCGAAATCAGTCAAGCGATATTCCCAACGGAGTTACTCACTTATGATTGCATTGCTCTCCGCCAGAACTACTACACTTTCTCCTATGTCTTCTATAATAGGAGACTTCCCTAATGGGTGCACTTCCAAGAGCGATGGCGGTGCTGTATAATCTGGCATACGCTCAAATCGCTTGACCTCGTAAGGTACACCCAGCTCTTCCTGCCTCGGTCCATCGTCAGCCTTTGGTATTTACGGTAGATTCCAGACATTCTTACCAGAAGCCAAAGAATACGCTGTGAGCGGCCGTTGTTGAGGTGGTACACTACGATCATTGTTACAAGAATCGGGTGCTGCGTGGCGAATTCGTCTATAGGTGCGTGGGGTGTGCGTTTTTACTGGGACTAAACTTGACCCGCACATCCATTTATACAGTTATGTGAACGTTCTATGCTCTTCTTAACTAGTTCTTCAAATAGTCAGTCACATCGTCGGTCAAACTTTTCCCCCATGACACAATAAGAGCAAGCTGATAGGTCCTGATCAGAGCCTGTGTATGATGTAGAACCGTCTGTCTAGAAGGATTTTGATCTCTTAGCATATGGTGAGTACATAGATGTACTTTGAACCCAGAATAAACAAATGACTTTATTCCTGTCACGGATTAGAGCAATCTCCTGTTGGGCGTGGCTACTTCTGTGGAAGGAGCTGACGCATTCTATGTATACCCTCTGATTTTGAAGCTTGTGCCTTCTTAATATAGTCAACCGAGAAATAAACACAAGCTTTCCCGTTGAAGGTCCACCACCATCAGCCGTACATCCGTGTTTTTCTTGGATTTGCCGATCTTTTCTTCCCATTCCTGCAGGATCATTCCGTGCCTTTTTTCAGCGTCTATGTTGCATGTCATTGGTGAGCAACATTATCATAGAACAAATCCTCATGACTCTGAGAACTTACCGATTGATATGCAGGTTTACAAATATCACAAAAAACGGAGGCAACTGAGTTCCGCATCAACAATCCGCGTTATTTCCAAGCCAAACTCACCGAGCACGGACCTTGTCTATATGCCTCGATATAGCGGGATGGCTCTCTGGCGTAATTTCCCTTCCTACAGTTAATCCTTCCAATCCAAAGGACATTACATAATCTGCAGCAGTTGGACCATCAGATCCTCGAGCGAACCACGGGTTGTTGCTGAGGTGTTCTTGAATCTACGAGCAGGTTAAACTCAGGCTGATTGAGAATGCCGAAATCCAACGCCATTTACCATTTGACTATTCCGTAGAAGCTTCAAGTCGACGCACACCACCCTTTAGACTTCAAGAACATAACGGAATAATGGTCGGAGGTACCATGAGGCGCGATCCCTGAAACGGGTAACCTTTGCCGGGCCTCAGAGTTGATTCGGTGTATGTAGTATCTGTGACAGCGAGCAGAGAAGGGGGTGAGCATATTCTATTTCGATTCAGCATAGAACTTATACTTACGATTACGCGCCAGCCTTACATACAAGCAGAGCTCCGGGATATCTTCCGGCTCTTTTTCAAACAACTTAGTAACAACCTCAAGGGGTCCGGATATGCATCTTCCGAACGCAGATGAGCTCGTTCTCGGCATATTTCGAAACCTGTTTGCCCTGATTCGACGTGACTTTCCGCAACAAATTGAGACGTTCATGGCTGAAGTCTTAGTGGCCATAGTTGATGAGTCTTTGTCTTTGTCTGGAGATGTCCTGAAAATCATAATGGCTCAGTTGATGGATAAAAGTGCACTGCGTATTCCAAATAACTGTCCTGACGATGTTTCATTTAGCGCGTTGAACTCCAGCGTATCGACATGCGATGTGCGTGTGCAACCAAACAGCAGACAAACTTCAGCGGAACCTCGCCCTCTACTTCACAGACATTATAGTGTCCAATTCCTAGACTGCGGACTCTGCATCACAGTTTGTGTGGATTGCCACTGAGCACTGCCCAGCAAGCCTCCAAGGCTGTCGTTTCACACCCATTCAGCGTCCCCCTGTCCAGTCTACGCACTCCTATGAGTTTCTACAGCCTAAGAGTAATGGTACTGGCAGTGCAAGCATAAGGGCTCCTGGATTTGGCATGTCGGACGCCGTCACTGCGCTAGGACCTAGGCCTATGGGATGGTGAGGATTACGATGCATGTTTCAATGTCCTCTGCCCTTACCATCTAAAAATGTAGTTATGTGCACAGTTCAACTGATACCAATACTACTACCTCTTCTTCTCTTATCACCTACCTGCAGTCGTAAGCGGTCATTTTCACTTCTGCACAAAAGTATATCGCAAGCTAATTAGTTGAAGTATTAACATAGTTGCTTGGAATATACATGGCCATCTTATTTTGAAGCTACGTAACCCTGCCTTTCTCAAGTATATCACAACTTTCGATATCATTGTCGTTGAAGAAACCTGGCTCAGGCCAGGACAGGAAGACTCTCTTCCCCTTCCTGAAGGCTATGACATTATATCCTCTCCACGTCCCGATTGTCATGCACTGAAGCGGGCTGGAGGTGGTGTTGCTGTGATTTTTCGCTCGAGTTTAGCTATTGAAGTCCGTTCAGATCTATGTGCTCCTGATGTAGTAGTGGTGGAAACCGCTGACTACCGCATTATCGGTGGGTACCTGCTACCTTCAGGCTCATACTATGGCGATTGGTCCGAGGTGGATCCGAAAGAGTCCATCGCAAGTATCATCACACGATGTGCCTCCAGTCCAAAGCCTGTTCTGGTTTTCGCTGACTTGAATGGTCGTATCGGAGACCGCGTCAGTTGTGTGGACAGCCCGCCACGATTTTCCTCAGATACTATCTCAAATGCAAGGGGGACCTGGATCTTACAGCTCTGCTCTGATAACGGCCTCCATGTTCTCAATGGAACCTCATTTGAATCTACCCAACCAGGTCAATTAACATCGTATCAGCCAATGGGTGCCTCCGTGATTGACTATGTTTTGGCATCAAAGCCTGCACTTGTTAGCCTTACGGAAGGTGCTTTGAAAGTGTCACGATCTCCACTATCGGACCATGCAGCACTTGAGCTAACTATCCCATACCACCCTCCTGCTGCCCCTGTACCGGTCCTCCAGTCTGATATGCTGACTCACCATCAAATCTCACCACTGCTCTCTCCCACTAACTTGGATCTAATGGTTCAGGATGCTCTTTGTTCAACCCGTACAACTGCCGAGGCCATTGACACTCTATATGGTCCAGTTTATGCAGATAACGGAGGCATAGTGGTCTACCTGACTGCTTCATCCGGGCGAGATGATATGGGTTCCCCTCAGGCTGCGTTCTCACTTTTTTGGGGTGAAAATAGTGAAAACAATGTCAGCTTCCGAATCCAGACCGTTCCTAAGCCTACGATCAATCATGCTCTTCTATCTGCCATGATACCGGCACTACAAATAACTAATCGCCTCCCTGAACGTACACTACACATCAATGTCACCTCAGAATACCTGGTGCGATCCCTGTGCTATTGGGCTGCAGATAATGCTGAACATGCCTGGGACTGTGCTCATAGTGATATCCTCAAGGTTGTTGTATCACACCTATGCGCCCGTGTCGCCGCCGTCGAATTTCATGTGATCCCTACCAGGGGCAATGGCCACTTACGACGAGCAAAAGACATCGCCTACAAAACAGTCAGAGATGTAAATGCTAACGTCTGGTCGCTACTAGCTCCACATCCACTACCTCACCCGGAACACTTGGCGCCATCCATACCGAATGTGAGGAAAGTGTCAACACGATTGCCAGAGCATGTACCCCCCAAGCTATGGACAGCTGTTGGGCCGAATGATCCAGATCGTGAAGACGAAGACTGTATACCTCGAGAGTCTCACAGAGGGAGAGCCCATGAGCGTGAACAGCGTCGCGGTAATCTAGTCAAGCTCATCAACTGTGAAACTGCTCTCTCTTTCTGGTCCTGTGTTCGGGAATGGACTGATGCAAAGAAACGTCCTGTCTCTGTCTCTGCTCAGCAACTCAGCACAGTTTTTGAAGCGCGTCTTAACCCTCTACCCCATCCCCCTGCCTACTTTGACAGGGATGTTAGGCAGTTGAACACTATGCTTTCGAGCACCATCCCACGTCAGACAACAGATCATACTGCCTCGCGCTTCTTCTCTAGGTCAATCACTGATGATGATGTTGCACTCTGCAAGAAAAAGCTTCGTGGTCGCAGCTCAAAGAGTGCGCGAGGTATTGATAGAGTATCTTATCGTCAAATAGAGAGAATACCGAATACCACTTTGGCTGCACTATTCAACCGTTGCATCTTTGACCTCGATGCTCCTCAACAGTGGTTCACAACAGTTTTGATTGGCATTCTGAAAGTTGGCCTCAATGCTAAGGAGCCAGATAGCTATCGTATCATTGGTTTGGAATCATGTCTCCTCAAGATGCTCACACTCATTATCGATCACCGCGTACGTGCATGGGCAGAGGAAGCCGGGATCCTGCCTAACTCTCAGAATGGTTTTCGGGAAGGATATCGAACTCATAACAACTCTTTCATCCTCAGATGCGCTATAGAGACTGCGCGGGCTAATGACAAGCCGCTCTATGTTGCCTTTGTTGACTTGAAAAATGCATTCCCGTCAACAGACATCCCTACCCTTTGGAGGAAACTCTTTAACAGGGGGATGTCTGGACTTCTTTTTGACTGGCTCCGACTCCTGTACGCTCGCATGACATATGTTGTACATCATGGGGATGAGGTTACGGCTGCATTCCGCAGTCTTATAGGTGTCCTCACAGGGGATACATTATCGCCTATGCTGTGGAACATATACTTCTCTGACCTACACATCCCAGTCCATGCCGATGATGTCTACCTCAATGGCAACCCTGTTTCACATGTTGAACAGGCAGATGACGTTGCTATCTGGTCAATGTCGCCTGAGGGGCTACAGGATAAGCTCAACCACTTCTTTCGCTGGTGTCAGCTGAACTCAATGGTCATCAGTGTCAAGAAGACTAAATGGATGCTCTTTGGTCCTCTCCCACCGCTCTTGCCTATCTTCCTTATTGACAGCAAGCGGATTGAACTTGTTCCCTCATACAAATATGTCGGACTCAACTTCACTTCTGTGCACAGATACATCCTACAAGCCATATACAATATCAAGGCTGGAAAGGCCCGTAACGTTACCCACGCCACATTTGCCCCTGAGCCGGCTATAGGCTGCCTGCCCCCACAGGAAGGTATAACTCTCTACATGGCTCGCGTTGACCCACACCTTATCTTTGGATGCGAAATTGTGCTTGACATTGACCTTACCCTGCTGGAGGACCTGGAGAATGTCCAACACCTCTACCTGCGACACTTACTAGGAGTTAACCGGCGGTCAACTTTAGCTTTCCTATTCACGGAATTGGGTATTGAGCCTATCAGGTATCGGCATATCAAGCTTGCTCTATCTTACCTGCATTCCCTTCTGTCTCCAAGGTCACCGACTGGTAACCGATGCATTAGCACATTCATTCCATCTTGTTCGCATGGGACAGCCTGCATGGATTAGTGATCTGAGAAATGTCCTATGCCACCTTCCTGTTCCGGTTCTCTGCACAGTTGATAACCTTGCTGATCCCGAGGCCCTCCCGCACATTATCAAGGAAGTGGAGCTATCATGTGAAGAGTCACTGTCATCGATGGTCAGGGACTCCGTAAAAGCACACCTACTCCACAACTGCACTGACTACAATGAAATGGGCCTCCCAGCTCTGCTATCGGCCACCATGTCCTTGCGTCCATACCTGAAGGTCCTGAATGTACCAAAACACCGACACGCCTTCACGCGTCTCTTACTGTCCTGCCACTGCTTAAGTGTGGAACGTCTACGCTATAATGAACGGTATCGTCCACCCATCCCACGCATATGGCGTCTGTGTCACTTTTGCAGGCTGTCTATTGAGGATGAGTGCCATGCTCTCCTTCAATGCCGCCAAGACGTTACCCTGGTCTACCTCCATGAACTGTCACGAAGCAGCAGAGGCGGAGTTACTAGCAGAGCAGGAAAGCGGAGTGACTAAGCAAGGCGATGAGGCGGAGCGATTAAGCAGAGCGGAGGCAAACTGGTCCCAGATAATGACAGAGATATATTGCACTGCGGGGATGAAGGCCTTATCTTGCCGCGAATAGGGCGCGAATAAGGTAAGATTAGGTACAAAATTCTCCCTCTAAGCAGGAACAGAATATATTATTTAATCACATTGTAATCCAACGGACATTATGTAGAGAATAACATGAGATTATACAGAAAATTCTACCACTAAACCACTCAGGAATAGTCCAATAAAGCCCGACGTCATTTTACAACGTTTTCGCGTGCTGAATATGCAGGGATTTTTTAGTCTAATCTACCATAAATTAGTGTGCGAATACATTGAGATTATTTTGACTAATTGCAGAAAAATCTTACCGGGATTGTTGGAAATTTTCGCGGACTATTCGCCGCGTGGAGAGCATGAGATTCTTCAGAATAATCTCACTGAGAATAAGGGTACGCGATGTCGGGACGTCGAGACGTCGAGACATCGTCGATATTGAGACGTAGGGACATCGAGACGTCGTCGACATCGGGACGTCGGGACATGGAGACGTCGTCGATATCGATATATCGAGGCATAGCAGGGTCGCGAATGTCGGGACGTCGACGATCATCTAGTTATTTTGTCAGTAGAATCTTTAAAACGTTAGGTAGGGACTTATCTATGTGCTCATTTATTCATAATCAGTATCACCTCTGCCCTAGATAGCACCATTATATGTATATACACTGTGTACAAGAAATTCATAGGTAAAAGATTGAGTTCTCTGAATCTATCAGCTTGTCAGTCACATACCACTTCAAAGAAAGCTGAAAGTTACATACCATTATGCAGCTGCTGCTCTTGCAAGGACTGGTAGAATGATAGTTCCCCAGATATACCACCAATGACCAGGGATGATAAATATTTCAATGTGTGCCTTGGAACCTTTGCAACACAACATGAATTAGTGTTTGGATAAAGATGGGAACCACACGGACAGTTGGCACAGTAATTGCGAGGTCGGCTGAGGCATCTATGTTCCAATAAAATGTGCGCCAACGATTCTGAAAGCGAATCAATATGTATTTATTTGGAAAAATCAATCAAGAAACGCACCAGCTTTTCTTCGCCATACAACCTGCATAGGGGGGAGCCAGACTCTGCTGGGACATGGACACTGTCTGTCCCACTCTGCCTTCCGCCGGTCGTAGTCGCTGGTCATACCTACTTTCCAGTAGACATCGGAATCGACAAAAGCGTACAAGAAACCGGGCCCATCCGCTGGCGACGGGAGGCGGGAGCGTCTGGACGTGTATAGAGCGCGAAGTAAGCGGCTGGAGCGTCTTGCCATTGTACGCGAATCCAATATCGCGACTCGGATCGCGCGCGGTACGAGGGAATTTAGAAGGTAGGGATGAAGTGCCTGGGGAGCGGGTGTAGTGGCGATCCGGATTGGTCTTTGAAAGGTAAACTGTAGTGAAGTATATAGGGTATAGCTTGTAGCTTGGATTGTGTGCTATATGTTTGTGGGTGATTTGGATGTGGACAAGAGCCTCAGGAATGCCAACCATGCTGTGATGGGTATTATGTCGCTGTCGATGGCATTAGATAATGACTCTCGGGCCTCTTATACATAGTTGAGCTCAATCCAAGCACACATTTCATGAGCAGGATGGAAACAAAGATGAGGAAACTTGAGGGTATAATTTATAACATAACACCAGTATGTGCAGTGAGAATAAAAACAGATCAATATGGAATTAGAAGAAACCAACAGTTGCCCCTCAATTGTATAATTCCAGACCCAGATTGCGCCTGAACTCTCAACAGTATAGTCATCTTGTCCTCCTCCTAAGAAAGAAGTCATAAAGTAGAGTCGAGCGATTCTAAGGCTCCCTCGTAATCGCCGAAGGAAAGCTTGAGTCAACCAACATTTGAGCGCGCAATGGTGAACTGGTGCTCGAATTCAGTATCCCCCGTCTGTTCGTATGATAGAGCGATAGCCCGGGTCCTCTTTTGTGGACAGGAAATACAAAGTATTGGTGACCGTCTTCCATATCACCGTCCGGGACCCAGTTGCTATACCTTGAAGAGAACGTCGTATTAATCCTACGAGGGCACGTCCAAAATCGAGATGAGTTTGAGCCGAGACAGTGAGTACGCTCAATTCGGTGGACTTCGAGGAAAGCACCATTTCAAGTTGATCACTCGCATGCTCGTACCGTCCAGTATGACGGCATTAGTGGGTTTTATTCTGGGTTCCAGAACGAAACGGTTAATTTTGTATGTGACCAGTGTAATCGTATACAGAACCTCACCCCTTCGACGACGTCCCACAAACAATGATAACCATCCACCCACCGAATGGCCGAAGAAATCTTCGTCGATGAGATTGACATGCCCTAGGATATCGACAAAATTGGCCAGGTTGGATTTCCCAGTTGCTGGTGAATGGATGAGGGAGATTGTTGAGTGAATACGTCGCGTTCTCGAGACACGGTATATATCGGCTTCCAGGGTGTTCATGAGCCGACTGTATTTTCATGGGGCCAAGTCTTCTCTTTAGTGCAAATAAATAGTAGCTTCTCAGTCTATGCACGAGTTGCACTCGGATACAAGACGCGGACGGTGGAGGACGAAAGTGACAGTTCGAGAGACAAGTGACATCGTGATCAGTGTGGTTTGATAATTTTAGGCGCTCATGATCATTCGCATGCAATGCTCTTGTACTTACTTGAACATCCTCATTTGGCAGCCTTATGTCGCTATTCTGTCATTCACTTACTTCTAGCTTAAAAATCTTGAGTGCCACAGTATCAGTAGCGGAATTGGAAGGAGCACAAAGTAAGATATGTGCTTCTGGCTGAGTATGTAAGATTTGGTGGACGTCACCTTGCCCTCCTCGTCATATCGAAGATTAACGTGGTTACCATTTTGATATTGCAATGTATCCCATAATATGCTCACAAAATTGTCTCGTGCTTCAGGCGTGTCTATCGACACAACTGGGCTAGAAAAAGGACGAATCGCTACTAGATCGCAAGAAGCATCATTTGCAGAGGGAATATCCTTAACGAGAGGGGTAATCCGAAATGCAGGCTCTAGTCTATCCACATTGACCGTAGATAAGAAGTATGCGAATGGCCCGTAGAGATCCACCACTGGGTTGTCTTCATCTGCGTCAGGATGACTGATGAACTCTTTGGCGTCCGGATCATACAATTGTACTACTCCGAGAGATGCCACAGGAAGCAGTTTGGCGTAACCATTATACCACTTATTGCTGTTTTGCTTTGCGGCAATCTTGAATCGCTCAATCCCTGGCATCTCCGCGCGCAGAAGTTCAGAGTCATGCAAGATGGATGCATGGAGAGAGGTAGATACAACAACTGCCGACGCTACGGCTAGAAAATTCGAGTGAACAATATGATAGTTTGATCATTGAGGCTACTCTACCTTTAGGGCGTATCTTCGCGGCAGGAGGTGAGGAGAGCGTCGTGATAGCCAATGTTAAAGGTAAAAGATGGGAGTCTGGGGCTTGTGAAAACGACCTCACAGACTGTAGTCTGTATTCTATCGACGGGGTGACGGAGGAGGTTGGAGGAAATAATGAGGAGTAAAGCGCATTTGCAGTACCGCAAGGAACGAGTACAAGATGTATTTCTGGTGGAACACTGGTAACTCCAGCTCTTGTGCCATTGATGTCAGCGCTCGAGAGGTAATTGATCAGTTCGTGCAGTGTTCCATCTCCTGAACCCAAGATAACAGTCAGAGCCTCATTGATTTGCATTTTGACAGAGCTATACAATGATAGCTTTGGTAGCACTAGTACATAGAGCATGTTTATATCAAAGTGAAAGTAGAATACAGTGCCGCTATGATCATGAGTTTGTCGCGTCACCCAACAGCTAGGGCATTGCTAGTACCTTTGTCTTCGTATCGATGTCCATGATCTATAAGCCTTTTCATGGAACATCGTTACAGGAATTTGACAGATAATTCAAGAACAAAACGCACCAGTCAGGCTCTATTTCAGTGATGATCCTGATTCTAGGTTTTTTAACAGTCAACGTTTGTATAAAGGAAAAGCTATCGAAATATGTATATCCTTACTGGGTTTTTTTCGTCTCCTCCATCTCATGAAATACAACCCAGCCGGATCGAGGTTTTCTTGTGAAGAGTACAGAGGTCGGATGTACATACAATGTCTGAACTTGTGTGTGTGAAGATGATGAACCGGAATATGATAGAGACGCACCTTATTTCCCCTCACCGACCTGTACGTTCCATCGCCGACCCATCTTGCGCCATTTCGCCAATATCCGCTTATAAGACATCTTCTCAATCTCTTTGCATCGCCTTGGCAGCTCTCGAGGGGTAGATTAAATCTTTGCATATACTTTTTGAGTTGCGCGCGTATTGAGACTGCCCTGGATAGCCCTCGAAAAGATTTAATACCTTCAATAGTAACACTAGCCTAATGAATTCAGTCAGGCTGTCCCCACGAGAAAAATGATGGAACATACTTCCGCAATATTTGTATTTGTAGAAACGATGACTTTGCGGGTTCCTCGTTGTGCAGGTTCGAAAACCGCAAGCTGCTCTTCTGTTGTCAACCCAGCGTGAAGAGGGAGAGGTACGAGAATCGGCATGGAGCGCGTAGTCCTACGAATATCGTCAATTTGATTCCCAGCAAGTAGACCGGCTTCTCCACTTGGGTGCTAGCTCTGACAGTTCCTCCAAACATCGATCGATCTCCTCACGCCCGGTCAAAAATATCAAAATGTCCCCAGGACCGTACTGCATGAAAAAGATTGAGGATTAGCACAATAAACGATAAGAAATAAGAAAGAGCAAACCTTGGCATTGACATCAACTGCGGTACTTGTAGCTTTGGCGACATAATCTGACACAGGCTCTTGCAAGTATGCCACCTCAACAGGAAACATACGACCCTCCAGACTGATGATGGTGGCATCGCTTGACGACGTTGCAGAAGTAAAGTAGTCCAAAAATGATGAGGCATCGATTGTCGCAGAAGATACTATTAAACGCAAGGAAGGTCGTTTACGTCGGATTCTGGAATGTGTTAGCAGGTCAGTGAAAATCAGTGATAACAACTCACTTTTTGAGGACGCCGAGCAGAAGGTCAGTGTAGAGAGTTCGTTCATGAGCTTCGTCAAGCTGATAGAGCGATGGTCTGACGGAATTATCAAAATATTACGGACGGAATGCTCACCATGATCACGCTGTATCTACTCAGCAGCGGGTCTATCAAAGTTTCACGAAAAAGCATACCATTCGTCAAATACAATATCCGTGTCCGTTGGATGTCGCTAACATCTTCAGATCGAATAGTGTAACCAACCTGGAGGACCGTTTGAGAGGAGCGATTGAGCTGTGGCGCAGACCTACCTCATCCCCAAGAAGTGATCCGATCTCGGTGGCGACGCGACCTGCGACGGATGTTGCGGCAACACGTCGAGGTTGAGTACAAGCAATGATCTTCCCTTCTGAAGCCCAGCCGGCTTCCATGAGATATTGTGGAAGCTCTGAACAATTTTATGAATTTTCGTCAGGCGTTTTTGGTATTAAGGAGACATACAAGGCTCACGGGTGGTCTTTCCACATCCTGTTTGCCTGACAACTATCATCACACCATATTTCTCCACGCAACAAAGAAGCTTTTCGCCTTTGGAAGAAAATTAGATTGACGAATTAGCGCGCCTGCATACACATACGGTGTTTATATATAGGCAATCTTTCCCGCTGACTTTGGATAGATAGTGAAGAGTAAGCTGGAGCACACTGCACTATATTTTCCTCAGTCTGAGTATCCCTGTCCAAGGAGCTACCGGGGCCTGCTGTTCCTGGCTTCCAAAATTTGAGAGACATGTCGAAGTCGTGCGCGTGAGCGCTTGAGCACTGAGTACTGATTTGCCGCCGGCATTTGCCTTTTCTCCTAGCTCTCGTCTATCAACTTCACACTTGCATCTCTATACGTTCTAATTTACCATATCTGAACGTAAAGGTATTAGCATTATCCCCGCACTTACATCGGCTCCGTCTATTAATCTTCATTTCAGTCCTCAACAAGTATTTCCCTCCGGACTTCGATCCGGATTTGATTCCTCGACGAAAGCAACCCAGGAACTCTCAACAGGTTGTCCGTCTCATGGCTCCGTTCTCCGTGTACGTCTCTTCAACTTTATTTGGACCGATTTTTCATAACTTCGTTTTCTAGGCAATGTAATACGTGTGGCGAATATATCTATAAGGGCAAAAAGTTCAACGCTCGGAAAGAAACCGTCGAAGAAGAGGATTACTATGGAATCAAGATCTTTAGGTTCTACATCAAATGGTCTGTCGTATCCTCCCTTGAGCTTCAATTGATATTTATATCCTATGCAGTACATTATGTTCTGCTGAAATCACCTTCAAGACGGATCCCAAGAACACCGATTATGCAGCAGAGCACGGAGAATCTAGGAATTTTGAACCATGGAGAGAGGAAGAGGCAGGTGAAGAGGAGGATCGGCTTGCGAAGCTAGAAGAGGAAGAGAACAATCCCATGAAAGTGTTAGAGAATCGCACAACGGATTCAAAACGAGAGATGGACATCCTCGATGCTTTACAGGACATCAGAGCTCGGAATGCTCGGAATGAGAGGGTCGGAAACTCCGCAGATCTTCTCGCGAAACTTGACATAGAAGAGATAGAGAATGAAGAGGATTTGGAGCGGAAGAGATTAGAGGAGGAAGATGAAAAGTTAGTGAGAGAGGTGTTCTCCGAAATTCCCTCAATGTCTGGGGACTCTCTATCAGAAATCGTTACGGTGAAGCGGAAGGCAGATGCGATCGAACCCTCAGTTGACAGTCTACTTTCCGAATTGTCCCGCTCGTTGCTGGACCTGAAAGCCGATGTCCAACATAACACTGCCAAGAAGGTTAAGAAGAATACATTGGGAATCAAAGTGATCAAGAAACAAAAGACATAATCCTGTCGGTTAGCTTTTTGTACTCATAAGTGTCTGTTGCATATATTAAATAAACTCTCTCGACCATCTCTTTTTCTGTGTTGAAAAATCGCGTAAGTGCAGATTGGAATACTATACACAAATATTTCTATGAGAAATTGGATACCTGATACAGTGCACAGTGATAGATGGATGAATTATGAATGAAGGGATATGCGATAACCTGATAATTCCAACAAATAAATAACTCATCCGCTTCCCTCATTCCTGTTCATCAGGTGGTGTTTCTAGTGTTGAACGAAGATTCAAAGATTCATGTCGAGGGGTTGTAGTACCAGAACCAAGTCAACTACTTGGCGCCTCGTCAAAGAACCGTATAGACCGTGCAGGCAACTGTTCCCTCGACTTCTGAGAATGCACAGTCCGTAATGAATCAATGCGGTTGTGCCTCAGTGAACTACCGGGACTAGAATGAGGCTGACCGGACGAGGGATGGCCCAAATTACGGCCTCTCTCATCCAGTTCGTCGACTGCTGACGGCTTCGAACTAGAGGAGGTATCTGGAGACTTCATGACTCTACCCATCAAACCCCTTCGGATAGAATTTCTCCTTCTTCCACCAGTTTTCAATGTCTTGCTCCTAGGCGACTTAGATCGTTGCTTTTTAGCGGCAGTGATATCTGTGAGAGCTGCGTCAGCATCGCTCGCTCAACCTTCGTCCTCGCTTTCCTCGTCTTCAACGGCAAACTCGTGTGCAGTGTTCGTAACTTGATCTAGAGGTGGTTCGGAAGAATCATGACCAGAACCTGCGACTACGGGGCCTTCTGCAACTACCTCCTTCACCATCTCTTTGGCACTATGCGCAGATTGTTCGACCTTTTCTATTCCGTGTTCCAAGGTTTCTTTCGCCGTGTTTTCCATTTCCTTCACATCTTTTTCTGCCTTTTGTCTAGTCTCCGCTGTATTGTCATCTACCGCTTTTCGTAGGCGACCTAGATACTCTTTCAAGTGTTGTTGGGCTTCCGCGCGCTCGCCCCGAAACAATGAAGAGTGGGCATCCGGTGAACCGTAATTCTTGATGACTTCAACCTCGACCTCTTCCCCGGGACCTGCACGCCGTTCTATGACACGGTGAGGACCTTCTTGCCATTCTGACAATGTCTCTATGCCATCCGGCGGCTCCTCACCAGAAGGCAGTATTTCGGCGCTAGGTTCTTCACCGATACCTTGAACACCGGGAGAGGGAGAAGCGAGCGGAGAAAGAGGCGGAGAAATCAAAGTATGAATTCGTTTATCGCCTTCACGTAAAGCTTCAACCTCTGTTGGAGAGCTCCCAACTACCTTCCGGACTCAACTTTTCGTGTGGGGTGTGTTCTCCCCTTTCCAGTTCGTCGCTTTCGTCTCGATCCCTATTTATCACGATAGCATCTCTGTCAGTGACATGGCGGGCTTGAGTTGCCCATTCTGGGAGTCCACTGGCATGTCTACTCCAAGTACGAGAAACAGAGTGGACGCGACGTCCTAGAGAAAATGACGGAATGGATAGACCATGAATTGTGATCGAAGAAAGCACCATGAATGCTGTGATAGGCTGAATGGTCTGGGTAAGTATAACAGTTTGAGGATTCTGTTGTGCGGTGGAATTTTCAGAAAGTACCCCAGCGGCGAGCGTTGAAATAAAAACGGCCCCTGGACAAACAGGAGATTTTGAGCATCATTAATCGGCAGGTTCTGTTGCGTCTTACCGATTCCCATTGGTCCAAAATGACCTGTGAAAATAGCTTCCCTGAACGTTTTGATATCGGGAATCCATTTGTACAATGCTACAACTGCAGGTAACCTCCGAAAGAGCAGTACCAGGATTGCAATTACGATCAGGCGCCAGACTGAAAGCGAAGTTTCCCTGAACTGGAGGTTAGTAGTCAATCAATGCTTGGATTAAATATTTACGCATTCGAAAATTCATGAAATGGCATCCATGCTCCCACAGAGATAAAAGCCGCAATGTTGACAAGAGATCAATGACGGACGAAAATACAGATTCCTCGGTCTGGCGATTGAAGAATCCATCCCAAGCAAAGGCCGTACCGCATGCGAACGCTGATTGTACGTCAAAAACTTCGATGAGATGAAATGTAGAATGAGACACACTCGAAAGCAGATCGTCTGAGCCAAGCAAAGTAGTAACCCCAATTGTGCCCAATGCCAAGGAAATATATTGTGCGATGTATGAGTGCCTATCTATCAAATTGTGTCTCTCGCAGAACTTCATGAGGTGACGGAATCCGAGGCCAAGACAAGACCCAATAACTATTCCCAAAGTTACCGGGTCTAAAAAGCGAGAAATATTATAAGCAAGGATCGCAAGTATATATTAGACACATTTACTCACATAACCAAAGTAACAAGAACCAATCCCTAATCGCCAAATTTCAAGGGTCCGACTGATGATTGAGCGCGCTTTTCTTCATCGTCTTCTTCATCTTCGAGGAACGCGCCATCAAAATGTGCATTGGTCTTGGGAGTCTCCGTGACTTGAGCTGGCATCTACGGTGAAGCCAGATGAGCTGCCATTGACATAGAGTTCTGAAAGTGTTTGCAACGCTTCAGGAGTAGCTTCATCGTCGAAGTTGGTACCAAGAACTTTGTACAGTCGTAAAGAGACGAGGTTTCGAGCTTGCGAGGTCCACGAGCTAAAACTCAGACATACAACGCCGTTTATAGGAACATAAATCACTCCAAAGGAAAGACGAGATCTCAATATTGAATACCATCGACGATTAGTGTCGTTCTTTGGCAAATTGTTTCATCAATAGGTATGTCAACAGCGCATAACCAAAAACAAGCGATGCGAAATTCGACCTACCGCCCTCCAATGCAGGAGTTGCCTGCCGTACGTCAAATGTACACACGGACCAACTCTCGAGTAACTTCGTATTCGACGACAACGGTGCTGTTGGTTTTTTTTGGCTGACGGATGACCCTTTGCAACGGAAGAAGGACACCAGGCATAGTAATTAATAGATCGTATACATACGACAAATGAAAGACGATAGATTTGTACTGGGCAAGAAGTGCCTTTGTTCCGTTACTCAAGGCTTCGTGAATGAAATGAGCCGGAAACAAGAACACCAGCTGTTGTATCTAGGTGCCACTGTGTGGTTTCGGAGCGAAACGAAGTATGATGTTCGTATACTCGATCTAGCAAGAGGTTGAGTAGGGCCTCTATAACAATTCAGTTTGAACTTACTTCCTTCTTCAACGTTCGCAGAATCTCTGTTATTTTTGCAATCTGGGTAAGCAGGGGCGCGAACATAAGGGAGTAAGCCTCCATCTTGATACACGAGTCAGTAAGTTATAAGCACGGATCAGATACCACACACCTCCATGGACGAGGTCATATTCGGACCACGAATAAGTGCCATGTATATCTCCAGTTTGGTTCGTTGGGCCACTGGCGACAAGTTGGTATAAAGATCACACAGTGCGCTGAAGAGTAGCCGACAGGTTGAGTCCATGGATGGAAGGACGATGGCGAGATCAACTAGAGGTTTTTCAAGCGTGGCAAGGAAAATCTTGGTAAAAATAGAAGTTTAGACCAATTTATTATCATCGATGAACGTTCTACCTTGCATTTGAGAATCTGAGTCAAACGTTGAAGAGAAAGAACTTCAGAGTAACGAGGGGAAAAAAATTCTACCTAACACAGAAACATCAGATAGACACAGATGCAAGATTTTGGGAACTCACAGAATCATCGACCCTTCCCGAGCAAAGAATATTAGCATATCCCCGTTTTATGCTTTCGATCGATGAACGCATGGCTTCTTTGAGGGTCTCGAAGTTTTCTACCAACGAGTTTAAGGTAGCGGTCGCTATGTCCATTGACTGGCGGCAAGTATCCATGTCGAAAGTATGGGCATACGGGGGACTGTATGAGCAAGAGGTGTCGGTTATATAGTGGTTCTTTCTCGCAATTTCATCAAAGGGACATGAGATCGAACTAGGACAAAGGGGTTGCATTATGAGGGTTTCTTTGAGCTTTCCGTGCAATCGATTCGGATTTAGCGGTCAGTGCATAGTCACTGCCCGGACCTCGAGCCATAGAGCAATGAGATGACCTTAGGTCTGGTTTGAAACCGAGACCAAGTTTTGGTGAGGTTGGTTAAGAGGAAGAAAGGGCGCTTTAAGAAGAAAAGACGGCCCTTCAGCGCTTACAGCTCCGATATATTACGTACCTCTCTATCTCTTTCTCAACGATCATTCAGTCCCACCGAGTACAACTCCGTGGGCTGTTCCTCCAAGGGGTCGTCGATTCTCCTACATTTCTGTAGTCCCCTTTGAGCTCAAGGCTCGTGTACATCCATTCTCGAAACACATTTTCTGGGTACATATGGTTCTCTCCGAACCTTTGAACGCGCCCTATGCTCGGCTAGGCGCCATAGATGCCCCTACCGATACTGTGAATGCATTGGCATTCTCAGTGGATGGTCGTTTCTTGGCGAGTGCAGGAGATGATAGGCGGGTACGTGTATACGACATGGACCGTGGTTTTTCGACATCCTGGGAGCACGAAGGCTCGTGTGCTTTTACTGCTGTTGCATGGAGAGACAGTGTTCTATTCGTGGGTAACATGGACGGCGAAATAATAGCCTTTCATCCAACCAAGGTGAGTTGTACATACTTTAGTGGGCCTGGTCTGATAGAAGGAACAGAAGTGGATCTACCGACGAAAGAGTGAAGTCCTCTACAAGACCAATACACCTATCGAATGTCTGGAATTCGATAACCACGGGAACCGCCTTCTTGTCTGCTCTGGTGCCGACGTACTTCTTTTTAAAAATAGTATGGATGTACCTTGTCGGAAATCCACATTGTCATAACGTTCATTGGTGTCATATCGCAGGTTCTAGAAAGTGGCATTATCAGGATCATCTGCCTCGCCCCGGTCCATTCGGAGAAACCGAGAATTACAGCCGCCCGCCAATCCTGGCAACGGGTGCTTTTTTTTTGGGAGATGATGATTGTCTCTTAGCATATCTTCACGACGGATTCTGGTGAGGAGAACAAGACCATGCTGTATTCTCTGATGACCGAAGATTTGATGAACAGGAAGTTTAAATTTGATGCCTGGGAGAATCGTAGGAGTTGGGGGCCAGAGGAAAAAATGTATGTGATATGCATTGTATCGCGCTGGTGTTCCCGCTCATGGATATGTCAGAGCGGCTATGGCGAAATCTCCGGACTCAACAGCCTTAGTGACGGCAAACATATTCAACGGCCTTAGTTGGTTCAGGAGTACACCTGAAAACGTCAAGAAAATGGGTACCTCTGTCGACGTTCAACCATGCCCACAGAACATTCCACTTCCGGTCTTATTTATCAATAAAGGACAAGCGACGATAATGGGGACGACCAAAGGTTACGTTGCAATATTCGAAGCGAAACGTGGTAAGAGGATACAAGCTTTGAAGCATGGGGAAGGTACATTTTCACAAGATGTTTCAAATGTCTTCTCTGATATTCCCTTATTCAGACGAAATATGGGTAACCGCTCTTGTGAGTGTTTCCATACCTTATTCTGACCTTAACTGCTGTCTTACAATTATAAGGCCTATATCGATCTGGCGGGTCGTCGTAGAATGATCGCTTCGGGTGAAGGAAATTGCGGACAACGTACAAGGATTGTTATATGGACTCAAGATGAAGCTGATGGACCTAGTAAACAACAAAAAATATCAAAGTTCTGGGGTGTTCTAACGAGATTTGTATGTTGTATCATTCCTCTAGCATACCTCTTTCTCAAGACAATCATTCACAGATTAAATTTACAACGACTGTGGGGCATATGGTTCTCATACTGATGGGTGTGGTCTTTGCGATGTCGTGGTTAATCTCTGCCCAGTGGAGAGAAAGAGAATCAGCAAACTTACTACAATATTTTGGAAGGTCGTTTGTTCCTCCTCCTCCTCCTCCGCCTCCCGTGGTTCCTTCTGCTACACCAACTGGTCAATCGCCATCATTGACAAAGCTCAAAGAATTATTGATCAGTTTAGAGGATCTTTTGGTACGTGTTGGTCTCTCAATTGGCATATAGACAAACTGAAAAACGGACGTTGACGCCGGTAGACTTAGATTATCTCAGAATACCTGTTTGAATTCTTTGCGCATCAATCCTATGAAATCGAACGTATATACATTATGCTTACTCGAATATGACCTGAGAATTCTGCCCAGTTATTCTGCTTTTGATGTCACAGTGGAATAATTTGAACGCGTAGCTCTTATATCAGACCGGAGCTCTTTTCATCGTGATCGGCTTTTGTAACGAATTTTGGCAGTGCATTGTTCAACAATTCTGTGAGCGCTGTTCATGTGTACCCAGTACCGAGTGTCTACTTAGTACAAATTCTGCTCGTTGTCCGTCGTAGCGCTACGAATGAGCTCTTGCTCCTCTAAAGCCAGATGTTCCTCCCTCTCCTCAATTAACTGCTTACCAAAGTTTAACTCTTCTAATTTTTTCTCGGCAGATAACATGGCCTCCCGATGAATCTGAACAAGTCGCGCAGAAGCTTCAATCTCAACGTCCATTTTGACCCGACGTGCCTTCTTTTCAACCAATGTTTCCTTCAGTGTGACAGCTCGCTCCCTCCTCTGGAGCTCCTCAGCTTTTGCCCACGGCGTGAACTCGCAGATGTATAGATACGCGAGATAGACCTTCATTCAGAAAGAATTTAATTCTCTATCTTCGAGTTGAGATAAAACTTGCTTACCATTTTCAATGCAACGTCAATGAGCATCAAGAAGCCCAAAATTGAACAGACAAGGAAGCCAATAAGCATTCCTATCAAGGCCAAATTATCCAAGACAACATCTTCCATAATGGATTCAGTCGTAGCATCAGAGGCAAAAGACAGGTTAAACTTGATGAACGAAAGGATGTTGCGGAAGATGACAGCAGCGTCTGGAGTTCTAACCGCAGAAGACATGGAATCGATGGGAGGCGAAGACATGTTCAGATGAATTTAGGGCTTTCGTACAAGGCAGTAATGTGTCCCCGATTTACCCCAAATACAAGCATAATCAGACAACGTGTTCATATGCATAGATTAATAGATCATCGATAGATGCATCGGTTCCGATTATGATGTACCGGTGTCACATCCAGGGCTACCTAAACGTTATATGTATATGCACCGAACCGAATGTCAGAAACAAACACGCTTCCGCGTGTTATACATGAAGGTTAAATCACGATGCTTCAGCGGCGATGCAAACATAGATCACATCTGTAACCTGCAGATTACGTATATGGCTTTAACAAACTCAAAAACCAAACTATTGAGGAACAATCGAGCAAAAATCGGGAAATTTGAGATAAATCGCCATTGAAGGCTATAGTAATTTGGTATGGTGATACCTCATGGTTACTTCGACTTTTTCGTGCATGCTTAAAAGGGATATGATTGGACAGGACGAATTGTTGCGATATCGATCGCAGACAGGGTTGTTATTATCCGTGTTGACTACTGTAAGGTACGCGCTATATCACATAGCCGCCTGCATTGACCGGGAAGGCCTGTAGAGCTTGGAAGCTTTCCTGCCTTTTCATAAAGGTCCATACACTGTCTCACGAGTAGTGCTGTCAATTCCGATGCAGTGATATCATCTGGCTCAGGTGGATGGGATGTTGACTAGCCTTTGATTAGCGAATGATATGAAGAACGAACACAAAAGGCACCTTCGAATCTTCTGTGCACGCGCGAGAGACAGCAGCAGTCCTCGGCCTCGAAGATTTAACTCTTTCCAAGTAGGACCAGAATTCCTCCGTCTAGAAAGAAAGGAAAGGTCAGTTTACCTCATGGTAGGGATATTGTGTGCATACCTTCTCCGCTGTAATAGCCTCTATACATCCTTGATCCGCCAAGCCACAACCAAGAGACGCTAGAAGCTGCGTCCGTAGCTTGATGATAGATATTGACGCGTCGTCCACACCGGAAAGATGATGCGAGTGTTCAGCTTTCAGGTGAGCCAGGTCAGATTGTGCCGCCTGAAAACAGAGGGTCAGAACGAGTTTAGACGATGAGAAGTGAAAAGTTATACATCGGTGTTGCACTTCCTACTAGAATGTCTTTGACGCAGACTATCAGCTTCGTTACGCAGTTGAAGGACTTCTTCATGCTTGCTCTCGACTGCCTGCTCGAGTAATCGCAAGCGTGGTGTATTCGACGATAGAATGCGAACTTTCTGGAACAGGATGATTTCAAAAAAAGTGGTTATATACCGCGACATTGATCGGTCTGCACTCACGGAGCTCATGAACCAGATCGACAGAGTCAAGTTCCTAATGGGTGGGGAGTGGCGTGTAGTTCACTGGTTAAAAGTGTCGCCAGGTTATATATATTCGTTGTTGGATACCTTTGTGTATTGAGGCGAAGTTATAAGACAAAGGGCATCCGTATCCTGATATAGTCGTCATATCGATATCGCCAAAAGTTTTATCTATAAAGATCTACGCGTACGTCCCGTGAGGAGTGCAGAGCAGATATGAAGTTAAAAATTGGAAGAATATACTGGAAATTGTGAGCCATTAGTAGTATAGAGTGGGGTATTACACGCGTACCTCAGAATATCTCTAGATGTCCCATTCTTCACAAGCCGTAGAGTCGCATCCCTGACTGTCCGTGAGTTTCATTCTCTCGTGTTCGAAAGCACGATAGCACAGAAGTCCAGCATGCATCGTCGGTCTCATAGCTACAAGCTGAGGCAGTGGCGTCCAGCGAGTTTGACTCTGTGGAATTGCCATATTGGAAGGATCGGGAATGAAAATTTGCATGCTCGCGACCAGACCCGGTCCCAAGCATTGTCACGTGAGCTGGTGATTAATTGCGTCATGACCACTGCTCTTCCGAATTTGGACAGAGCCCGACAGTCTACAAAAATCTAATTTGCGGTAAACGTTGTAACGCAGTGATTGACTTCGGGCTTCAATTTGCAGCCCTCCCTTAAAAGGATTTACGCTGATGTAACCTATGTAGATGGTGGTATCGTTCAATGGATTATTGGCTGGAGTATACGAAAAGTAACCTTAGATTTCAATGAGCAACATCTATAACGTTGTTACTTTTGTCTCGACGACACGTCGGTATAATCTTTTGAATGACTCAAGTATTTGCGCATGCATCAGTAATCATAGTAACAACAATATCGTCTATTTTAGTTTCTGGTATCGGAAGGTATACTTGTCGAATTCATGCCAAAAAATAGCTTATGACACCGCACCCTACGCTGTGCTACTAGGGTATTTCCTTTCCTGCAGCATTCTATGACAATGTTTGAGATAGACTTCGAAATATTAGTAGACGATACGTACTTGGCGAGGCCGGGAGGAAAGACCAATTTCATAGGTTGTCGAGGACGTATAATCTCATTGACAAAGCCATGCCCTCCTTTGGACCATCCAGGTTCCATCTCTTCAAGCCATTCGGCATCGTAAAAGTTGGAAGGTAAACCCGCAACGTATTTGCTGTTTGAGCTTCGGTCATTGTTATCAACACGAAGACGCGGAGGAGAGCCCCGCGTGAAACTGAATTTCTCTCCGTCGGCGGAGCATCGTCCTTCGAGGTGAACATAGTCTATTGGCCGAACGAAATGTTTGACCAAGGCCGCCCGCCATTTTGTGCCCTTCACAAGGTACTGCACTCGAGGTTTGCTCATGCCTGGGTCTTCTTTGTCCGACGACATTCCCGCGACGCCTAACTCATCGAATACCTTGAGGTAGGGCTGAAGTGATTCAAAGGTAAGAATAACCTCTCTTCGTTGATGGAATAACTTGTTCAAAGTCCGTGTCAGCTTTCGTATCAAGATGCGATGTTGTGACAACTCACTGTGCTTTTTCTCTGCCATCTCCCAATGGGTAAACGCGAGTCGTTGCTATCTTCCGCCATTTTCTTGTCTTCTAACCAATATTTATGGAGCGATCTTAACCGCACAAGAAATGCTTCACGGAGACCATCACGATCTTCTACATTGGGTTTAGTGATCAGCTTCTGCTTCTCAAGTATCTCTACAAAGACGTATGAGGCGCCCTTGTTCCATGCTGATTTAGGACCACCCGCAATCCAATATCGAAAGTTTTCCGTCGTACATGGACGTGAAAGCGGGTCCTTCCTGAATGCTTTAGCAAATTCGTCTGCTTCCTGTTGAGTTACCGTATTTTTGGTTTGATCTTGTCCTTTCATTATTTTATCTAGCCACATGCGGATCAACTCCTACATTCAGAAGTGAATATAAATCGTCACAAGAAATGGCCACACGAACCTTGCTTCTCAGCTCTTCAACGGGTCGGCGCTTGATCTCACCAGAGCGCGGTACTCGCTTCTTCTTGGCATAGCTGAACGCATAAGCTACATCGGCCTCATCGTCACCTTCATTATCTGGGTCGTCCGCCCGATCACTAGGATTTCTTCCCGTTTTAGCAGCATCACCCTGGGATTTCGCTCCTTGTTCGTCGCCCATATTTCCACGTTGTTGTGCGGGCTTGCTCGTGAAGTGCTTCTCCAGTGTCTCCCCAATGCGAGCCAACATTCTCGAGTTCTGGGTTGTGTGTTCAGCCAACTTATCGATCTTATCGTCTTGTTTCTGCAAAATTGCAGCGTTTTTCTCGTCTTGTTTCTGCAACATTTCTGTGGTCGATCCTTGCAATTGTGTGCAGACGCTCTTTAATAGTGTTGCTTGTGCCTCAAACAAAAGTTTCAACTACAAGGTTTTTCAGGTTCGACGTAATGATAGCGAGCACAGAATACCTACCGCATCTACACTGGAACTGGAGCCCTGACCACGTTGAGAATTTGACTGCGCATCATCGTTGGGAGCTCGGGGCTCCTGTTGGACTTTTCTTCTTTTGCCACTTCGAGGAAGTTGTATGGTCGGCGACAATGGTTCCTAGTTATCATGCAAAAGTAAGCGCTCCTTCTCATTTGATTCCTCGTGACATACCTGCATAGGTTGTTGATCTCTTGAGGATGAAGAAACTCTCGGAGTATCGTTGGGATCAGGAGCTCTGGGAGTATCGTTAAGATCATTCATATGATGGTCGTCTGTGGGAGGGGGGGTCTGGGGTAAGTCCTGCCACGACGTGTGCGAGTGCTGTGACATCAAATGCTGGATATTTTCCGATGAATCCTGATAAGAATGCGTTGCAGGAGGGGCCTGTGGCTGATTCATCTCATCCGGGGTACCGTAGTCCATTTCAGAATCTACATCGCTGGAATCTTGTTCAGGAGAGATCATCGCTGGAGAGGAACAAGAACTTCTTTGTGCTTGTGCTTGAAACGGGCCTGATAACCGAAACGACTAACTTATCACTTCATCATCCAATCATTCAACTCACTTGAGCTGAACCATTTCTAGATCTGCATACGATACATAGACCTAGGCTTTGTCAAGTGCTACTTACTCTATTCGAGCTCGGAGAAGAAGTCATAATCGGATGGAAGGACTTCATGAGCTCTGCTACAATTCTACCATAGCATGAACGATTGGCAAAATCTGAACTGCTCTCGATATGGAAGACCCCGAAAAACTTTAGCCTTGTATTGTTTCACTTCCTTCTTTCCTTCCTAGTTGCCTGAAATGGCCTTGATACGAGTCAGCACACGGAAAAGTCTAGTCTGAGGGGTTCCTCACCCTCGTTTCGAAGAACCTGGTTACGACGCCACCGTCAGCATCCATAGCCATGACCAACGGGATCCGGAGGGACATAAGGTGTACTGAGCGAAGTTTCGTGTCTTTGCGCATGCGTCCGGTTTGAAACCAGGACCAAGTGTTCGAGGATGTCGTCGACGTCGTACTGGAAGTTGCTTGATTTCGGATCCGGAGGTCAAGTGATCAGATTTTCAAAAATCACATCTTGTAGTTACGTAAACTACCCTTTGTCGTACGCCCATAGAAGTCTCGCGGTCAGCTTAAGCTTAGACATTCCTCATGAGTCTAACTCCAAGGATGTCTTCTCCTATTGTCTTTCACCTGAAAGGGAAACTCTCCTCTTATGCCGTTTCGGCTGTCATAGCGTCAAGGGCACTCGTCGAAGACAATGAATGGGCCATCCGACAATGAGCCTTATGATGAATGGCCCACAATGCAACGGAATTTCTATAAAATTGCGTGAGGGTGTTCTCTAGTGGTCATACAATGTCGACTCCATCACAAGTGCGCTGCATAACATGCGAAGACGCTGAAATCAATCAGTATGAACGGAGAGTGTCTGCCAGTTCAGACGAAGCCGAACAACTTCGAACCGAGATAGCTGCGTTATTCAAGAGCCTTAAACATCTCGATATCGAGGTGAGTATCCTACGAAAACATAGTTACCTGATTCATCGGTCTGTCTCCCAGGATGCGCGAACATCCCTACGTCTTGCTGACCTGAGGTCTCTCAATTCTGAACTCATTGCTTCACTGATCGAAAAGACAAACGAAATCAGAAGTCTCGAAAACGAGATCCAGAAATTGCAAACTCCCCGTTCATGATAAGTAAGCTAGCTTGTCTCTCATCCATGCTTTTCCTCACCTAGTCTTGATCAGTCCAGCGAATCGCGACAAACCTTGCAACCCGTAGGGGACCCTCGGTTTTTCTTCTCGTCTTGATTATTCCATGACCACATACATATCCACGGCATCGTATACTATCAATCTAATGGATTTGTGACTCGTATTTTCACCGTAATGCACTCCATTGAGCACTTGACTGATTTTCAATCAATCATGAGGATGGATCAAAGGCTGATACTTCTTCTCATGGTGTTCACTTCATCCCTGACATGATATGACACTTAGCTTTTTGAAACCGTCTGTACAGGTTTCAAGCAAACTGCAAGACTTTCGCTACTCCCATCTATAGCTCTCTGTGTCTGAACGACTACGTAGTCATTTGATTGTTTTGAACCATATGATTTCAAAGCTGAAACGCTGATTTTTCTTGACATTTATCTTAGGAATTCCTTACTGTCGGTTTCAGCCATAATCGTCCCCGTCCCACGTCTTTCTCAATTACGCAACTGTTAGCCCATGTAAAGTATCATGTACCTATCGGCTCCGGATTCAAAGTGAATCCCTGAAATGGGGTGCACACACCCCTCGATACCGCAGTACTGTTCTGTCGCTTGTTGGAGCTGCCCTCGAAAGTACCTGCGTGAAGGTATCTCTCCGGCTGATATCGATTGTTGAAGCATGCAGTGGCACAGGCTCCGCAAATGACCTGTTTCACGTTCGCTTGAAGGGTCTTGATTTCAATCAAATGACCCTTCTATGTCAAGTACATGAGGTCAAACATTCGTACCGCGTAATTATGTCGTTCATGGTAAGAGCAACCGCTGCAAACCCAAATTCGTATCCTCAATATCTAAGACAGAAAATCTGTAATCGACTTCCATCGCTGAAGTTTTTGGATCCTCTCGCGAGCTATGCAAAAGGCTTCAAAAATTTGATAGAAGAGTCGTAGTACTAGTCCCTTTGATTCATGCATCACTTTTATTCTTGCATGTAGGAGATGAATGATGAAATCATAGATGACAATCTCGATCTAGCGATATCGATCAGATCTTAATATGTTCCTGAGTGGCTATGAATAAATCTGGTATTGTTCTCTAGATCAGCGGAAAGAGCTTAGAAGTATTGTTGGTAGAGACGCTTTGCCTTACTTTTATCGAGGCGGCTTAAATGTGAATCGGAGGGATAGAGTTACAGGTGCGAGGGGGAATATTGATTAAGGTCAAGTGTCGGGTGTGAATAGAAGGGCGAGGTTCTGCACACATGTATTCAGGATTAAGGATTTTTCGTATAACATGCTTTTTGATCCCTTTCATCCTTCGCTAATTACCTCCGGATTGCCTCTGAAACTAACTCCAAACAATTATTCGAATTTTTAAACCAGATTCTATGCTGGAAGGACGACACAGTCTGAAATAACTGACCGTTACAACTTCAATACATACTACTAGTGAGCCCAATAGAAATCTGGTTTTGTGAATTTAGGCAGCGTTTACGGTGTCCCCGAATTTGGAAAGAGAATTCGGTAGAGCCAACATGCTGACTGAATATTGACAATGTATTCGGATTTCGCGCTGAGTGATCAAAAATCGGATGCGATGGAAATCTCCCGGTATCTGAACCTGTTACGGGAAAGTCAGAAATCCTAGAGCTTGCAAAACTCATGTTAACAGCGTGTTACCTCTCATAAAATGAGAGACGAAATAATCACCTTTTCCCCGTCGATACTCCATCGCCTTATCAAATTTGTCCATACAACAATCCGCATCATGCCTGTTTTACGATCTTCTCTGAATGGCGCCAGTCTCTCCCCTACTCCCGCTAGCGCAGGGCCGTCCCGTCAAGGACAGTTCCCGGATCACAGCATTCTCTGCCCCACATTGAATGGAAACATAATGCCAGAGCTAGATGAGACGGTGAGCTCAGTGGTGTTCGGCTGTTGCTACAGCATGTCTTACTGACACCAATCCCGCAGACTTATGGAAAGACACTTGGACTTTACTTCGGCCTCGGTAATGCATTGGCTGAACATAAACACTTTGATTCGGTGTTGAAGCAATATAGCCACAAACGCTTCATCGATGTCCGGTTTGGCTTCAATTCCGATACGGATGCCGACGATTTGTACAGGGCTAAAGTCATCGTCAATCAACGAAAGTACTATGTCGTGGGCACCTACAATCAAGGCAGCCCGAATATCAACACGGCGTTTGACGCGTACGACTGTACAGAAATTTTCAAAGGCGACGTCGTGATTTTCTTCTACTCGGTGTACGAACCGGAGAGGTTTTTGGAATCAATTCCACGTTATCCATCTGGCCAGGAGAAGGAAGCGATTCGACGGGTCCTAACCGCGTTAGTAGAGCTTAGCTGTCTTTGTTGACACGAGCCGCACTGAATACTTTATTCACAACCCAGATTTTCGAAGAACGTGCGAGGGCACGTAGAGAACGGAAAACGTCTGAGACATATTTTCCGAGGCTGAAATCCTGTACTTTCCTCCATTGTTCCGTCTTCACAATCGTCTAAGCCCTGGAGGCATCCATTCTACGCTCATCTCATCTCTATTCTTTTCACTTTTCCCTTTCTTTTCCTCCTCTTGGTTCATCTCCATCACCCTGGAGGCATCCATGCTACGCTCATCTCATCTCTATTCTTTTCACTTTTCCCTTTCTTTTCTTCCTCTCGGTTCATCTTCATCAATCGTCAAAGCCCCAGAGGCATTCGTTCTATGCCCATCTCATCTCTATTCTTTTCGCCTTCCCCTTTCTTTTTTCCCTTTTTTGAAATTTCCCTCTTTGGTTCATTTGATTCAGTTATCTAAGCCCAAGAGGCATCGGTTCTGCGCACATCTTCTCTTCGTTCCATCTTCATCAATTGTCTGTGCCCTGGTAATATCAGTTCTATACATATTTTCCCGTTTCTTCTCTTTGTTATCTTCCTAAATGTTTAATCTTATCGAGCGTCTGGTTCTACACTCACCTCTTTGATCTTCTCTTCTTTTGTGAAGAGGGTTCCTCATCATTCCAGCAATCGTCTATTCCGAAGGCATATTCCGTTGCCTAGTTTTCTCATATCTCATTCTTTTTCTCATTCCGAGTATTACCATGCTCTTACCCATAGTTCATCCTATGTCACTGGTTAACATTCTTCGAATCACGGTTCGGACACATAGATAACAACATTTGTTGCCTTCACGCTCATTTACATTGAATCTTATGTTGATCATATACAGATAATCCTTTCCTTTTCATCATTCCTTGGACAAGTATTAGCATTCATTTCCATTCCTTATCTTGGAATAGTTACTTACCTTGATTATACTCGTACGCACATTCATTCCGTATCACATTCTTTCGGAAGAAGTAGCCTTCTTTCATTCACACTCGTTAACTCTTTCGTTTTCTCATTTGAATACTGTAGATCTTACCTTCATAGTAGGCCCTTCACGCACACTCTTTCGTACTTAGCCTTACACGCTCTATTCATCCCACCGTCGTCATTCCTTATTCTTCCTTGTACGCTGGATCCACCACGATAGTCTACGAATATAGGCCACTCTTGAGATCTGGAACAAGGAGACTCTTCTCCGGTTTGAAACCTGGAGTGCGTCGTACGAAGGAGTAACTCTGTTGATCAATTAACTAGAGCGACTAAGAGCGAAATTGTTCACGTGACTACAACTGACGTGAAAATCACCGAGTAACGTCACAGTCTTCTACCATAACGTCACGGTACCTAGCAGACTACTACCTCCCTTAAGATCTCGCGGCTGTTGTACATTTTATCTATACACCTATTTCTGGTATAACTGGATCTGAGGTTCTCCTTTCCAACTCCCTTCGGAACTCTTGCTCCTTCACGTCTATAATTGACACCAGAGGTCCGGGATTTTCAGCGTTTTGAACTGATGAATGTTTCTCATAACGTCTCCCTGCACAAAATCAGACCGTAGCCTTGTACATTGTGGAATCTAGGACAATCGCCGCATAAATAAAGAAAAACCTGCTCGATTCTATGAACTGTGAGTATTCATTCATGGTTTACAGATTTTTTGCACTCACGTTGCATTCTTCAAGGCATACCTTGCCGTCTTGCGACGTCTAAAGAGACGGACGGGTTCAGCTTCCACGCAGTGATCGACAACGATGTTTATACATGTCTCAGTCGCAGACCGCACGATTTTCCCAATGTCCCTTCTCGCACACAATCTTTAAACCTTAAACCAAATGTCACCGTGCTACCGAATTTCCATGAGAAGCACTGGACTACCTCGCAGATTCCGTTCTTGGGCTTTGCACCCAGTAGCAACCCTTTTAAATTCCATTTTCTGAAATGTCTGGATTACCATTTTGGTTCTATACCAATTCAGAAAAATCTCGACGGCTTCATTCTTGATACTTCTGTGAAAGACGACTGGGACTCCTTAGAAAGGAACATGCGTGCATTTCTTCGTGCGTGCATGAAGTTGAACTGGCTCGGAATACCGGAAGATTTTAGACTCTGGCCTTACCCAAATAATTACGGGTATCGACATCGCTGGAAGACAGATGCAGATGCCCGTCATGCAGTGATGCGGTCTCGCCAAGCCTTTATTCCTTTGATTGCCTGTATCTCGTTCTTCCTTCACATACTCTATCATCTCGACAATCAATGGGTCAAGCTTATCGCTTCGAATTATAATTCCGTACTACCTAGCCCTAATCCTTTCTGGAGTAGGAGGCAGAAGGAATATGAAGAGCTTCGTCGAGGACCCGTTCCTTCGAAATGGCAATGGAAGGAGCGGCTTCAGCAAGAGACATCGATCAGTTCAGAGTGGCTTGCGTATTTCCATCAACTCATGGATATTCCTGTGGTCGGCCTGTTTTTGGATGTGCACAATTCGAACTGTCTTCCTTGGATCCCTGTTTACCTCGAGGCCAAAATGCCTATCATGTTGTATTGGGGTTCTAAGGATAATTGGTCCATCCATCCCATGTTAGAAAATGTGATTCCAACCCCCACCCCTACTATCATCAGAAACTTGCTCTCAGAACAGACACTGTACCCGCCACCCACACGTGTAGAGGAAAGCTATCCCGGTGATATAGGCATTTCTCACTATAAACCTCGGCTGCGTCTACCCCGCATTGATGGTGGAACCTTACCCCGTCCAAACGAGGACCTTTTCTCGTTCATCAAGCGTCGCGACGCTCAAAGGCTTCGAGCCATTTCTTCTGAGACTGTTGTTGAACGCCAATCTCGTCTACAGCGTGAAAAAAATGCAGAGAAGGATAGAGCACCGGGCCGGAAAGGGGCTCGTGTGTACTACTGGGATCTGGTCGAAGGAGTGAGGATACGGACTGCGGTAGGAAGGAGCAACTATGAAGACATCTGGGAGAATTATGGTTCGCGCCAGCGACGTTATGATTCAGTTGCAGACGAATGGGAAGTTTGCACGGACTTGGATCCTGAAGACGGTCCTGATGATAGCCTTTACGATGATGACGATGACGACTCAAATTTTTTCATTTCAGTGCAGACTCACATGAACGAGGAAACAGATCACAACGTGGGTACTGCTTCATCGGGTTCCTACCTTGCTCGTCTCCATCCGAATAAGCGCACGGAGGCCAACTCATTGAACTCCGGGTCCTGTGGAGACATTGAGGATGTCGCCTATCATAGATATGGATTTCTCAAACAACCTCGACCCGATAATCGCGATGTTGTGCTTAAATCACAGGTCTGGAGCAAGATATTGGGCCTAATTGGATGTGGACGTTCACCACCATCTCCTGGACCAGATGATCACGTCAAACTTCAATTGTGTAACTTCGTAACCCAAATGATGGATGCAGTCGATCTACGGACTGCACCCCAAGTGTATGATCTGGCTGTTAGGAATAGTCTCATGAGGCCTCCGGTTCCTTTTGAAGTTGACGTATTATGCACATTCAATGGTCATTATTTTTTGATACAAGCCCCAGGTGCCACAGATCACGAATCATACTTGATCGCTTTACGCAGTGCCGCCACCGTCATGGAGATAGCACGACGGGAGTGGGGTCCCAACACCGAAAATATCATCACACGCCTGATTGAGCATGGGATGCCCTTTAACACACTTATGGCTAGCTACCCTCCTCGCAAATACCGGGCTATCCCCTATCGTCGACCTGCCATGTTGGGCCTGCGTCCTGCCTCATTCAAACCAACGTTACAAGACTACTGTGCTTATGAGATTCTTCGTGATGATTTCCTGCGCTCAGCTAGAGGCCGTGCGGCACTCCTTGCTGGAGGTATCATCTCCCGATTAGCTCGAGAAGTGGTTGATGTGAATGATGTTTGCGATGGGCCTACTGGACATGCTCTGCAAGAAGGAGAGTATTCACTCTGCGTTTGGGAGGCGGGTCAAAATCGAGCATTTTGGGATGATCAACTTACTAATGAAGAAATGGATCTCATATGTGGGTCATACGAGGTTGTCACAGGTATGTGTTCATCTTCTCTCTCAAGGACTTCTTGAATAAGGTCTCCTCCAGGTCTAGTTTCGAAAGACGGCGTAGAGCAGACTGCAATCCGATCATGGTGGCCCCGTTCGGGTTCCTGGAGATCATGTGGTCTTAATTGTGGATATTGGTCCGGAGATGCTGAAGATTGGTTTCAGGCACATCTGCGCAAGATTCGCCTTAATGAGACAGTGAAATTAATGACTAGTCAAGAATGGCATAGTCGACTGAAGTTCAAAAAAGCTCACACTCTTTCGCACAAAAATGACCAGTTTGCCACAGAGTATCTCCAGAAGAAGTGTAACTTATCATTTTAACATACGGACATTCTGCGATGCATTTTGTTATACTGTCCATGTTCTGAGTTCAGTCGCGTGTATATACAGGTCTATATAAATAATATGAACAGTAAAGATTCACGGCGCCATATGCATGGGGAGGTCAGCCAAATAACTTCGACTTAGGCAGAGATAGTTGAATTGTGCCTGCGGTGTGTTTAGAGAAACGTATAATCTACATTGCTGAAATTCCTTGAGGATTGCTAACTCATAAGAATAAAATAGAGGATCAAGAGCCGTAGCGAAAAATTATATTACTCAAAAGTACATCCTGAGTATCTTTACTACTGATCCTCCAATAACAGATACTAATTGCCAGACAATGGAAGTGCAGATGAAAGCGCCTGCTAGGACAGTGATATCGACAATAATTCGTGAAAACCTCGATCTCTGTCAACAGGATAGATCAATATCGCACCATAATTGTACAAAAGTCATGGTAAGTATAATCTTACTTGGCCAACAGCTTGTATTTCTACTGGTTTTGTGCCCCAATATTGAATCACAATGAACAAACCCACACTGACAACCAGATGTCCAACAGCAACGGCAAATTGATTCTGAAACATTGTCCAGATCTTTCGAAGCATTTTGACGACGAACAGCAAGTAACTTAGAGTACCTGCCCTGAATAGAAATTCAGAAAGCTGGTTGTCCATATCAATGAGTAAATATTAAAGAACAAAGACAAGCTTTTCCCGAGGGTGCTCACAACAAAGTTTTTTAAGGCGATCAAACGCGGAGACTTAGAGTCGACCTATAGATAGAGTTTGAGTCACAAGTCTAAGGTACCTACTCAGTGAACTGACGTTTTCAAATGCGCGATTTCCGTCCTACGAAATTTGAGCAACGGATAAGAACAAAAGTCATTACCGACCTGCAGCGGCTGCATAGGTTTGCCCATTGTGGTCTCAATGGAGTTCTAGATATGAAATTAAAAAGGTTACAGGTGTTTGACCACAACATACAATTGCAACGCACATGCAAGAATTCACTTTGTCCCCGAAGGGTGCTCTCGGCAGTTTCAATTTTGAGTTTAGCTTCGAGTTTCTATTCATTGATCAGAAACGGCTACGAACACGATGGATTATGCTTACTGCTTTCGCTACACCTATGTTCTCCTTCGGCGCATCAACAAGACAGACATGGGGATCTGAATGAAGATATATCTTCTGAAGATCAAGTGCATCGGATGGGCGGTCTTCGCATTCAGGTTTTGGTTCAAGGTATGGCCCTTCTTCACCGTCGATCTGAGCCTCTGGAGGTGAATTTTGAGGAAGAAAACTGGAGACCTGTGTATTACTTGTAGGTTTGTTGATACGCAAAAATTGAATTTCCACTCACTGCTGTTGCACCCGAGGGTTTGATATGACAACTACCGTCCTCCAGATCTACCTCAGCCGTCTCCGATCCGACTTGTACTTCTATTGTCTTGTCTGTGCTCCAAGGAGTGGCCGGTACCCCAGTGCTCGCTTCGAAATGCTGAAGTAGAATTAGGTGGTCATCATCGAACATTATCAGCTCGATAACTTACCGATTTATACCATCCTTCTTGGTCACGGAGAGGAACTTGAAAATGTGGGCTTTGAGGACTTCTACTCATAATAATCGAACGAGCAACCAAATAACTGAGAAGGCGGCCTTGTCGACCATGAACTTGACACCGAGTTAAACAGTTTTGAGAGCTCACTCTGTTGGTATGATACGAGAGAAGCCCAAGAAGCACCTAGAGTTATACTCGTGTGTTTCACTAGTACGAATAAGAGGCTAAGAGCGAGTTACGGGCGCTTGAGCGCGTATTGTTTTTTGTCGGGCTACGAGCGCTTATTAGTTTTCTACTCTCTATCACGATCCACGAGTACTATATATTGACGTCCCGGTCTCCAGAAGAGTACTAGTACTAGTTCGATTTGGTTTCTATCTTGACCTGTCACGAGGATACCGCTTCGAACTCATCAGTACTCCAATCGGAGGGTAATCGATATCAACATGAGTATCGCGATCTCTTGCCCCGCAAAGCAAATCTGTATGTCTTTTCCTACCGAGGTTTGTTTTCACAGAAGCTGACGCTGTTTGTAGCTTGCTCTCGCGTCATTGTGCTGCAATCTTTTGATAACGTGAAGTTTATCGTAGACAAGGAGGAACTCGAAATCGATACCAGTGGATTTCCGCCTGCTACTACTCCATCCTACATCGGAGAGGTGTCTTCTCTTCCCGAACGCTCTCACGTCCTGAACATCCTCTTCCAATATGTCGGCACTCAGAGTCATCGACCTGTGCTGGATCAAATCGAGTTTGCGCTGATAATAAAGGTCGCCGAAGCCGCGGAAAAGTACGAGGTGCATAAAGCAATTACTGCCGTTCAATTCGAACTTAGGTGAGTCGGATTCGGTATAAGTATAAGTTACACTCGATACTCAGGCTTCCCCTACGATCGATAGGAAGTTCCTCAAGAGCAACTCACGAGAACTTCTATACTTTGCCCTGACGTATTGGAATCCACAACTCGTTGAAGAAGTTGCTCCTTTCATGATTAATACACCATTGCAAGAGATAGAAACCCTTATGAAGCATTGTCCTCGTCTATTCATGAAATGGGTGCGTCTTGATCCTTCGAAGGTTACATCTGTCATACTAATAATTAGCTCGAACAGTGTTTGTGGAGGCATTGTCTCGTTGCGACATTTTTCAAAACACCAACCATGGTACAGGCATCTCGAAAGAATGACGAAGATCGCTGGAGGGTGTTATTCTCATATGGCACATTCGTGCCCGACATAGTCCCCGTGGATCCTTTGAATGGCCTCCACTTGTCAATGCCGAGGAAATTCTTGGAGTTTTTACAATAGTTTGTTTATTCAGTACCGAATCTTCGAGTCTCAAGCAACACTATCCAATAATACTTATATACATGATGTGTACATACTACGGATGTGTACAAGAAACTCAATGACCTTTGTGCTACTGGGTACGATGAGGTTAATGCTTTTACTGAGCATATAGCGTGAGAAACATTTAGGCGCTCATGCGATTTGATAACACGTTCTGTATCAGTCTCCGTCCGTCACCTCTCTACGTCTTTCGCTTCACACGAACCACTTCTATAGAGTCCAACTCCATAGAATATCTTCTGAATACGATACGGAGCACACCCTTGCAAATTCGATCCGGAACGTACGCAACGACATGGACATCAATCGAATATTGGACTTCACTGAGGTTCAGTTTCCTGTACTAATGGAACCACTGTTTATCGAGCCTGCTGCAACCGAACGCGATCTAGACCTCCTGGGCTTTCGTGACCGATAAGTGGTCAAGGTACTAGTGAGCACCCAACTAGGCCTTCCCGACGTAGTCAACTTCAAAGCCCGCTCCGCAATCTTGGGATGGGCTACTCGTTCATTCTCCAGGTCTACTGGTTGCCACGCAGGCCCTCCACCGTCCCGGTCACACCACAGCCATAACTGATAGGCTCCGTCCTTCATGTTCCTGTGGATGTAGATCGTTGCTAACATCCTTGGGTTTGGTGTTTCGGGAGGAGGCGCGTCCAGGTCAAATGGTGACTGGCTGAAGTACCAAGCAGTCTCTCCTTCGCTATCATGCGACCTGAACCGAGCGGTCTCCAGCTTTGTCGGCCCAAACGCATCGCTCGAAAAGGAATTGGTACGTTTTTCCCCTTCCAAAAAGTATTTTGGCGGACGTGTAGAAGATTTGAAGCTTACGGGTGTAGCTCCTCTAGCTTCCGCATCCTTGACAGGCCCTATATCAAGAGACGGACGTCACACAAGTCTCTATGGCGATACGGATGACAACACCAACCAGGACTCGAGGTGGCGGAGCCGTGTTTAAGAGCTCCCTTTGGAGGGGGTGTTTTTGTTCGTCCCCTCGTGTTCCTGTGCTCATACTCGGAGTTCTGGAGAGAAAATTCAAAGCACTAGTTGACGTACGATTCTTCTGGATTGGGATTGTCAAAGACCTTTTGAATGATCCCATCGTCGTCTTTACAGTAACGGTAGTACTCGTACGCCTGCTTTCTCCACCAGGTTGACTGGCTAGGCTACGAATAGTCAAGGCAAATATCAAAGGCTTTCCGAATGACATGACACACCGTCGAAGTCTGTGTCTCTTCATCCGACGTCTCATAGGGCTCCATAGTTGATTGCGATTCTGAAGATAATGACCTCGAAAACTTTTCTTATACGAAACAACTGTCTACTTGAAACTCGCTAAAAACATCACGTCCGTCATGATCATGTCCCCACTAGGATGTCTACGATAGGAAACTGTATCTTTACGCTATACCCCTTTAGGTTGATCAGATAATCAACCAATCGTGGTCGTCGTACCATATTTCGACTTACCTCAGTTCACAAATCACGACTACTGGGTGTCTTCGAACTTCATATCGTCTCATTTCTTCCGGGTCAAACTCGGTTGTGAAATGGCTCGCCGCCGTAGGGCTGATGGTTCAGGAGATCAGCCATGTCGATGCCACGAATGTTCAAAGCAGGATCCAGAGGGAGTGCTAGCTCCACAGTCAGTTTTAATAGCGCATCGGCATCGGGACCGTCTCAGAGCCGCCTTTGCTTCCGCAACACAAACCGCCGAGACTGAGGCCGCACCGGAGTCCTTCACGACTTCACGTGGCGGAACTGAATCAAACCTAGAAAACCAACCCAGTGAAAGCTCCCGCCCAGCCTCGAACTCTTTTGGCGAGACCCTCGGTTGCAACAATACAGAAACAGTGGCGGATTTCAAAGCCTGGTTGCGTTCTGTAGTCACAGAGATAGATCTACGAATAGAGGCTCTATATGATTGCGACCTTGGCTTAGAGTTCATTACCCCTCCTTCTCAAACGATAACCTTTGTGTTCCCGGATCCCGAAAGTCTATTACTGGCGAATTCTGGACTCTTTGCTCTCAATCCCGGAAGAGTCTCCAATCGTCGTCTATTGGATGCGGAGGCTAGATTTTGTCACCTACTTAGAACAATTCAGGCCCTGCCTCCCGGAGAGCGTTCTATGGGTGTTATAGATGTAGAGGACGAGCTTTTCCAGGCATTGAATAAGGTCCATCGGATCAAAGAGAGGCATTGGCAAGCAAAGGCCTATTGTAACAGAAACGGGGGACTGAATGTTGATAACAGTAAGTATTCTCTTCTCCCTCAGGGATATTTCCAGTGTCTTAACCGTCTTCAGGACGTCACTTTACTCGGAAAGAGATGACCGAGGAAGCACCCACTCTCATAGCTGCGTTAATAATATATGTCAAATTCCAGACTCCAGTCCGTAAAATGCGAGTGATACTGGCGCTGTTTCGCTGTATCATCAAAGGATTGATGCGAAGACAGAAGATAGATTCGCAGGTCACATCTCGGATTCCTGAAGATATCCACACCATCGTCGACCATTATGATCTCGATCCGACATTACACATTTCCATTGCGTGCCCAAACTGTTACGCGCTCTCTCCTTTTACGAATGAGGCAATCAGCAACTCCGAAAATGCTCTCAGAGCCAATCAACCTCTACCTGTGTGTAACGAGAGATCTCACCCAGACTTGTCACCGTGTGGTGCGACGTTATGGCACACTCGCCGCATTGGACCGCGTACTTTCGTCACTCCTATCAGGAAACAGGCTTTCCAAGATCTGCAAGAGTGGATTGGGAGAATTTTAGCTATCCCGGGCCTCGAAGATATAATTGATCAACATCAGCGACGCCCGCTACCATCGTTGGAATCTCCAGAAAGAGATTTCGTTGATTCATCTACATTTCGATGCTTCAAGGGCGCAGATGGGCAGCCGTACGCGACACCTCAGATGGGTCCTTCGGGATCACCAGACTTGCGACTTGTCATGAGTCTTGGATTCGATGCTTTCAACCCCTTCTTCTTGAAAGAACAACACGCCTCCTTCAGCTCTACAGCGTTATACATGGTAATCTTGTCCCTCCCTGAGCATCTTCGATATCAGCCAAAGTACATGTATCTAGTAACAATCATTCCCGGAAAACCTTCCCGACATGACATCAATCATACCTTGCGCAGGCTAGTCCAACAGTTGCTCCCTTTTTGGGAAGGAGTGTATTACCTGCGTACTGCACGATATACTCTTGGTCGAACAATCTTCGCGGTGCTAATCCCTGCTGTATGTGATACGGAGGGCGCTCATCAACTTTCGGGATTTGCTTCACACAGCCATACATACTTCTGTAGACGATGTTTACTGCCAATTCAAGATATTCATAACCTCGATCCGGAGCAATGGGTAATGAGGGATTGGAATAAGCATCGACAGTTAGCTTTCGAATGGAAGGAAGCCCCCATGGCGCGACGTAATACGATCTACCAGGAGAACGGACTCCGGTGGTCAGAGCTATTAGATCTGCCATATTGGGATCCCATTCGGTTCACGGTCATTGACGATATGCACCTTGGATATCTTGGCCTTTTTGAGACACATCTTCGTGAAATATGGAAAATCGATGACAAGAAAAATGGTGGCAATGGACTTCACCCGGACACTAAGGACCAAAAGAAGATATCTAATGCGAGTCTTCGAAAATTTCTAAATGAAATCCGACAAAATGATCCGTCCTTGGGATCTATTCTGAGTGAAGAAAACAAGGGAGTCCTTTGGTATCTCACCTTTGTGCTTGGACTACGTACTGGACTTCGCACCAAGAAAGCAATGGTAGACCAGATTCTGCAATGGGTAAGTTCAATAATTGAAGAATTTCCATTAGTCTCAAGTTGCACAGCGTATGTCATCGCAGCGGGAAGAGGTACCCGACATTCCACCACTGAACTATGACAATGTCCCAGATGGTTGGAACACTTATAATACTTCACATCCAAGAGATGCTGTTCGTTCATCTCTGCATCCTGTGACAATGTTCTTTCACTCATGCGTTATTCAAAATAGCCTGTCCCTCTCAATGAAGTTACAGATACCAACCTTTCTGAGACAGATCAAGCTTCAAATCTTAGCCTTTCTGAGGCAGATGAAGCTTCAGATTCCGGCTTTTCCAAGGCAGTACGCCTTCATTTCTTCTTAGAATAGCCCTTTTAGATTGACTTAATTCTTGTAGTCAGTTGATTCGAAGGTCTCATCGGTCGTTGATCCTTCAGAAATGCCACCGGTGTTATGTCCCGCTCCACCACTCGTCTTCGATGGAGATCAGGCTTTCGAAAATCTGAAGTCCAGAATACTTAATCTGACCACCAGGCCTCCCTCACTCCACAGCAGGACAAAATCAGTCCTTCGAGCTTTATGCCAAGATTTTGGGATTCGCTACAATACAACTGATAACAAAAAAATCCTTGTTGCCCGAATCATGCTTTATGTATGTGCATTCTTTCAGTGAGATAATCTATTTCCTCACAATCCGAAAACAGCGTCAAGAATATGGATCGGACGATGATTATGTCTCAAAGATACGATATGATAAACTCAAACGAACCTTCGAAGCGGACGAACCCTCCAGATCAAGCCTGATGAAATTTGAGCATGAATATCTAGAGAAATTATGCGTAGAATACAAAATTCCACCTTTCGATTCTAGTCAACCTGGTATCACCTCTTTGACGAAGGATGTTATGGTACAAAGGATATTAATCTGGGTGAGTAAAGATCTTCAGTTATGCAATGAGCGAGTCTTGACTATAATGTAATTAGCGTCAAGAGTATCGTGATAGCAGCCTCAAGCCGAAATCAGGATCCAGTCCTCGCCATGTCATTGGTAAAGATCTTCTGGCAGAAATCTGGTCCGACATGAAACGGACTGTTCTTCCGAACTGGATTCAGCCGCCGCCCTCAGGATGGGGCACATCTGCTTCAGGCAAGCTCAGTGCTGATGAATATAAAGTCATCTGTTCGGTCTCACTAGTCATCACTCTAATTCGGGTTTGGGGTTATGAAAATGACGAGGGAGTCGAGTCATGTCGTTTCAAGATGTTAGAGAACTTCTTGGACCTTGTTCACTCTATGCGTGTTCTGTTTTTTCGTGAAACATCACAAAAGTCGCGCGCCTACTACAAATCTCATATCCTCAAGTATTTACGTGGCGTCCTTGAGCTATATCCTGATTTTACCCTGAAGCCTAATCACCATCATGCTGTTCACATCGTTACCGATCTGGAAACCATGGGTCCGGGTCATGCTCGCAGTACACCAGTGTTCGAGCGCATCAATCATTCCTTACAACAACTCAATACCAATCGACGTCTAGGTAACCTAATGTTCTCCTAATGTTCTCATTCAGACAATAATTGTGTCTTTTAGGGGAAGTTGAAGCTACAATGCTAACTTCTTATTGCCGGCAAGCCAACCTCCAAGTCATCTTAGATCATAACACGGATTTACGAGAAGAAATCGATGAGGTATTGACCGCCTTAACAGATATCGATCGTGAAGACCATCGTGGTATATTTGCCGGGACTGATTTAGTGGCTTGGGCAAGCACTGAATTCAAAACAAGCCCCGCTTGCATCGAAAAACCCACTCTGGATCGTATCATCCGTCATTTATGTGACATATACGGTGTTTTGAGTTCACACTGGGATGGTAAAGTTGCTCGACAAGTACATACTGTGGGAGGAGTTGCGGCTGGGCGGGTAATCTACTCCCCCTCCATCCGTCAGAATTCTGTCGTTTTCCGCCACAATGGAAGAGTATGTGCTGGCACGATTGAACAGATCATACTCCACTCTCATCCCCACCCCGTCACTCAAAAGACAGTTTCTATCACGTACTTCGAAGTCATTGTTATGGAGCCAATTGATGCAGATGATGATCTCTATCGAAGACTGAACTGTGGATGGTTATGCTTTCAAAAGCCTGCAGTCCCAAAAACTCTAACCGTACCGTTATCATACATTGTCTCGCATTTCGTCCGCACAGACCTGTCATTCAAAATCAAAGGAAAACCTATTACACATGTATACCCTGTCCCGAAGGTGATGTTATGGCTTTCTCTAGTGATATACTGATTTGTGACATTGTCCCCTATAGTTCTACCATGACAATGATTCAGGAATGCCAGCACCGGTTCGTGCTTGAGGGTCGGAGGAAGCATCTGCTTTAGGCTGGGTAATATGAACATTGTGAAAAACATGTTTATAGTTAGATCTGAGAATGAACTCATATAATTGGATACATTAGCTGACTATTGTTACTGAGTTGACATGCGAGGAAGTGAAGCTATTCAACTGGCCCGGCAATCCACGCACTGCTGCGCCGTGCGGACCAGTTATGTAGGTTCCTTCACAACGCCTTTGCTCGTTTACTGTTGAATAGTGAGTATCATGTCTGCGTGGCAGATATATAACGCGGGTTTCACAAAGATCATTCCACATTATGTTAAAACATGTATGGTACCCTAAAGTTGATGATGATACATAGTACTGCAGCCCAATCTCCCAGTGTAGATATTACCAACCAGAAGATGAGAGTACAGATGAAGACGCCTACAAGAACTGTCATATCCAAGGCAGTTTGGAGAATAGGATTTGTCTGTCAAACGATAAGCCCACTGAACATCCATGTAATTCAAGCGATCCCTACTATCTCTGTGATGTTCTCTCGACCTGGGACTTGATCGCGAGCATATCGCTGAAGTTGAGCAAAGGTAAAAACTGCAGCACTCGGAACCAGGAATCCAACACCAACGGCATGCGGTTGACTATGGAACATGACCGAAAGTTTCCAGAGTAACTTGACAGAGAACGACAAGTAGCTGATGATCCCCACATTGAAGAGAACATTGAGGAGCTGGAGATCAATCAGCAAGGTATTGGAAAGGTAAGCATGAAGAACGCAGATCGATGAACACGGTCACTCACGAGAAAGTCTCTAGGGATAAGCGAGCGAATCGAGGGTATTGCAGCAATTCGGGGACTTATATCCTTAGTTGAGGAGCTTTCTTTCTGTGCAATTGTGAGACAAGCTAATGATTACGATTCATGGTTCGGACCTTAAGTTGAGTAAAATCGTCTTCTATAATGGTGTCTTGCAAAGAATCGCTTCGACGGTGATTGGCTGTATGGTGGTTCTGCTTGGGCATCAGGTTCAGCGGCAACCGCTACGACCAGATAGCATGTTTACTGGAGCATTCATTGCATGAGGTCCGACTTGTTCTGCATCGTTTACTTCCATGGTTTCCACTATCGAGTATGAAGCAATCTGAGTCAGATGTTCCTGCCCGAAAAGCAGATTACTCACAAAGGCGCCCTACTTCGTTGAATCTCGGGGTGTAAAGAGAGTAATTTCGATTGGCCCCTACCAAGTTGGACTCTGTAGGAATCGCCGACAAGGACAAGGACAAATGATCAGTAGCGCTTGCAAGCGCCCAAAGAATTGATTTCATTAGATAATCAAATCATGGGTCACTTCTGTCTTGACTGATACTACTTTGATTTATCCCTTACCGTCGTCTTGTATTCGAGTCAAACTCGTTACAAGCCATCTTACTCTCCAATCAGCAAGATCTGGAACACGGTTCGAAGAAGCATTACCTCGAGTCGGCTCAAGAGGTTGCTAGAGTCGATTATTGTCGACTCTAGCGCAGCATTCTCAACCAACTGGAACTTCCGCGTTCGACCACCTTGGCTCACACATACGATACGCACTACCCTAGTCGGTCAATCCAGTTATTTGTCAGTCTTTTTCATTCATACCTTTGTTGTCAACCACCGCCGACCTAAAGGTCTCTTTTTGTTAGCCTTCGGAACTTGAGCTCTTACAAATGAAAAACCTCCTTCACAAAACTGGCGTTGGGACGAGTTCCCCCAGCTACTTAGACATCCTCCATTACTCTCCTGATACACATGTATACTATTTAGGCCAAACTTTCAATCAATATATTCTGCCCAGCTCCCCAATTTCATCGAATGAAGGCCTTGGTCTGACATCCTATGGGGTGGGTTATGCAGATATTATCTTGCTTCGGAGTTTACCAATTCGGGGTGGACTTTCTTTGCAAAATAATTTCAGAATGAGTGAACATGAAGGTACTTTGGTTTCAAGAGGCCCGATAGTCATTATCTAATCCCATCGACAGCGACATAATACCCATCACAACATGGCTAGCATTCCTCAGGTTTTCGAACACAACACGTCTAGTGCACTATCCCAAGCTATACATCTTCATTAGTGTCCGTCTACCTCTCCTTCATCCCCGATCCCGGACTACAACGGCTCATATACTAACGATCCACCACGACCGCCTGCTACACCCTCTCACTATACGTGCAACTGCAAACTCACAAGCAGCTCGTTGATACACAAGACACTAAATACGCTTTATCCGTCTTAATGTTCATCCAATTTAATGCCATCCCTGCTCAGAAAATGAGTGATCGGATTGAGCTCAAGATTCTATGGTTTTAGGAGGCCCGATAGTCATTATCTAATCCCATCGACAGCGACATAATACCCATCACAGCATGCTTAGCATTCCTGAGGCTCTTCTTGTCCACATCCAAGTCAACCACAAGCGTATTGCACACAATCCAAGCTACAAGCGTACCCTATATACTTCACTAAACGATCCCAGCCTTCTAAATCCCCTTGTACCGCGCGCTTTCCCGATCCGAGTCGCGATATTGGAGTCACGCACAATGGCAAGACGTTCCAGCCACTCACTTCATGCTCTATACATGTCCAGACGCTCCCGCCTCCCGTCGCCAGTGGATGGGCCCGGTTTTTTGTACGCTTTCGTCGATTCCGATGTCTACTGGAAAGTAGGTATGACCAGCGACTACGACCGGCGGAAGGCAGAGTGGGACAGACAGTGTCCATGTCCCAGCAGAGTCTGGCTCCCCCCTATACAGGTTGTATGGCGCAGGAAAGCTGGTGCGTTCTTGACTGATTTCTCAATCAAATACATGTTTATCTTCTTTCAGAATTGTTAGCACACATTTTATTGGAACATAGGTGCCTCAGCCGACCTCGCAAGTACTGTTCTAATTGTCCGTACCGTTCACGTCTCTATCCATACGCTAATTCATGCGGTGTTGCAAAGGTTCCAAGGCACACATTGAAATATTCATCTTCCCTGGTCATTGGTGGGATATCTGGAGAACCATTGTCCTACCAGTCCTTGCAAGAGCAGTAGCAGCATAATAGTATGTCCCTTTCAGCTTTATTCGATGGTATATGACTGACAACCTGATAGATTCTGAGTTTAATGTTTTAGCTATGAATTTCTTGTACAGTGTATATACATATGAGTGTTGTCTAGGTTGATCAGAGCTGTAAGTCAAGCTTGCTAATTATGAATGAATGAGCACATAGATAAGTTCCTACCTTCTATGGTATAAGATTCTACTACCACAATTACTAAATGATGGTACCAATCTTCCCCGCCTCCCGACGTCCCGACATTTGCGACCCTTTCGATGTCTTGATATATCGACATCGACGACGTCTCGACGCTTTGACGTCTCAACGTCGACGACGTCTCGATGTCATGACGTCGCGATATCGACGACGTCTCGACGTCACGACGTCCCGACATCGCGTACCCTTATTCTCAGTGAGATTATTTTGAAGAATTTCATGCTCTCCACGCGGCGAATATTCCGCGAAAAATTTAAACTATCTCGGTAAGATTATGCTGCAATTATTCAAAATAATCCTAGTATATTCACACACTAATTCAGGGTAGATTAGACTGAAAAATCCTTGCATATTCAGCACGCGAAAACATTGAACAATCACGATGGGTTTAATTAGACTAATCCTAGGTAGTTTTGTGGAAGAATTTTGTGATTAATCTCAATATATTCTCTACATAATATTCGTTCGATTACAGTGCGATTAAATAAAATATTCAGCGTACACTTAGGCGTAGAATTTTGTACCTAATCTCGCCTTATTCGCGCCCTATTCGCGGCAAGATAAGGCCTTCATCCCCGCAGTGTTGAGTATCGTAGTCATAGGTAGTAATAAGTAAGCACATACCTGGTCCCAGATAATGACAGAGAGGTCAAGATAAGGGACCAGGTTGTGAGGGATTGGCTTTATATACATAATCCGATCTGCGAGAAATGACGATGTAATACTGTACAGTTTAGGAACAAGGAAGGTGGCGGAAGCCAGTAGAAGGAGAAGGGTAACAGGTGGATCAGTAATCGATGATGGGGGTCAGGTGGATCAGTAATCGATGGGATTTGACAGTGATGTAATCGTACAAGTAAGGGCGTCGAGATGGTGAGAAAAGGAAAATGATAGGGGCTACATACTTCATGACATTACCCCCCTTCTTATGACCATTGCCCTCGATGGTCAAGCTTTTGCTGCTGTGGGGTGTTTCTTGTGGAAGGCCCGAACAGTCTTTGGAGCCCGGCTGAGGTTGGGCGCTGGCTCCCAGGAGTTATGCCCTGCATCGTAACCCTTCCACTTAACCAGGTATTCCAACCTCTTCCACCGGACCCGGCTATCCAGGATTTCCTCTACTTCATATTCCGGTTCGTCTTCATCCTCTAGGTAGACCGGCTCCGGTGGTGGTGGTATTTCTCCATTGATAGCGTTACCTTTCCAGGGGTAGAGTTTGTCAACGTGGAACACAGGGTGAATGCGGTCGAGGGAGATAGGGAGATCAAGGCAGTAGTCCAGGGGTCCAATCTTCTCCAAGATTCGGTAGGGTCCGAGCTGTCGATCTCCTAGCTTCTCGCTGGACAGTTGGAGGTTGATGTCTTCCGCGCTGAGCCAGACAAAATTTCCGACTTTGAACTGGTGAGCTTTCCGTTTTCCTCGTTCGTATCCCTTTTTCTGCTGCTTTTTCCCTAAGTGCAAGGCAGCCCCTGCGTCTTGTCGGGCTTCTCGGAGTATCTGTATGCGGTCGTCTACAGCTGGGATCCCGCTGCATTGTCCAACTGGGATGTTGAACAAGGGGAGGTATCCGTAGGTTAGCTCGAATGGGGACATGCCTAATGCAGAATGGGCTCGCGAGTTGATTACAAATTCGGCCATCGGAAGGTGCTCTGCCCAGTCATCCTGCCGACGGCCTACGTAGAGTCGAATGTACTTTTCTACTTCTTGGTTGGCGCGTTCAGTTTGACCATTAGACTGAGGACGGTACCCGGAAGTAAGATCTGATTTTATTCCCAGTCTAGCAAGTAGGGATCGCATGAGTTTGGCTGCAAACTGAGGCCCACGGTCAGACTTGAAGTGAAGAGGGAGCCCATGAAGACGGAAGATTTCTTTGTAGTAGATATCAGCAACTCCTTCTGCCGTGATGGAGCTGGTACATGGGAGGGCGTGAATTTGTTTCCCATAGAGGTCCGTGCAGACTAGGACTGCATCGTATCCTTGGGAGTTAGGTAATTGCGTTATCAAGTCCACCCCTACCTCTTCCCATAGACCCAAGGGTACGTCTAGTGGTTGAGTTACAGCTCGTGGGTGTCTTTGAATCTTTTTGCATGCGCACGTCTCGCATCCCTCTACGTACTTCTCCACAAAGGAGCGCAGTGTTGGCCACCAGAAATGGGTGCTAACTAGATCGAGCGTTCTGTGGAGCCCAGGGTGTCCAGCAGTGGGATGGTCGTGACATTGACGTAGTACTTCAGTGCGCAAGTCATTGTCTGCAGGCATGTACACTCGTCCTCGGTAGTAGACCAGACCGTTGTCCTCCTCCCATTCGGCGATTCCATTGGCCAAGCGCTGTAGTCCATGCTCTTTGACTGTTTTGAGACCTTCCAATACCTGTGCTTCCCGCTGTGAGGCTTTCCGGATGCGATCCTCTAAGGGGTTCCGTAGGATAGAAGCTGCAATTTTGGTGAAATGGTTGGGCTTAAGGACTGTCTGCTGTCGATTATCCTCATTGTCTAGTACCTGGTGGGCTGCCATACGGGAAAGAGCATCAGCCTGAGTGTTTATTCTACCAGGGCGGTGGATCATGTGGAAGTCAAACCGTGAAAGGTATAGAGCCCAGCGAGCTTGACGGCGGGTGAGGTCTTGAGCTGTGCGCCAGAATTCGAGGTTAGAGTGATCAGTGATGATATCAAATGGCTGGGGTAATCCTTCTAGGAAGTTCCTCCAGTCCTTCAATGCTTCTATGATGGCTAGCATTTCCCGGTCATAAATCTCGTAGTTTCGTTCTGCTGGTTGCATAGAGGCTGATCTGAAGGCGACTGTCATATGCATGCAATTCA